TACTTAGCCGCCTCTATAAATATGATTTCGTGCAATAATTATTTTGATCTAAAGCGAGCCTTTTATTTCGTGCTGGTCCCTTTTGTCGCAAGTGCCTGACAGTTTGATTACAAGCTTGTCGGGGCGACTTGCATGGCGACGTACCGTGATTACTTTCCGTACAGCTTCTGGCCTGTGTTATTATCGGGGGCCGTCGATATATCGTGCTTACGAAATTCTTACCAACTCCCATGAAACTTCGGAAAGACGCGCACCATTGTCTCGCGCCTTTTTATTTCCCTTCGGTTACTCTCCGTCCCATTCTTTCCGGCTGCAAGAGCAGATATATCCACGCTCCGAAAGACATGCTAATTAAAAACGCCCCTTGACCACCTCTTTACTTTTTCAGTAATTAGCAAAACCTATCTTGTTCATTAGCCGTAAGAACAAAAGTTCCTCTCACGCATTTTAGAAAGAAGACGTTTCTCGGAGTACTACAGGTTTTCATGTATTAACACTTCGGGCTTGTAAAACGATTCAACGTAATTCCAAAAGTACTCGAGTTTAAACTAATTAAAAGTGAACAAATCGGAAACATATTCGAGAATTTCTGACGATTTTTTCGTACGTTTCAATCAAATGCCCTGAGAAGAAAAACAATTGTTATTAATTCATGAAACACATCGTCAAAGTTTTATTTAAATAGGATTTACTTAATTTATAATAGACTCGCAGATGGATTCAATACATGTACTTTTTAATTTTACAAACTAGTTTAAATAATTTTCGATAAAACGTCATAAACTTCAAAACTTTTTCGTACATTTACAATCATTGTACCCAAAGTTAAATCATGGTCATCAAATGGTAATCAATCGTAAATCAAATTTGTAATTTTCTGCAACTTTGTACTATCAGATCGTAAGAAATTTACAAAGATAGACAGAACAGGGCAGAATAATATTAACGAATGTTTCAGCAGATTTTATTTTGATCCAATGGTTGCCTTAACTGTATTGTTATTAACAGGAAATTATAACTTTCTTAAGAGTTGTAATTGTAATTCAGAGTTTCAATTAAAATGGGTAGAAAAATGAAAAAAATATTGAAAGGAAGCCTTCTCTTCGGTGCCGTTGCCCTCCTTAGTTTCTCTCTGTAACTCCATTACCTACTTTCCACACGGAGAGAAAAAAGTTGTTATAATTACTACAATTGGGATAGATATAACAGCAATCGCTGGGAAATATAAGGATAGGTGTTCTACAAAGTAATGATTACTCTGCTAAAAATGTCAAATGTACAATTTCATTGTAGTACACATTATTACAAAGAATGATTACAGTTACAACGATACGACAGTTATATTTACAATCGTGACAGCATAAACTCGTCAACTGAAGCAATGGTTATCACATAACGTATGTATATGATAACGTTCGCTAGTGTACCCCTTACTGTTGATACATGTAGAAAGTAACATGCAGCAACGCATTTACTACCATTGGGGTGGCTAGAAAATACAATAGCGACATGTGTATATTACAGACAGCTCATGTAAAAACTACCATTGACAAACGTACATATATGTTGTCGTTGCTGCATATAAAAAGTATCATTGTAAACGGTATCCTTTCCTGTCGGGAACTCGGGAAATCACTACAGATATAATACATTGAAAACGGTAAATATTTGTTTTGTGTAAAGCTTACCTTGGAACGATTGTTGTAGGTTTTCTAACCTCTACTCCTGAAGTTCATTTTTTACAAAGTCATCCGTGTAATCACTTAATCAAACTATTACAATGAATTGAAAAAGTAAAACTCTATCTTAAATTAGATCGAAAACCGAATTTCTAAGAGGACCGAATGATTCGGCTACCGAAGTCACAATGAATCTAACAGTTCGCAGGACTGCACAACTAATGCATGTCACGACCCGAATGCTTCTCGCGCTGTGTCTTAAACGCACAATAGGAACAATAACAGTTCACGCTTGTAAAAATTACTAGTACTACGGTATATTATACGGTTTTCAATAGAGTTCTTGTTTTTAAATTTTACACGTGCCTTTATACGTGTAATTTTTACTTTCCAATGTTATACACGTAACACTGTCAGATGCAAATATAGCTACAATTTATTTACAAGAATTCTGCAGTTGCTGCTACAGCCGCAATGGTTAAAAGGACAAAAAATTGTAATTATATCTACAATAATTGTTGTTAAGATTACACCGATACTTTGACCCGCTAGCATATGTAATGATTACGCTATTATTCTTCTGCGTGTGGATCGATGAAAGCTGCAAGTAAGTTATAAAGAAAATTATAAATGTTAATTAATGAATTCATTCAAATGGACATAATTCGGTGCAGGTTGTTGCTGACGAGGGTTATCAGTAATACTGCAATGAAGTAACCATTGACGATAATAGTTCCAATCTACGAAAACCTGAATCGAAGTACATCTGTAGAGAGATAACTAATAGTAACCTATTCTCGAACCCGGAAGTAAAGGCTTAAACGTCCATCGAAGATGGTCTTCCCATCGAAGATGAATCGATTATCGGGATCCATCAATCATCGACAAGGATTAGTTACGGTTTTTACTACGCGGTGCCAATCCCGATGGTCATAACTCATCGTTAACATTGTTAAAGGTGGTGGATTAATAAAGAGGTTCTTGCAGACCTGTAAAAATATGAAAAATGTCTTTATTAATTCCCGAAGACAGGATTAAAAGATTCATAAGGATTTGACTTCATTTTTCATAGAGTTTCCGATTGAATTGTAATCCTAAGTGAAAGAAGATCAACATCGATCATACACACTCTGGTGGTACATAATCTAAGCAATTTTTCACTTTCAAATAAAAGTCTTGCAAATAACACACAAAGTATACATACAATATATGAATAGCCTCTTTGTACTTAGATTAATGCTTTCGCAAGAATCGAAGTTCATCGCCATGATATATCATCGCTCGACATTCAAAAATATAACTCCACTAAAGATGTACAGATAATCTACTATTAATCAAGCATTTTCCCCCATTAATATAAACAATAGTACAGGTTAATAAACAGCTTATAACCTGCATGAAATGTGTGAATGGCCTCTTTTCATTTAACTTGATATATTCGCAAGAAACTAATTTCCACGTCATGATGTATTATCCCTCGATGTTCGAAAATGTACATACTACAAAAGAACAAATAATCCTAAGCAAACATTTTTTAGTGTTAATTTAAGACAAAAGTGCAGATTAATAATGAATTCTTTCTGGGGAATAATGAATTATCGAGAGTTATTGCCGATCACTGATATGGCTGCGTAATCCGAGGATCGACCATTACACGTAATAAATACGGAGGAGGTTGATTTACAACTTGTATCCTGTAATTAAGACGGGTGATTTCTTACTTGGGTGTGCGACGAGAACGGTGATTTAAAATCCACCCTCTTGTACACACCTCCAAGAGCAATAGCTTATCCCTCGATAAGTTACTCTCTTATGCGGCAAATTATACACGGCATTAAATATATCTCCGGTCTGCACCCTCTGTGCGTGTACGAAATATGGAGCGATATAATGGTCCATTCTGGAATGGTAGCTCGTTTCCATTATTGACGTCCTAACGACGTCCTCGTGAGCCCGTGGACGTAAATCGCACGTCGTAAATATCGCGACCACGGCCCACGTTAGTCCCACATTAATCCCACCTGAGACGACATATTACTGCTTCTACTTTTGTGCCTTCCCCCAAGTTACACATAATTAAATAGTACATCAAGAGCAGCGATCCCAGTTATGAGATATGAAATTGCTCTGAAAATATTAACATTCGGCGCAATAATGATTATTTCCTCCCAGAATATCATACTTTGAAACCTAAGTTGTAGAAAATAAATGTCTTAGGTATCTGAAAAATCTTCTGAACTAAAGTGTCTCATTTCTGAAATGTTAAGATATTACTGCATTTATATATTAAATGAGTCATTATTAAATAGTCGATCTGAAAGATTAACAAGTCCCACGTTAGTCTCACGTTAATCCCACCTGAGACGACATATTACTGCTTCTTCTTCTGTGACTTCCCCCAACTTGCACATAATTAAATAGTACATGAAGAGCAGTGGTCCCAACTATAAGATATAAAATTGGTCTGAAAATATTAACATTCAGCACAATAATTATTAATTGCTCCCAGAATATCATACTTCAAAACCTAAGATGTAGAAAATAAATGTCTTAGGTATCTGAAAAATCTTCTGAACTAAAGTATCTCATTTCTGAAATGTTAACATATTACTGCATTTATATATTAAATGAGTCATTATTAAATAGTCGATCTGTAAGATTAATATGTCCCACGTTAATACCACCTGAGACGACATATTACTGCTTCTTCTTCTGTGACTTGCCCCAAGTTACACATAATTAAATAGTACATCAAGAGCAGCGATCTCAGTTATGAGATATGAAATTGCTCTGAAAATATCAACATTAGGCACAATAATGATTATTTCCTCCCAGAATATCATAATTCAAAACCTAACTTGTAGAAAATAAATGTTTTANAAAATGTACGATATTCGTTAAATATATAGAAAATATAGGACAAATATTTTGTTCTACTAGGGCTCCATTTATATTTTAAATGAGTCATTATTAAATAGTCGATCTGTAAGATTAACACTTTGCATATCAAAGTTAAAATTCTTTAGCATTACTTGCCTGATTAGAAAAAATTTGGTAAATGTTTTGAAAATATTATTAGAAAAGATTTAAGAGTTGTTCATTTGTTCAATAATAGGCATCGATCTATTCGGTGTGAGTATTACTTCATTTTGTTGTACGTTTCTGGTTCTTTATCCGCGGTCGATTATTTTTTAATTAATGCTTAATTTACGGGAATTCATTGTTACAGATGGAATTCATTTTGTTGTACGTTTCTGGTTCTTTATCCGCGGTCGATTATTTTTTAATTAATGCTTAATTTACGGGAATTAATTGTTACAGATGGAACAGTTTACAGTCCTGTGGCTGTTATTCGCCGTAATCGTGGCGGGAAACTCGGCTGTCCTGGCGGGTCTTCTCCTGGGCAAAAGGCGAAAGTCTCGCATGGATTTCTTCATCAAGCAGCTTGCTTTTGCAGGTACGTCGCTGCATAAATAACAACGAAGAAGTGGATGTAAATTGTAATAACACGGCTGTATTCACCCGTTGAAGTATCTCACGAAACTCATATAAGCGACCACCCACCGGCATAATTTACAAGGAGGTAAAGAGGTTCTCCTTCGAGAACAACGTTGATTTTCCACCTCATTGTTTCTATGCGAAGCGACGGTACGAGAATCTCGAGGGAAGCCATTGTTGAAGGTGGTCGTAAATATAGCAGACATTTTTGAACATTTGACCAATTCGTTAACAAAAATACCCAAGTTTACCAGAAACGCGAAGAACTACGTCAAGACATTTCACGATTGAAGCCAGTTTTTATAATTTAAAATATCCCTTCCGCGGTAAAGTTCAAAATGTTGATCAATTGATTTTTCATTTGAATCCCTCGAATTTCAAGAAATTCGTGACATTCCCTAGTAGCATAGAATAATTTCTAAATATTTGACAGAACATCAAAAAATTTCATAATTAGTTACTGTTTCTGATAAAAAATTGTCATTTACTTGTTCATATTTTTCCAAATATTAATGGTATTTAAAAAGGCGTCCATCAAAGCCGAGCTAATGCCATTCGAGAATTGAGCCTTCGTAGAGCCTTCGATAATTGTATATTGATCGAAATATGAGAGCTCGACGCTGTTTCGGTTCTGGTCTGGGCTAAGTTAAAATATTTTTTCCGAAAATCCAAACTTTGAATGTGTCAGGACAATTCTTAGATGATCGGGAGTGATGTGTCAAAGTTACGGACAGTTTGGTCTAATACCCTTAAAAAAAATGTGTATTCGAATTGACTGATTTGAAGGGGGTTTCACTTCACTTTAAGTACGCTCACACGGATTTTCGTTCCAAAACATCAAAGGGAGCCCTTCCATCGCTTTTTCAGCTTATTAAGCTCAGAAACGGCAATAATTTGCAGAAGCGAGGTAACCCCGCAATTGCCAAAAGCCAATTTCCTTTACGTTTAGTCGGGGTTTCTCTGTCCCGCTCTGATCGTCAGAAGCTCGCTCTAGATTTACCCATCACACCTCGCCGGCCATTTAGCTGAAAATGACATTAGGGCACTGCTCGTTTACATTTACGGTCCACCCAGAAACCTTCTTTTTCGACTGTTCCTGGGTTAGTGTCCCTCGAAGTTAGACCGAGTAAGGAAATCTTATACAGTGCTCGCAAAAAATGTAATCAGGGGTACCGCCCGTGCTCGGTACGATTTTTATTTCTGTACAAAAAAAAAATACCTGGTGTTTCTAATAATTATTTAATACGTTATATGCATAGTTAATAAGCTGGTATATACAAGAAAAGATTATAATAAGCAAAATTCTACTGAAAAAGTTTCCATAACAAAATAAATGTTCTCTCCAGTAATCAGTTATAAGGGGGTAGGCCATTTGGATCGCCGAAAATCATGCGTAAGTTTGTAAATTTCTTTCTAGTAAACAGTAAATCCAGTGAAAGTACTGTACAACGTTTGACGAGCAAAAAGCAACTTTTTATTCGTAATTTGTTCGCAAAATTGTGGACTCGTGATCGTTCTGCTGGAGCACCTCTTTTATTGGATCATTAATCAGCGTTGCGGGTTTCTCAAACACCGGGTGACCTAGAGCAAAAACCGAAATTCCACATTTCGTACGTACTGAAAACCGTAAAAGTACATACGGAAATTGTAAAATATGCATTTTTAAAGAAATAGTGAACATGTGAATAAAACATTTCATTTCCGGCTCCGACATTTTTAATAAAGATAACTATGAAAACAACATTTTTCAATGTATCGTAAAATTCGTAAGTATTGTTTTATATCAACATATTAAGAAGATTTTTACAAAATTTCAAATACATCGGACTGGTAGTTCCATTGATTCAATGAAATTTATTTTATCAGTGTATGCAAAGGCCACAAAAGAAACATTGATATCTAACAGCCAAGCTTATTAATATCAGCCGCAAAGATTTCCCGACCTTTCATACGCTTAAAAATCAAAACGTTCCCAAAACCTGCATATATATTATACATGAATAAAACAGAAATGCTCACAGGAATTTCAATACCCATTCCCGAGTTCTCGCGCTTTCTCCCTGAGTATCTATAAATAAATTTTTGTTAAAAAAAGAGCCTCGAAAAATTAGTTCCATTTCAAGTGAGATCTCTAGAGGGAAATTACTTTACGAGCATTTTCTTTCCCATTTGACGTAAAACGCTGCCAACTTCTCATTGTCAAGTCGCGGCCTCGAAGAAGAGGTCCCGCATTGTCCAGCATTGTCCATCCGGACGTTCCTCCCTGGTGAAGCCTGGCTTGACCATTACTTCTACTCGGACCAGCTTTCCTGCATTGTCCCTTTTCCCGCGAAGAGACGCACCTCCGACCTCTCGTAGATTCTTCCGCGAAATCCACCGAGAAGCAAGACTCGACCCCATCGGTAATTCAGACTTATTTCCCGCCATAGCGAAGAGACTCGCCGACTTAAGGTGAAGTTAAACCCTCTTCAAATCAGTCGATTCGAATACAACACTTTTTTCTAAGGGTATTCGACCAAACTGTTCGAAACTTTGACACATCACTCCTCATCATCTAAAAATTATCCTGACGCATTTAAAATTTGGATTTTTGGACAACATTTTTTAACTTAGCCCAGACCAAACGAAAATGGCGTCGAGCTCTCATATTTCGATCAATATACAATTATCGATGGCTCTGATATGAGAAACTAAAGGGTCAGAACAATTTTACGACAATTTATAACACTCTGGTAATCGATAAACTCGCATTTGAACGGAATGAAGGCAAAAAAAGTGTTGTATGCGCTTCTATGCTAAAACGATGGGAATACGAAGTCTCGGAGTGAAAATTTAATTAACCTGGAAATCACAGATGGCGCAGGGTGTACCTCTGCAGTCAATTAGGGCCCCAGAAAGCATGAATCCAGAGGATTTCTGGAGTTTTACTTCGATTTCTTGATATTTATTGTCGGAGTATGCCATTTGGTACAATATCCAATATAATTCGACACAGCTGGCGATATAAAAACGAACGTCGGCAACGTAGGCATTTAGAAAAATCTTCATCGACGTCGATCAAGTTCCTCGACGTGTCTCACTTCACCTTAAGGTGTTGTATATAAGGTGTTGTAATTGTACATTGATCGAAATATCAGAGCTCGACGCCATTTTGGTTCTGGTCTGGGCTGAGTTGAAAAATGTTGTTAAAAAATTCAAATTTTGAACGTGTCAGGACAATTCTTAGATGATCAGGAGTGATGTGTCAATGTTTCGGGCAGTTTGGTCTAATACCCTTAAAAAAAAGTGTTGTATTCGAATCGATTGATTTGGAGGGGGTTTCACTTCACCTTAAGCGCCATTTCCCCATTGTCCTTCGGCCGTGTACTTCTATGAGACCGACAAGAACCGGGATCGTTTATTTCTCCGGTCGCCCACATTGTCTCGGTCATTGGCCGAACGAATCTAAGAATCCCTCCTCGTTCTCGGGTTAGTTATCGCCTCCCTCTAAGAAGGATTCAAAAGAATTTCCCTGTACGAACGTTATCGACATCGAACGCCATGAAAGAAGGTACTCAAATGATTTCCTTGCTGAAACATGTTGACATGCTTCCAAGTAATCCCCACGAAGGACTCGACTAAAAACCTCGTTTGAAGAATTTCGCGATAATTGGGAGACATTGCATAATGTAATGCAGTTTACAAGAACGCATGGGCACGTTCATTGTCGAGATATTACCAGATGCCATACAATTTCTGTCCCTGTATATTATTTACTATATTATGTCCATATAAATCCAATTTAGGTAAACCTGACAGTCTCATTGTGTTAATTTTATTTTCTCTTCGGTACCTCCCAGGATGCACATTTTTCTTGTAAAATTTTCATCTTGGTTTATCACCATTTTTTACAATAATTTGACGGCTTAAGATATTCAAAGTAATTTCTCTTTCCTTTCCAGCGGGCGAATTATTTTTCCTTCAAATAGAAGAGGTAAACGGGTTTTTATATTCTGCGGTAGTTGAAATAAGGGTTCTCTTCTCTTTGATAATATTTTTCGTCGAAAGGTTCTCGAAGGTATCGGAGTCTTGTAGAAATAAGATAACCTGGGGGTTGTTTTCGTATTATATCCCGTATTGTTTCGACCAGTCGTATATTTGCGCCGATAGAAAGGCAAGGTACAATTATCAGTGACAGGGCATAAAGATCGCCCGGTCGCGTAACAGTCGTGACCATTAAAAGTTTATCGTCCCCGGTACTAAATAACACCTCGCTGAGAAGCACGGTAATTTGAAGCGATGAGAGAATTGCCACTTGATCTCCCATTTAAGTTGGTTCCCTGTGCTCGAGGTACCTGTCGTAATACACCGCGTATGCTCGGATCTCGTCATCCTCGGTGCGCACGGATTGCTCTACATACTCGTATAACATTCTTTACAAAAATCACTGCAAAATCACGGCAACATTAAATTAAATGAAAATTAAAACTGAAGAATTTAATATATTGTATCCTAATTCCAAGGAATGAGAGAAGTTCCTCTTTGCACTTCACCGATAATGCGCACGGTTTGCTCAGCATACTCATATGATAACTTTCAAAACGCACGGATTGCTCTACATACTCGTATAACATTCTTTACAAAAGCCACAGCAAAATCGCAGCAACATTAAATTAAGTGAAAATTAAAACTGAAGAATTTAATATATTGTATCCTAATTCCAAGGAATGAGAGAACTGCTACTTGATCTTCCATTTAAGTTAGCCCTCTTTGCGCGTCACCAATAATGCGCACGGTTTGCTCAGCATACTCACATAATAACTTTCGAAAATCTGTAAAATCATTATAAAATTTAATTGGGGGGAGATTAAAGCGTGGAAGGAATTTAAACCGACTTTGTTTTACTTGCAAGTAATGAGAAAATTGTTCACCTGATCCCCCATCTAAATTAATCTCCTTCATTCGAAGTACGCAAACGCATCGCTTAAGGAAAGTGGCGTCTGAAAGGGTTTCGTTTATGGAACTTTTTTTTTAAACTGGGTATACCGAATCGTTTGAACTTCTATCACGTGAATATAGAGGTCTTGAGAAATACCCTGACACCTGTGAAATTTAATCTTTTAAATTTGTTTTATAGACTTTTTGAAAAATATTTATAAGAAAAGAAATTTCATGAATGTCGGGACTTTACTTAGAACTTCCACAATCACGAGGTAACATTTCAAACGATTCGGTGCAGCTAGTTAGGAAAAAAGTTTCTTAAACGAGACCCCTCAAGCCCCGCTTAACTCATATCACTTTAAGTAATACAGCCCTTGGTGGCCATAAATTGCTCGAGGTCCTCATAAAATAATCCTGACAAAATGAACCGCAAAAAGTGTGTAAAATTCAAGTAGGGTGAATTAAAAATGGAGGAAGGGAATTTAGCCCCTCTTGGTTTTAATTACCTCTTTGAGTGGAACGGCAGCTTGGCCGCAATGCCTCTGGTACGCGCCGCTCGTGTTCCTTGTATGCTACTTATTTATGTATGCCTAGACATATACACGCACGGAGATTTACAAACACGTGTGTTCTAGCACATGACAAGCTTAATTCGAGCCCCGGCGTGCATTATTCCCGGAGACGTACGCGCGAGTCAATTGCGGCGGATCCTTTCAAAGACGGTCTTGCGCCAAGTACTTAGCCGCCTCTATAAATATGATTTCGTGCAATAATTATTTTGATCTAAAGCGAGCCTTTTATTTCGTGCTGGTCCCTTTTGTCGCAAGTGCCTGACAGTTTGATTACAAGCTTGTCGGGGCGACTTGCATGGCGACGTACCGTGATTACTTTCCGTACAGCTTCTGGCCTGTGTTATTATCGGGGGCCGTCGATATATCGTGCTTACGAAATTCTTACCAACTCCCATGAAACTTCGGAAAGACGCGCACCATTGTCTCGCGCCTTTTTATTTCCCTTCGGTTACTCTCCGTCCCATTCTTTCCGGCTGCAAGAGCAGATATATCCACGCTCCGAAAGACATGCTAATTAAAAACGCCCCTTGACCACCTCTTTACTTTTTCAGTAATTAGCAAAACCTATCTTGTTCATTAGCCGTAAGAACAAAAGTTCCTCTCACGCATTTTAGAAAGAAGACGTTTCTCGGAGTACTACAGGTTTTCATGTATTAACACTTCGGGCTTGTAAAACGATTCAACGTAATTCCAAAAGTACTCGAGTTTAAACTAATTAAAAGTGAACAAATCGGAAACATATTCGAGAATTTCTGACGATTTTTTCGTACGTTTCAATCAAATGCCCTGAGAAGAAAAACAATTGTTATTAATTCATGAAACACATCGTCAAAGTTTTATTTAAATAGGATTTACTTAATTTATAATAGACTCGCAGATGGATTCAATACATGTACTTTTTAATTTTACAAACTAGTTTAAATAATTTTCGATAAAACGTCATAAACTTCAAAACTTTTTCGTACATTTACAATCATTGTACCCAAAGTTAAATCATGGTCATCAAATGGTAATCAATCGTAAATCAAATTTGTAATTTTCTGCAACTTTGTACTATCAGATCGTAAGAAATTTACAAAGATAGACAGAACAGGGCAGAATAATATTAACGAATGTTTCAGCAGATTTTATTTTGATCCAATGGTTGCCTTAACTGTATTGTTATTAACAGGAAATTATAACTTTCTTAAGAGTTGTAATTGTAATTCAGAGTTTCAATTAAAATGGGTAGAAAAATGAAAAAAATATTGAAAGGAAGCCTTCTCTTCGGTGCCGTTGCCCTCCTTAGTTTCTCTCTGTAACTCCATTACCTACTTTCCACACGGAGAGAAAAAAGTTGTTATAATTACTACAATTGGGATAGATATAACAGCAATCGCTGGTAAATATAAGGACAGGAGTTCTACAAAGTAATGATTACTCTGCTAAAAATGTCAAATGTACAATTTCATTGTCGTACACATTATTACAAAGAATGATTACGGTTACAACGATACGACAGTTATATTTACAATCGTGACAGTATAAACTCGTCAACCGAAGCAATAGTTATCACATAACGTGTGTATATGATAACGTTCGCTAGTATACCCTTTACTGTTGATACATGTAGAAAGTAACATGCAGCAACGCATTTATTACCGTTGGGGTGGCTAGAAAATACAATAGCGACATGTGTATATTACAGTCAGCTCGTGTAAAAACTACCATTGACAAACGTCAACATATATGTATGTTGTCGTTGTTGCATGTAAAAAGTATCATTGTAAACGGTATCCTTTCCTGTCGGGAACTCGGGAAATCACTACAGATATAATATATTGAAAACGGTAAATATTTGTTTTATGTAAAGCTTACCTTGGAACGATTGTTGTAGGTTTTCTAACCTCTATTCCTGAAGTTCATCTTTTACAACGTCATCCATGTAGTCCCTTAATCAAACTATTACAATGAATTGAAAAAGTATAACTTGATCTTAGATTAGATCGAAAACCGAATTTCGAAGAGAACCGAATGATGCGGCTACCGAAGTCACAATGAGTCTAACAATTCGCAGGACTGTGCAACTAATGCATGTCACGACCCGAATGCTTCTCGCGCTGTGTCTTAAACGCACAATAGGAACAGCAACAGTTCACGCTTGTAAAAATTACTAGTGCTACGGTATATTATACGGTTTTCAATAGAATTCTTGTTTTTAAATTTTACACGTGCCTTTATACGTGTAATTTTTACTTTCCAATGTTATACATGTAACGCTGTCAGGTGCAAATATAACAACAATTTATTTACAAGAATTCTGCAGTTGGTCCTATAGCCACAATCGTTAAAAGGGCAAAAAATTGTAATTACATCTACAATAATTGTTGTTAAGGTTACAACGATACTTTGACCCGCGAGAATATGTAATGATTACAATATTATTCTTCTATCTACAATGAATTGAAAAACTAAAATTCGATCTTGAATTAGATCGAAAACCGAATTTCGAAGAGGACCAAATGATGCGGCTACCGAAGTCGCAATGAATCTAACAGTTCGCAGGACTGCGCAACTAATGCATGTCGCGACTCGAATGCTTCTAGGAACAGTAACAGTTCACGAATGTAAAAAATTCTAGTGCTACGGTATATTATACGGTTTTCAATAGAGTTCTTGCTTCTAAATTTTACAACTGTGATGGTCATTTTTACCCGTGCCTTCATACGTGTAATTTTTACTTTCCAATGTTATACATGTAACCCTGTCAGATGCAAATATAACCACAATTTCTTTAAAAGAATTCTACGGTTGGTCCTACAGCCGCAATGGTTAAAAGGGCAAAAAATTGTAATTACGTCTACAATAATTGTTGTTAAGGTTACAACGATACTTTGACCCGCTAGCATATGTAATGATTACAATATTATTTTTCTGCGTGCAGTGAAACAATGCCCAAAGACTTGTACTTCCTTTTTCAGATTTACTGGTGGGACTGATATCGGTCTTGACAGATATCGTTTGGAGGACCACCGTAGCATGGCACGCCGGTAACGTCGCCTGCAAGTTGATAAGGTTCATGCAAGCAGTAGTGACGTATAGTTCGACCTACGTCTTAGTGGCTCTGTCCATCGACAGATACGATGCCATTACTCGACCCATGAACTTCTCGGGGAGCTGTAAGTATGGAAATTATACTCCAGAAAAGAAAAACCATCTCGAGTTACCACGAAGTGCCTTCTATTTCGCGCCGCCGCGCCGGCTTAACGAGCGGGAACATTCTCTTGTCTCGGGAGGAACCACTTTGTCATGTCTTGTATACTTCCTCTCCTCTTCCCTCCCCTCTTGATTTACGTAAAACAATGAATTCTTCTCCACTCCAACAAAATTTCGACGAAGAGAAAAATAACATCAAGTCTCCCGTAGGTAGAAACTGCATGAAAAGAACTATCTACAGATTGAAACACTCCCCTAGTAGCATGGAATAATTTCGAAATATTTCTTTGTAATCTTTGCTAAATATCTCAAGCGACTGATTTTTTAAGATTTCTTGTAGATTTCATTCGAAGATATTTGAAATATTTCTTGAAAATCTCAATGATATATTTAGTTTCAATAATTTATAAACATATAGAGAAATTATATTTTTAACTTATGAACATAATAAAAATACATTTTTTACTTCACGACTATTATCGGACACTTCATTTGGTGTTAAAAAACACAAGAAATTTTGTCTGAAAAATTTTCGTTCCGCTATTTCATTATGGGAGCAAAACGTGAGATTTTGATTTTAAATATTTTTAAAACGTTTACAATGTATTCGGCACATAATATTTAAAAAATCGGGAGGAACCACTTTGTCATGTCTTGTATACTTCCTCTCCTCTTCCCTCCCCTCTTGATTTACGTAAAACAATGAATTCTTCTCCACTCCAACAAAATTTCGACGAAGAGAAAAATAAACATCAAGTCTCCCGTAGGTAGAAACTGCATGAAAAGAACTATCTACAAATTGAAACACTCCCCTAGTAGCATAGAATAATTTCGAAATATTTCTTTGTAATCTTTGCTAAATATCTCAAGCGACTGATTTTTTAAGATTTCTTGTAGATTTCATTCGAAGATATTTGAAATANAGTAAACGTTTGGCAAATATTTCAAATGTCTGCTAAATATTAACAAAATGTACGATATTCGTTAAATATATAGAAAATATAGAACAAATATTTTGTGCTACTAGGGCTCCCAACTCGACTATGATTTAACCAAATTTATAAAAGGTGACGAGAGCGGGTTGCAAAGACCTCTGTCAAGTTTATTAATGCGACACGTTGTTTATAAGAAAATCTTGCAAACGAAAAATCACATTCTGGATTGGATGTCTTGAGAAAATGAAAAAGGTAAAAGTTGCAACGCTTTAGCGGACGATTGAAGTGCAATCTGGAATTTTCTAGGATTTTCTAATTCGTCTACTTATCAATAACGCACCTGCGGAGGTTTGTTTAACTAAATTTGCTCCTGGAGAGAATAATCGCATCCTTCGGACATAATCTCGACACTCGAGGGTTCCCCTTTGGGCCGAGGAATAATCCCATCGGATTACTCGCGATTTCTCTAACCCGCCCTTCCTGGTCTTTCCGAAGGACCACCATTTTTGGGATTTGCTACGAAAGCGCGTTTAAATCCTCGCCTGTACTCGTCGATAAATCACACATTCGACTAAAGCGATGGAGATATCAATCCAAAGAACAACCCCTATATCGATTGTCTCCCTCTCCATTAATATCTCTGATATCAGACCTAATGGTCTCAAAAGCTCTCCGCAATCTTCCTTAAAATATTAGAAAGACACGTATACTATTTATCAATCCTGTTACTAAAGGGATAAATAATAGAAATTCAAACTATGAAATACTTAAGGTATATGAAAGGGTTCTTCCATATACAGCAAAACGCCGAAATATTTAGAAAACTTTTCTTCAAACTGAGTGCACCGAATCATTTGAAGCTTTAACACGTGATTATAGAGATCCTAACAAAGGTCTTGAAACTCGGAAAAATTCATTTTTCGAACTAAAATTTTGTTTGGTTCCTATCCTAAATAAATAAACAATTTTGTTCGAAAAATGAAATTTTGGGAGTTTTAAGATCTTCACTAAGACCTTCATAATCACGCGTTAAAGTTTCCAAATATTTGGTGCACCCCATTTAGAGAAAAGTTTTATAAATATTTTCACTTTTTGATATATAACACATTTATAACATTTTGAGTGACATTACAAGTTGAGTTTTCTCGAGATGCTTTTTAGAAATACCTTTGTATCAAATTTAGGGTTTTTCTTGGGGATCTATATCTTTTAATACTGAGAGTGTTTTTTTTTAAAGCACAGAGTTAACATTTTTTTACTTAGGGATTTGACTGTACTTCCATCTCTTGAGAAGTTTCATCGATAAAGCACTTCGTTTCGAGGGAAGCCAATTTTTCTAAAAGGGACCGATGGTAATCAGTCGATTTCCTTCCAGTTTTCATCTCAAATATATCCAAGGATTCTTCCAGCGAGATAAACCGAAAAATCGGGTAATAACTTGGAGCACTCCTTGTCAAATTTTCCGAAAATTTACGACACAAGCAGCCGTCTCCACCGCGCACTTTTTGGACGTCCGAAGTTTCCGAGAAAGAATCTTTTCTTCGACGAAAAAGGAACAGCTCCGGTGGCTCGATAAAATGCAAATTCAATTCGTCTCCAGGGTATGGACACGTCGAGTAAATGCAAATTCGGTCGGACTACTCGAAAGTAGACTTCAATTATGACGAGGCTATTGTGTCTTCGAATGAAATTTGAAAAAAAAAAACTGATCGGGTTTCCTTTTTCTTTCAGGGAGGCGAGCTCGATTTTTAATATCTGCAGCTTGGGGTCTGTCCTTCCTATTCAGCGTGCCCATCATCTTCCTTTACGAAGAGAAATTAATTCAGGTACTAGAAAAATTAAATTCACGATTTACAATTAAATCCACAATTAAACACGAGGTATCCACAGTAGTATACAAATTACTAATTCACAACAACATGCTTGCGAGCAAATATGTAAAGAAACAATTAACATGAAAAGATCTCAAGAAATACAATTTTTATTTATGAACTTATTCCGAGACATACTCGGAATTTTTTAATCTTTTAAAATCTCCAGGGAGTAGTTATATAGATTCTTTCAGTCGCGGTACAGACTGATTTTTAATTTCAATTTTAAGGTGAAGTGAAACACGTCGAGGAACTTGATCGACGTCGATAAAGAAGATTTTTCTAAATGCCTACGTTGCCGATGTTCGATTTTATATTGACAGCTGTGTCGAATTATATTGGATATTGTCCCAAATGGCATACTCCACCTGTCGTTTTCGTACAATAATTATAAAGAAATCGAAGTAAAACTCCAGAAATCTTCTGGATTCATGCTTTCCGGAGCCCTAATTGACTGCAGAGGGACCCCCTGCGCCATCTGTGATTTCCAGGTCAATTAAGTTTTCACTCCGAGACCTCGTATTCCCATCCTCTTAGCATAGAAGCGCATACAACACTTTTTTCGCCTTTATCCCGTTCAAATGCCAGTTTATCGACTACCAGAGTGTTCTAAATTGCCGTAAAATTGTCCTGAATCTTTCGATTCTCATATTAGAGCCTTCGATAATAATAATATGAGAGCTCAACGCCATTTTTGCTCTGGTCTGGGCTGAGTTAAAAAATGTTGTTAAAAAAGTCCAAATTTTTAATATGTCAGGACAATTCTTAGACGATCAGGAGTGATGTGTCAAGGTTTCGGACAGTTTGGTCTAATACCCTTAAAAAAAAGTGTTTTATCCGAATCGACTGATTTGAAGGAGGTTTCACTTCACCTTAATAAGAAACGGTCCGATAAAAAGTCTTGATGTGTTCCGAACGTCATGAACATTCAAGGACAGCATTCCTTCGCATTCTTGGGCGGTGTCAACGACTTTCCACGAAAGACGACCCCAAGAGATGCTCGTAACAATTGACGCTTTTATACGTATTGCGCAATTGAATGTCTTGTGCGGCGCCCAAGGTTCCATCATCCAAAGACCCGAGACAAACGAGATTCTGTCGAAAGTAGTCGAGATTATTGTCCTCCAAATTGCCTTGGATCGTTTACCCTTGAAACACCGCAATTTTCCTTTCCACTGTTCCATCCCGCACCATGTAAGATCCCCTTCGCAATCGAAGACTAACCCTGGAATTTCGCATCTCATCTCCGATAAAGAAAATTTCTATAAAGAATTATCGTCATGTAATCATTATACATCGACTTTCAAAAGTTTCGAGTCACACCTCTCTGTAGAAACTAAAAATTCGTTAAATTGATGAATTTTTAGTTTCTACAACATTTCCAAGATGTTGAATGGCCAAATTGACTTAACGACACTCGTAACGATGTAGAATAAACGAAACAACATTGGAATAGAACATGATCATTAAGTACCTCGACAATTGCCAAAAAAATGTTTAATTACCCATCTTACACTGTTCTCTAACATGTTCACCTTTGAAGACGGTAACCATATGTTTAAATAATCCTTCTCTGTGTTAATAGATCACACTCTCATTCCTGCCGAGACTTCACCTATCGGTGGTGTACACTTTTGACTTAAAATGAAGTGAAACACATCGAGAAATTTCATCGACGTCAATAAAAAAGATTCTTCTAAATATCTACGTTACCGTCGTTCGTATTTATATCGACAACCGTGTCGAATTATATTGAGTATCGTACTAAATAGCGTACACCATATGTCGTTTCCGTACAATAATTATAAAGAAATCGAAGTAAAATTCCAGAAATCTCCTAAATTCATGGTTTCTTATACCCTAATTGACTGCAAACTGCCTCCCTGCGCCATCTGTGATTTTAATGTCAACTAGATTTTCTCTCCGAGATCTCGTGTTACCTTCGCTTTAGCACAGAAACGCGTAAGATCCTTTTTTGCCTATATCTCGTTCAAATGCGAGTTTCTCGATTACTAGAGTGTTCTAAATTGCCGTAAAATTGTCCTGACCCTTTCGTTTCTCATATCGGAGCCTTCGATAAATTTATATTGATCGAAATATGAGAGCTCGACGCCATTTTGATTCTGATCTGGACAAAGTTAAAAAATTATTTCCAAAAATCCAAATTTTGAATGTGTCAGGACAATTCTTAGATGATCAGGAATGATATGTCAAGGTTTCGCACAGTTTGGTCTAGTACCCTTAAAAAAAGCGTTATATTGGAATTGACTGATTTGAAGGGGGTTTCACTTTACCTTAATTACCTTTAAACCATCCCCAAGACTGTTATCAATTTTTAGACAGTCTGAAAATTGACCTTTAATCATCCAGAGCAATCCTCATCTATCCCAGATCGATGGAGAAGCACGGCTAAGCACTAATCTTGAGGATTGTCTTCAAGGCACGACGCAGTGTTGCATAGATCTAGGTTCGCCGGTTTATTAGAGGATTAACATGAGTCTGGTCAAAAAAGTGTCTTATTCGAATCGACTGATTTGAGCGGGTTTCAATCTACCTTAAGTACCTTTAAACCTTCCTGTAGACTGTTTTTAATTTTTAGACAGTCTGAAAATTCACCTTTAATCATCCAGAGCAATCCTCATCTATCCCAGATCGATGGAAAAGCACGGCTAAGCACTAATCTTGAGGATTGTCTTCAGGGCACGATGCAGTGTTGGATAGACCTAGGTTCTCCGGTTTAGTAAAGGATTAACATGAGTCTGGTCAAAAAAGTGTCTTATTCGAATCCACTGATTTGAGCGGGTTTCACTCTACTTTAAGTACCTTTAAACCTTCCCCTAGACTGTTTTTAATTTTTAGACAGTCTGAAAATTTATCTTTAATTATCCAGAGCAATCCCGATCTATCCCAGATCGATGGAAAAGCACGTCTAAGCACTAATCTTGAGGATTATCTTTAGGGCACGACGCAATGTTGGATAGACCTAGGTTCTCCGGTTCAATAGAAGATTAACATGAGTCTGATCAAAAAAGTGTCTTATTCTAATCAACTGATTTAAGCGGGTTTCACTCTACCTTAAGTACCTTTAACACTAGAACTACCGAGACCAGTCAAAATGACTGGTTTCAAATGGCCCATCCTATACAAAAAAAACCCGCCGGTAGTTCTAGTGTTAAACCTTCCCTGAGACTGTTTTTAATTTTTAGACAGTCTGACAATTGACCTTTAATTATCCAAAGCAATCCCGATCTATCCCAGTTCGATGGAGAAGCACGGCTAAGCACTAATCTTGTGGATTGTCTTTAGGGCACGACGCAGTGTTGGATAGACCTAGGTTCTCCGGTTCAATGGAGGGTTTACATGAGTCTGGTCAGCGTCACGTTGTTCATAGCACCGACGTTAATAATCGGCGGCTGTTACATGGTCATCGTGACGACAATTTGGTCGCAAAGTGGAGCCTTGCGACAGGGCCCGGTTAAGGACACGAGAAGAGCGTCCTCGAGGGGCCTGATACCCAGGGCGAAGATCAAGACCGTCAAGATGACGTTTGTCATAGTTTTCGGTGAGCGATGACACCCACGCGGGGAAATGTCAAGTCGGAATTGCGGAGCCCTGGTCGGACGTATCGTCGACCCCGTGTAATGGCCCGGGGAAGAGTAAAAGAATTTTTATGCCTCGAATAAAAATGCCGATGTCGCGGAAACGATCGTGCTTGTCCCGCGGGAAAACAGGCTATCGTTCTGGTCTTATCAGAACTTCTTTTCAGAGCGCGCCTCTCGCAAAAGCGAAATGCTTTATTCGAGACGGGAATATGAAGGAAAGGTTTATAGAACTTTTTCAATTATGAATGAATTAGACGACGAAGTAACGTTTAATTTGTTGTTTGACGAGATATTCTCTTTTGGGAGCCTTAAAATGGGTATTACATAGGCTCCGAATACGAAACGATAATTTAAAATAGAACAATTTTGCATTTCTGAAAAAAAGATAATCTGAAAATGGTTACTCGGTTTTTGTGTTATACTTCGGTACTGGTATACATTGTAAAATAAGACTGTGGGTACTTATGTAGGATAAGGAATAATTGGCAGTAGTTCATATAAAATTGTACCGCATTTTGTTTACCTATCTAGAAGGTGCTAATTATAACGTTTCATGACGGTTAATCGTTGTTGAAAATGATTTACTTCATTTTTAAATGAACTTTATCATTGCCAGTTTCTTGTGAAGTTAAAGAAATTGAAAAGTAAATAGAGACACTTAAAAGTAAACTCTCGAATCACCTGAATCATCAGGTAAGTGTTTTTCTCTGCTATGCGGTATACTTTAGTACATTTTAGATCCCGGAACGGCCGCAATTCGGTAGAAAGCATTCGGAAGTTTTCTCAGAGTATTTTCTCCAAGATTCCGGTTACCGGACCACGTCTATCTTGTCAATAGTACTCGGCATATACATCGCATCCATTACTCGAGCAGTAATTCGAGTGCTAAAAGCCTCCGGTCTGCCTTCAGGCGCAATCGGTTTTCTTACATTTCCTTCTTTTTAAGTACTAACAACGGTATCAACAACGAGAAATCGTCAATCATGCAAAATCCCCAGACATAATAAAATCATCAAGAACAATTGTCTCTATTTCCGGAAGTAAAAATGAATTCAAAAGAAATTCCAACGATTGCCTTTTATTATCATGTCAGTCCAGTTTAGTTAAAAATGGAAGCAAAGCAGATTGTGAAAATAAAGTGAGCGAAAATACGTGGGAAAAAAATGTCAATATATTTAACCTGAATATTGTAACAAGAATTGAAGGAGGTCAAAGAATCGAACTTTCAGGAGAACGTGAGTAGAAAAATAAGAAACGATAGGGCGCGAATTGTAGGGTGCGGTGAAGATCCTCGCCAGTTTCCCTGCAACATTCTCGAAAATCCATCGACCTCAAAGATAGTTAAGAAAAAGTTAACCATCAAACGTTATCCTTCCCGTAATCCGGTTTCCGTAACGATCCGACCAGGGGGGCCGAGCGAGAAGACTTGGAAAAAACTGCGAAACGGTGACTCCCGGAGTTTTACTCTTCAAGACTGGACACGTGTTTAGTAAATCGCTTTATCCCGCTATTTGTCTTCTGGAGACATGTTTGCCCGAATGTTCCGAGTTTGATCTTCGGAGCTTTTAATCGCGGGGAACACTTGCTCACGCATGCAATAAGCTTAAGGTGACGTGAAAGTGATGTCGAAGAGGCTTCGTTTATGAAACTTTTCACCGAACTGGGGGTACTAAATCGTTTCAAACTTTACGGTGTGAACATGGAGACTGTAAAGAAAATCCGGACACCCAAAAAATTTTAATTTTTAAAAGATTTCTTAATAGACGTTTTAAAAATTGCTTATAAAGTGAAATTTTAATGGGTGTCAGGATCTTCCTTATTGCCTCCATATTCACGTTGCAAAGTTTGAACAAACTATTCGGTACTTCCAGTTCAGAGAAAAGTTTCATGAACGATCGACCTCTCAGATGCCACTTTTACGTCCCCTTAAAGGGGTTACTAAAGGTCATGAAATGCATTTCAATCAAAATGAGATTAAAAGAGAATGAAAATATATAGGAAATGCAGACAGAAGTTTTTAGTATTTTTAGTATTTTACCGCGAATTAAAGTTAAAAACATTGTTAAACATTTCAAAGTGGCGGACTTGAGGGGCTGGCAATTTTTCATATTTTCTTTGTTGTGTACCTGATTCCAAAATAACAAGTCTAAAATAAAAAGTGGTTTGTAGAATCGACAATTAAAATGTAAGAAGAATTGAAAACATGATTTCTATGTTTTTTTTTTTTAATAGAATCTGAATATCTTCTTCATAAAAAAACATTACCGGCAATGCCCAAATATTTTTTTTTTCAAAATTTTAAAACCATCTGAGCTTTTTGTTTCAAACTTGCCGTTCTCCTAGATTTATATACACCGTGAAAACATAATCAAAAATTTCCAACCTCTCCCAGTTCGTCATTTGGAATGTGGTAAAATTATATTATCTTAATTTCGCCGTAAAATATCAAATAAAATACTCCATAAGCAAATATTTCATATATTTTTTCATTATCTTTTAAACTCCCTTTGATTAAAATGCATTTCTCAACCTCTTAACCCTTTTAAGAGGAATTAAAGTTTCTTCGTTATCGGAGGGATTCAATTACATCTGAATTTCTCCCTAATCTTTTGGACGTTCATAAGTACGAGAATTGAGTAATTTTACAAAAATAGAACAGGTATAACGTATTCTATGGTTTCCAGCGTAACATTAATTGTTCTTTTCAATAAATAGTAAATAGGAAGGTATTCAAACTATTTCTAATTAGATATCGGTCGAAGGCAGTCTACCGACTAATGAATGTTTCCAACAGTTCCTTGCACAGATTATTAGAAAAAAGAATAAGAAATTAAAATACTTTAAAAAGTCACGTGGTGGATAGTAGAAATAGAATTTTAGAAATTCGTTCGTAATTTTAAAAACGTACCATTAGAACTTGTTCCGTGTACAGATTATTAGAAAAAAGAATGGGAAATGAAGATACTTTAAAAAGTCACGTGGTATATAATAGAAATAGAATTTTAGAAGTTCGTTCGTAATTTTAAAGACGTACCATTAGAACTTGTTCCGTGCACAGATTATTAGAAAAAAGAATGGGAAATTAAGATACTTTAAAAAATCACGTGGTAGATAATAGAAGTAGAATTTTAGAAGTTCGTTCGTAATTTTAAAAACGTACCATTAGAACTTGTTCCGTGCACAGATTATTAGGAAAAAGAATCGGAAATTAAAATACTTTAAAAAGTCACGTGGTATATAATAGAAATAGAATTCTAGAAGTTCGTTCGTAATTTTAAAAACGTACCATTAGAACTTGTTCCGTGCACAGATTATTAGAAAAAAGAATGGGAAATTAAGATACTTTAAAACGTCACGTGGTAGATAATAGAAATAGAATTTTAGAAGTTCGTTCGTTACTTTAAAAACGTACCATTAGATCTTGTTCCGTGCACAGATTATTAGAAAAAAGAATGGGAAATTAAGATACTTTAAAAAGTCACGTGGTGGATAATAGAAATAGAATTTTAGAAGTTCGTTCGTAATTTTAAAGACGTACCATTAGAACTTGTTGGATATACTAATCGAGTCCTCTCGTTCACTTTGATAAGTGTTGCGTTATTTTGTTATAGTATTTGTCCTCTGTTGGAGCCCCTACATCGTCTTCGACCTCCTGCAGGTGTACGGACACGTTCCCAAGACGCAGACCAACATCGCCGTGGCCACCTTCATCCAAAGTCTGGCACCATTAAATTCGGCTGCGAATCCCATCATCTACTGCCTCTTCAGCACGCCTTTCTGTAAAACAATACGGTGAGTGCCAACCTGTCTCTTCTTATTTTATTTTTTCCAACTTCATCAGATTTCATTCCCGTTACCAGGTACAGAAAATACTGGGGTGTGATGCAGTCCCTTCCCTTAATTAAAATTTATCCTGAAATTCCTTCTTCCAATATAAATTCCCTTCGAGAGCTGATATCAAATATCTGGACTGCCCCTTCGCGTCTTCCCCGTGAAAAATCCAATTTCAAACCTCTTTTCTGAATTTGAAAGAAAATTTAGCCCGAGTGTCCTCGAGATATCCGGAGGTTCGATTTTCGATTTAGCCCACGGCGAAGGAAGTGCGTTCATTTCGAGCCACCTTGTCGACAAAGAGAGAACGTCATATGAAAAGTTTCTTTGATTTTTCGGGAACGAAAGAAAATTCTCGCGAAAGTGATGGAGGGTCTGGCATCTTTCTCCGTCGACTGTGCTTTTAGACAGGGGAAATAAGTGGATAAGTGAGGAACTCGGAAAAAGCTCCGTATCCAGTCTACCGGTGCGAGAATCGTTTTGTCAAGGAGGGGATCGATGTCAAGGGGATTGACAAAACCGCGAGGCGCGGCTCGAGATTTTTCCTAGGATCGATAACGATTTATCACGATCGACGGAACGCCGAGAGGCCGGTTCTTCCTTGGGCTCCTTGAAAGGACACGGTCACGAGTTATGGAGACAAAAAGCCATCCCAGCATCTGCTCCGGATGCACAAACTCTTCTCCTCTCGGCCCAAGATATCTGTCACCGACAGCTACGGCACGAGCTGTCCGGAACGGTCCACAAGTGTTAAGAATCCAGTTCTTCCCGAGAAATGTGCCTCGCCGTTTCTTAAACCTTAACGTCGAATTCCATGATTCTTCTTGCGGCCTTAAGATATACTTTCTGGCAGATTCTTGCCCCGAGAATCGAATTTTTCGATAGGAACCTCTTAAGGTGAAGTGATACCCCCTTCAAATCAATCGATTCGAATACAACACTTTTTTTTTAAGGATATTAGACCAAACTGTCCGAAACTTTGATCATCTAAGAATTGTCCTGACACATTCAAAATTTGGATTTTTGGAAACAATTTTTTAACTTAGCCCAGACTAGAACCAAAATGGCGTTGAGCTCTCATATTTCGATCAATATATAATTATCGAAGGCTCTGATATGAGAAACGAAAGGGTCGGGACAATTTTTCGACAATTTAGAACACTCTGGTAGTCGATAAACTCGCATTTGAACGGGATAAAGGCAAAAAAGTGTTTTATGCGCCTCTATGCTAAAACGATGGGAATATGTGGTTTTGGCGTGAAAATTTAATTGACCTGGAAATCACAGATGGCGCAGGGGGTCCCTCTGCAGTCAATTAGGGCCTCAGGAAGCATGTATTCAGAGGATTTCTGGAGTTTTACTTCGATTTCTTGATATTTATTGTCCGAAAACGACAGGTGGAGTATGCTATTTGGTACAATATCCAATATAATTCGACACAGCTGTCGATATGAAAACGAACGTCGGCAACGTAGGCATTTAGGAAAATCTTCTTCATCGACGTCGATCAAGTTCCTCGACGTGTTTCACTTCACCTTAAGGGTTCGGAGAATGAAGAGAATTCGATGGGTAGAAAATACGGTCTGAAACTGGAGAAGGGTTTCCCGGAGAATGATTTTGGGGATAATAAATTTTCTTAATCACATTGCTTCGCCGAATACTCTTCGCGAAGCAACAGAATACATCCATTAAAATAAAACGAAAAGTTTTGTACCTCTATAAGAAAAATATTCCGAAAACACGTGGCGCCGATATTATACAAATATTATAAAAACAATATTCTAAAATAAATGTTTCGCAAATATTTCAAGTGCCTGGGAAATATTGACAAAATGGACGACATTTGTTAAATGTACATAAAATATAAGAGTTTGTTGTGCTACTAGGGATTACTAACGAGGAATCGTATCTTCTTTTGAAACTGCTCGGTAGGAACATGCAGGCGATATTATACAAATATTATAAAAACAATATTCTAAAATAAATGTTTCGCAAATATTTCAAGTGCCTGGGAAATATTGACAAAATGGAGGACATCTGTTAAATGTATATAAAATATAAGAGTTTGTTGTGCTACTAAGGATTACTAACGAGGAATCGTATCTTCTTTTGAAACTGCTCGATAGGAACATGCAGGCGATATTATAAAAACAATATTCTAAGATAAATGTTTCGCAAATATTTCAAGTGCCTGGGAAATATTGACAAAATGGAGGACATTTGTTAAATGTATATAAAATATAAGCGTTTGTTGTGCTACTAGGGATTACTAACGAGGACTCGTATCTTCTTTTGAAACTGCTCGGTAGGAACATGCAGGCGATCTCCTGGTTTTCGGGATGGTGCCCTGCGAATCCACATCACTGCTTTGGCACCAGTGGTCCTCGCAGCAGCACGAGGACCACAGTGACGACATCTTTGACGGCACATTCTTCCAGAAGAAGCGGAAACGTCACCGTCCACCAGCCATCCTCCCGGAAAAGAGTGATGGTGTCCCTAGTGTAAAGATCGAGCCAAAAGGCCGAAGACCCACGACGCGACAACAGGTTTGTTCGCGTTGACTGCACTTTCTACCCTCGAGGGTAACGAGGGTACTACACTTTTCTTAAAAAGTGCAGAAGAGTAGATACACTTTCGTCGACGTCCCGAACACCAGCAACCCCACGAAAGTCCAAGATGACCGATTTAGTAGAGCGGTACGCGATTTTGAGGTTATCCGTATCGGACGATGATGAATACGAAAATGTAATGCTTCCTCCAGCCTTCCTTCTTGAGCTGTCTTCGTTTTCTTCAAATCCTACAATTCGTTCTATTACCTTGTGATTGTAGAAGATAAAAATTCCTTTCACGAATTTCAGGTATTGAGGATCAATAAGGGTCAGAATATTATTGCAATAGAATGAAAAACAATTTAACTGCAAGATGGAGCCCAAAGGCCGAAGACCCACGAGATCCTCGACGCGACAACAGGGTTGTTCGCGTTGACTGCACTTTCTACCCTCGAGGGTAACGAGGGTACTACACTTTTCTTAAAAAGTGCAGAAGATACACTTTCGTCGACGTCCCGAACACCAGCAACCCCACGAAAGTCCAAGATGACCGATTTAGTAGAGCGGTACGCGATTTTGCGGTTATCCGTATCGGGCGATGATGAATACGAAAATGTAATGCTTCCTCCAGCCTTCCTTCTGGGCGGTCTTCGTTTTCTTCAAATCCTACAATTCGTTCTATTACCTTGTGATTGTAGAAGATGAAAATTCCTTTCACGAATTTCAGGTATCCAGGGTCGATAAGGGTCAGAATATTATTGCAGGAGAATGGAAAACAATTTAACTGCAACAGGGAAAAATTATAGTTTAGTTCATTCCAACAGCGGTTAGGTAGTAATACATAATTATTGTAAATTGTTTCAAACATTACGTACAAAACTAAAACGCAAAATCGTTCTATACACGAAGAGGATGCATTAATAATTACTTCTATTTATATTACGTTGAGATGTTGGCATATATTTTATATTTTCCTGTTTGTTGGTCTTCTCAATTTTGAAATTTGCCGCCAAATTCGCGGGCTACCCTTCTTGCCCTCGCTCGGGATCGAGGGTAGAAAGTGTAGAGAAAGTGTACACTCGGGGTAGATGCCCTCGTAAAACGAACAGCGACGTCTGCGTCCCTTCCGTCGAAACGAACCCCAAAAGGTACACTTTTCGTAAAAGTGTAGAAAGTGTAGGCAAAACGAACAAACCTAACGTCTCTCTACTCCGGACAGAATCCACAGGCTCGTACCAAACGACGAATCCATATTTTTCTCTAATCTTATATTATTAATATAATAGATAAGTTGTCAGTATTCTAAAGCTTCGTCGGTCGCACTCGGGACCCTCGGGTTTCCTCGCGAGTCTAGAAGCATACATGGAAAAACGATACGCTCAAACAATTAATATGTCGTAGGTGTAAATATAAGTATAGCATTACGAGCAGTGCGCACTATACTCGATATATGTACAAAAAGAATCCACGGGATGACTGTGAGGGCCTTTCCTTTGTTTTTCTTTCTTTTCACATCCTTCCAGTAGGGGAAAGTCTCCTGGTACCGGACACCTAAGGTTTTCATTGGATAAATAAAAAAAAAGGAATTCTTTTGCTTAAACTAGCGCGTCAATCGGGCACATACTTTATTCGGTCTCTTTTCTCTTTTTGCACTTACATTGCTTTGTCGCATTTCTGATATAGCAAATATTGATAGTGTCCGGTATTATGTGCTGTCCGGAGCTAGGAAATTTCCCCCTAAACTTTTTCTATACCTCGACGAATTCACGTAAAATCATTTTAATGGCTACGGTTTGTTTTTCAATTTTTGGAATTTTGGGTTGTGTCCTTATTCCATGAGAAAAATATTTCATTGAACCAAAGAAATATTTCTTTGAATAGTCTCAAAGAAATTTATCGTTAATTCAAAGAATTATTATTTGACAAAAGTAAGCTCGAGTTAATTGAACGGTACATTTCTTCATAATTATGATAATTTATTTCAGTTCATTTGAATCAAATAATTATACCTTGAATTAAGAAAATATTTCTTTGGTAGTATTCAAGGAAATATTTTGTTCGGTTCAATGAACTTTTTCCTCGGTGTGGTGTTTATTATTTTATTACGGTTTTTTTTACGTTTGGATGTGACTTTTTAATTTGATTTCCAGTCGCATGTTTTCCGTCCAAGAAAATCTTATTTCTTTTTACGTTCGGTTTATCGGACCCACGTGCTGTGTGCTGTATGTGACCACGTATACCTTCCGCAATTACCATTTTGTATATATATATACGTAACACGCGAAATTGCTATAGGCGATTTATAAATTATTTATAAATGCGCTTCCAAGTGCGAGACTTGTAAATACTTGTCGAATAAAGCCATTGACGAGCACTGGGGTGTCGGGATAAGTTATGGCTAGCAATTAGTCTCGGGAGTGTATCGTTTAATTTTATTCACTTCATCTCTCCCAATTTGTCTCGGCTTGGCGCGTCTTGTAATAAAACAAAGTATTACTTACTGTCGAATTCACGTTAATTTGTACATGAAATCTCGACCGTCATTTGTCTCACTTCCATGGGACAAACTTGGCAAATTGAGATTCGATGTTGAAAGTAATTTGCATAAATATTTTATCCACTCTATCTTGGCCCGAAGCGTCTGTCATGACGACGCGAAGCTTTCGCAGGAGACGCGGTTTTTCAGGTTTGAAGCGTTACTCTGTACGTATCTTAGGCAAGGACTCATAAATTATTTACGAGGGCCGAAGGGCGCTTCGGGCGCGATGCATCTTGGCAGGATCCTCAGAAAGTGGGCGATAAAATTTTTTCCTCCGCTCTATTTACCGTCACATCCTGTACGGGTAATAAAACGGTGCTAAAGGAGAAACGGATCGAATGCCACGACCCCGTGCAATGATCGCTCCGGTCAATTTTCCCTCATTGTGAGGAACTTTAGTCATCGTCCAGAGCTTTGGATGGCACCTAAGTTTAAGACATCAAAATTAATAGGCGATAAGAACACCTTATCCGACTCTCTTTCACAATTGAATACATTATCTACCAGGAGTCGATGGATAAGCTTTATACCGACCATCATTTATCGATCGGCAGGCTGTAAATCGGCTTTTTGAAGTGAAACTTCTTATGGCACAGTGGGAGGGTAATTGAGGGTAATTGAGGGTAATGCCAACCACTTAAGACTTTAACACAATAATATAAAAAATATCAATGACAGCTTTATCATTTTCAGTCAAATAACAAACTTAAATTATTACTCTTTATGACTCAAGACGAAACAATTACATTGATAAATTCGTTTCGACGGATTTCAATAATTGAAAAAAAAAAGGTTTGACCGATGTTGCCGACGAATGTTACAAGTACTGACCACTTAAGCCTACAAGACAATGAAATTAAAAATATCAATGACAGCTTTATCATTTTCAATCAAATAACAAACTTTAACTGGTGCTCTTTATGACTCGAAACGAAACAATTACTTTGATAAATTCATTTTGACGGATTTCGGTAATTGAAAAAAAGAAAGGTTTGACCGATGTTGCCAGTACTGACCACTTAAACTTTTAAGACAATAAAGAAAAAAATATCAATGACAGCTTTATTATTTTCAATCAAATAACACACTTAAATTATTACTCTTTATGACTCAAAACGAAACAATTACTTTGATAAATTCATTTTGACAGATTTCGGTAATTGAAAAAAAAAAAAGTTTGACCGATGTTGCCGACAAATGTTGCTAATACTGACCACTTAATCCTTTAAGACAATAAAATAAAAAATATCAATGACAGCTTTATTATTTTCAATCAAATAATAAACAAACTATTACTCTTTATGACTCAAAACGAAACAATCACGTTGATAAATTCGTTTTTATGGATTTTGGTAATTAAAAAAAAAGAAATGTTTTACCGGCATGTTGATGTGTCCGGCAAATGCTGCCAATGCCGGCCACGATGAGAACAATACCGGCCAGCGGAATTCCAAGCAATTTTTCGGACACGTCCACCTGGTGTGTCCCATCCTGTACATTCCTGATGGGCCTATAATCCGCACACGGTACCTATACCACAGTTTGTTCGTTCCTTGATTAATCGTTAATTTTTCGGCATCTATTATTACAAAAGGCTATCATAGAGGATACGACTAGAGATTCTGACATCACAACGTATACGAAGAGAATAGTAATGGTCACTGTGGTTTTAATAATAATTAGAACTCCTAGAATGGCAACTATTACGATTCTCTTCTCTTAGGGCAATTTGCGAGAAATCCCAACCGTGCAGCCGAAATTACCCGCCAACGTATCTCAATGAAAAAGTATTTTTAATTTCATTAAGCACGCTTACTAAAACGCGAATACAGTTTAATATATTCAAACTAACTGGACAGCATAACTGTACGATAATATATACACTAATTAAGGTGAAGTGAAACCCCCTTCAAATCAGTCAATTCGAATACAACACTTTTTTTTAAGGGTATTAAACTAAACTGTCCGAAACTTTGACACGTCACTCCTGATCATGTAAGAATTGTCCTAACACATTCAAAATTTGGATTTTTGGACAAAATTGTTTAACTTACCCCAGACCAGAACCAAAATGGCGTCGAGCTCTCATATTTCGATCAATATTCAATTATCGAAGGCTCTGATATGAGAAACGAAAGGGTCAGGACAATTTTACGACAATTTAGAACACTCTGGTAATCGATGAACTCGCATTTGAACGGGATAAAGGCAAAAGAAAGTTGTATGCGCTTCTATGCTAAAGCGATGGGAATACAAGGTCTCGGAGTGAAAATTTAATTGACCTGGAAATCACAGATGGCGCAGGGGGTCCCTCTGCAGTCAATTAGGGCCCCAGAAAGCATGAATTCAGAGGATTTCTGGAGTTTTACTTGGATTTCTTGATATTTATTGCACAAAAACGGCAGGTGGAGAATACCATTTGGTACAATATCCAATATAATTCGACACAGCTGTCAATATGAAAACGAACGTCGGCAACGTAGGCATTTAGAAAAATCTCCATCATCGACGTCGATCAAGTTCCTCGACGTGTTTCACTTCACCTTAACCCTTTCGATACTACGGGTGACTATAATCGCCTGTTAAAATTCTATATTAGATCCCAACTTCAGTTGAAGTTTTTGCTTTTGTCCTTTCTTAGACATTTTAACTTTTCGAGTAATAAATTTTAGTCATAACTGACCCATGCTGTAGCGCTGTATTTGCTATTTGAGCATCCATATAGCGGAAGCCCTAGTAGCATAGAATAATTTCGAAATATTTCTTTGTAATTTTTGCTAAGTGTCTCAAGTGACAGATTTTATAAGACTTCTTGAAGATTTCATTCGAAGATATTTGAAATATTTCTTGAAAATCTCAATGACATATTTAGTTTCAATAATTTATAAGCATATATAGAAATAANCGATATTCGTTAAATATATAGAAAATATAGAACAAATATTTTGTGCTACTAGGGAGCATACAAGGGGTCGATTTTCAAGTCCATGGGGATTTTTTTCGCATACCAACAGATTCGTATAAAAAATGTTGCATTGTTGCGAATTCAAGTCAACGTTTGAAAGCCGTATACGAAACTGTCAATTTTGCACGCGAAAGTTAATCGTATGAACCAAAGAATCGGGTCCTTAGCGAAAGACGTAGCCATATCGAAAGGGTTAATCGACTTTTTCCTAAAGTAGCTAAAAATAGAATGAAGCCAACGTTACCGAAAAACATGCTCTTAAATTAATCGACCTTTACGATATATTCATTTAATCTGCGAGTAGTAGATAAAACGTTAATCCAAAAACTTGAGGATTATCGGGTCGAAACAAGTGGAATGAATTCATTTTCGACTGTTGGTCGAAGTGACAGGCCAAAAAAGAAGGGAATTTTTCCCTTGGCGGCGAAATGGAGCGCGAAAAAGACTTCATCCGGTGGGGAAGATGTGGCGAAAACTACCCGCGAGAAAGTTCGAGGAAAGTACTTGGAGCGAGAATTCTTGGCTCGGTTCCCGCCCGGGCACGCAGTTACGGACGAAGAACGAAAGAAGCTCGTCTCCAATGGCTTCGGGAAAACAAGTGACGAAATCTCAGGACAAGGGATCGACCTAGGGCAGGAAAAAGTAGGTAAAGGCCCGATAATATGTGAGAACCTCCCCAGAAAACTTGTGCCCAAAGGTCAGAGAACACAAGGCGGATGCTGCGACACGTGGACCAGAGTTCACCCGTCGGCCGATCAGCTGATTCGCGTCAAAACGTCGGCCATGTCTTGCAACTGTCAAACTCATTCAAAGATGCATTCTCCAGTAGACCTGGCACATTCCGATCGACATCGATTACATATCCCGAACTTGGGCACCCCTAACTTGCAAACTCCTCCCTCTGGGCGATCGACAAGTACAGGTAATGCAATTCATCCTCGTTACTCGCTCTCCATTATCTTCCATCCAGAAATTAGTCGGCAGAGAACGAATATAATCGACTTTATTATTTACAGAGACTTTGTTAGATGAAGGGATGAGTCAATTTCAGATGCTTTCAATGATTCCGCTTTCTTCTGGGTTTTTAGATATTTCCGGCGGATTCAATGGCGACACTTATCGATGTCCTGGCCAATTCTGTCTTGGTGCAGAGAGATTCATCAACGAGGGGACCGTCAATGGCTTAACGACGCCGATAAATGTCGTCAGCGAGTTACAAGATACCGCCATTAGCGGGCGAATTTCTTCGAAAACCATTAAAACTTTTATATCAAACCGCTCCCCCGTCTTCTAGAAAGGGAAAAGACCGTTCCTCCGGACATTTTTTAACATTTTTCCGCCCCGAACTTTGTGGAATTACGCAACAGGATTTAAATAAACTCGCCGAACAAGTGGCCGCTTAATTATCTGGAAAGCTGTAAAGAATAGGGGGAGCTTTATATAAAAGTCCATTGGAATGAAAAATCTTTTAAAGAATGATTAAACTCAGAGCCCAGATGGAAACTTCGGCAAAAAGACGAAATTCATTTCTTTGTAGCGTGGTTCCCCTTTCAGCTTGCGCGTTTATTTTTCTTGTAGGAAACTGAAAATAGAGCGAGTCGGTTGATTGAAGAAAAAATCTTTTCCTTCCTCAGCAGGATACTCTTGATTACAAACCGTACAGAAATGAATTTCGCTTACATTAAAGCAAATATCGAGTCATTCGTTTCGAGAATCTGAATTAAATATCGTCTTTCAGATCATCGATCCGGTTGGAGTACGCCAAATGTTAACTCCGCTCAGGACTTAACTTGGAGACAAGGTAAAGGGCTCAGGTAACATGAACATTTAACGTCAATATATAAAATTAACGTCAATAATTGAAAGTCAACGTTGAAAACGATAGACGACAGCTGCAAAACCGTACTTAGGTACTGATAAATCGGCCATACTGGAAAACTGTCATCGAATTATGATCACGATTCCGATAATTGAATTTATAACATCCAAATGTTCCTCCAATTTCACGGGAATAATATGTATATTTCATTACAATATCGTCTAATGTTAATTGCATGTCCAGTAAACCGATGATTGTTAACACATTCGCGACCGCTGACGTGAATTCACGTCTTTTCAAGTTCTATTCCTGGTTGCCGCTGACGTGAATTCACGTCATTTTAAATTCTATTCCTGATTGCTGCTGACGAGAATCACGTCCATAACGAAACACGATACAAGTTTGCGGCAACCAGTTTCAGAATTTCATTATTTTCCCCGGTACTCAGTATTTGAAAAGGAAAAAATTTGCCGGTCGCGAATGTGTTAAGGTGAAGTGAAACCCCCTTCAAATCAATCAATTCGAATACAACATTTTTTTTTAAGGGTATTAGACCAAACTGTCCGAAACCTTGACACATCGCTCCTGATCATCTAAGAATTGTCCTGACACATTCAAAATTTGGATTTTTGGACAAAATTGTTTAACTTACCCCAGACCAGAACCAAAATGGCGTCGACCTCTCATATTTCGATCAATATACTATTATCGAAGGCTCTGATATCAGAAACGAAAGGGTCAGGACAATTTTACGACAATTTAGAACACTCTGGTAATCGATAAATTCGCATTTGAACGGGATAAAGGCAAAAAAAGTGTTGTATGCGCTTCTATGCTAAAACGATGAGAATACGAGGCCCCGGAGTGAAAATTTAATCGACCTGGAAATCACAGATGGCGCAGAGGGTCTTTCTGCAGTCAATTAGGGCCCCAGAAAGCATGAATCCAGAGGATTTCTGGAGTTTTACTTCGATTTTTTGATATTATTGTACGAAAACGACAGGTGGAGGATGCAATTTGGTACAATATCCAATATAATTCGACACAGCTGTCAATATAAAAACGAACATCGGCAACGTAGGCATTTAGAAAAATCTTCTTTATCGACGTCGATCAAGTTCCTCGACGTGTTTCACTTCACCTTAAGAAGGGCATTTGCGTATGAAAGAGAGAAGAAAATGTATTTAGAAAAAACGTCTTGTTTCCATTATTTGATCAACCATTTGCGTAAACAGTAGTCGGGAAAAGATCGAGGACAATTATTCACATAACTTTTTCGATTAGAATATTCATTCAGAATATAAGGAATGATCCCGATAAAGGAGTAAAAATCACTTAAAAGGGAAAAAAAATCTATTTCCTTAGCAGAAAGAGGCGATCCTGCGTTTCCCGACCTCGACATGCACCTCGGGATGATTTTTGGCATGAATGCGATAGATTCCGCCAAGATTTTGGAATCGTCCCCTGCGGAAGTAACCCTGCTTAAATTAAAGTACTTCGAAGATAGGAACACGGTCGTGCAAGCTCGCAATGCGAATCTAATTACGGAAAATAATGCACTCAACGAGCAGTGAGTACCCGTTGAAAGTTTTCGCAAAATGCCTGATTATTTATTCGCGTTATCGATTCGAGTAAGCGCACGAGAGAACCTTTAAGAGTTATTAATCCGATTGATCAATTATTGCACAGGCTTCAAGGAGAAATGGCGAAGAGGAAGGAACTCGAGGAGAAACTGGCGATCCTCCAAAAAGGTTTCTCCGAAGCCCAGAAAAAGCTCGAGGGAGAGAGGAACCGAAACACGGTAAAAATTCTTATTATCCTTATCAAGAATGTATAATATTATCATCGAAATAGCATGCAACACGCGGGAAATCCCAATACCCCCTGTACTACCTCTGGGTGAAATGCACAATGCTTTGCAATTCTTCGGAGACATTCTAGTAACATATTCCTAGATATCTTGATCGACGGAAAAATTCAAGCGACCCAAGCGAAGTGAAATATTAAAAAATGCACATCTCTGTATTAAATGAACCAATCGGTTTCGTTCATAGCTTAAAAAATGCAGAAAAATCGTCCACTCTCGATGGCCTCGTTAAAGTTGACTTTACTCATTCAAGAGGTTCAAAAAACAACATTCATTGTCCAATTTGACACGCCAGGCTGAACATCGCAGATAATGACTAGGTCTGAGTTTCGCGCCTCTATATATATATTTGGCGCGAAACTCTACCGAGTTTCTTGATAAGTCGATGGGTATTACCCCGTGTACTTTCGGTTATAGAAAGAAGAGCCAAAAATCTGGAAAGATACGGAAACAACCACGGAAGGTCTCAACCATACTCGAGATCGCGGAATTCAAGAATGGGCGGTCTGCAACGCTTGCCAAAAGATATTGGAAGGACTTGGCAAACAGGAGCCGACTGTCACTATCACGAAGTAAATATGAGCCTAAACATAAACCTTGTCAACCGCGCGAATCCGGCTATTTTAAATTTTCCACTTGCACTTCTTGTAACGTGGGAATTTATGATACGAAAACGATGAGATAGACACCTGTTCAGCGACATCGGTAAAAAGGATATACTGCGAATCCAGATACACAGCAGATTTTACCATCTTCGCATACGTTCTTTTAACCCTTTCGTTACCTTGGACGAGATATCTCGCGACCCAATACTGGCCGATTGACGCTTTTGACGAGATATCTCGCGATCCGATACTGGCCGATCAACGCTTTTGACGAGATATCTCGCGACCCAATACTGGCCGATCAACGCTTTTGACGAGATATCTCGCGACCCGGTAGTAGCCGATTAAGATGAAGTGAAACCCCCTTCAAATCAGTCGATTCGAATACACTTTTTTTTAAGGGTATTAGACCAAACTGTCCGAAACTTTGACACATCACTCCTGATCGTCTAAGAATTGTCCTGACATATTCAAAATTTGGATTTTTGGAAGAAACTTTTTAACTTAGCCCAGACCAGAACCAAAATGTCGTCGAGCGGTCATATTTCGATCAATATACAAATATTGAAGGCTCTGATATGAGAAACGAAAGGGTCAGAACAATTTTACGACAATTTAGAACACTCTGGTAGTCGATAAACTGGCATTTGAACGGGATAAAGGCGAAAAAAGTGTTGTATGCGCTTCTATGCTAAGAGGATGGGAATACGAGGTCTCGGAGTGAAAATTTAATTGACCTGGAAATCACAGATGGCGCAGGGGGTCCCTCTCTGCAGTAAATTAGGGCCCCAGAAAGCATGAATCCAGAAGTTTTTTGGAGTTTTACTTCGATTTCTTTATAATTATTGTATGAAAACGATGGATGGAGTATGATATTTGGTATAATATCGAATATAATTCGACACAGCTGTCAATATAAAAACGAACATCGGCAACGTAGGCATTTAGAAAAATCTTCTTTATCGACGTCGATCAAGTTCCTCGACGTGTTTCACTTCACCTTAACGCTTTTGACGATAATCTAGCTTCCTAGCACTGATATTTTGACATTCTAGACAAATTATTTTGTGTTCTGCCTTTGAGTTTTTATGTCGCTTATGGTATGTCTTGAGCATTATGTTATGTTTTGACGAGATATCTCGTCAAAAGCGTTAATCGGCCAGTATTGGGTCGCGAGATATCTCGTCAAAAGCGTTGATTGGCTTGTATCGGGTCGCGAGATATCTCGTCAAAAGCGTTAATCGGCCAGTATTGGGTCGCGAGATATCTCGTCCAAGGTAACGAAAGGGTTAATCGAGACGTTGACATCGATACGAAGAGTGTAGAGAAATTTTTAACTTCGAGAAATCATCACCGTAATCTTTTTTTCTCCCGTCCAATTACGCCACTCTTTGCAAAGCCCCTTGCCTTTAGTTATGCCCTAAGTGGAGAACTCAAATGGTTATCTTTCGGGTATAATGAGAAAAATCGTTTCGAGTGATTGACAAACTTAATTGTGCCCATAATTATGAAAGTGGTCTAAGTCAAAATTGAAAAAAAAAAAATGAGTTTATCAGTTATTTCACGCCACATTATTTCAAACTAAATTAATTCAATGTAATTTCGAAACAAAAAATATATGACTTAGACCACTTTCATAATTATGGGCACAATTCGAGAATTCTTTTAAGGAAACATTCGCCCCGCTTTTATCATGATACCTGACTTTTGCAATTAGGTCCGAACTAGAAAATCTGGAAAAAGACATGCAGACTCTAAGAGACGCTATGGTGTCGAGAGAAGAAGCTTGGGAGAAAGCCATGGAAAGGGAACAGAATTATCGTCACCATCTGGCTCGTCTCTCGGCAGAAGCAATTACCAGTCGACATCTTCTGGAATCTCGTATAAACGAGCTCAAAAGTGTGACATTGGATCTCAAAGTAAATCCTGAGATATTTCACATTCCTCTTCCTACAAAGCCGCGATTTTATCATTTGCCGTTCCCACATTTACTCGAGGGAAAGATAATGCCGATGATAATACGGATACTTCGTCCAAGCTCAGCAAACATTTTTCTCTTCGAAGTTAACGCACTTTTCTGCTTTCAATGACAATAAATCGCTGGAATTAGAATCTTAACCCATTGTTTCGCAGTCGAAAGAAGCGGACCTAAGGACCATTCAAAAGGAGATGACTATACTAAAGAAAATAATCATTAAGCTGGACAATCGGCACAGGTAAACGCGATTATTTGCGCTGCAATGATAACGATATCATTCGTATTCAATTAAATATAAGTCAGCACAAATCTTCAATCCTGTAGGACAGGAATAATTTCACCTCAAAACGACCATACTTGCAGAATTGAATTTCTCCCTGATTCTTGTAATGAAATCGTAATAAGCATCATTAATTAAAGTAACGCAATGAAACCATACTAAAGAGTAGGGATGCGACGAGTTGACTTTACCAACTTGAGTTACTTGAATTCGAAAGCATTGTCAATTGTTCGTTAAATATATAGAAAATATAGGACAAATATTTTGTGCTACTAGGGGAGTTTGCGTAAGCATCATTTATTTTTTGTTTGTTTAGAGTGTTTCGTCCCAATTCCGTAAATTGTAGGATATTGCGGGAGAATCGTAGAATATTTCATGCCTTTTATAATTTATTTTATATTAATTAACAAATTTTAAATATCGCATCAAATTATTCCTCCATTCCTATCAGGTAATTCTTGCATTTTATTTTCAATTGCTGAAAAAGTCACAAATCCCGTATTATTCCGCAGGGTTTCAAACGAAAATCTTTAGCTCATACTATTGTTTATTGAAATTAAAAAGAATTAGCTGCTGATATATGCTGTCGATATTGTACGGGTAGAATGAAGTAAGATATCTTCCTAATGCACAATTGTTGGTCCCATGATTTCCCGCTTCTTACGTTTTATGTGCGTACAGTTTTACATTTAGCAATGTAGTTTTAGAACTCAATAATGTGCCAAACAACGATAAGGTATGAAATGAATAAAAGTGAGAAGGATTTCAAATATAGATACATTTCGTTAACCCTGTATGGGCCCGTGTAACTTTCAGGTCACATTTTAAATGAAAAATTTTTTTTTCATTTGCATATATAGGTTCCTAATTGCTGATTTTTCGTTCCCCCAATTTTTTTTTATTTAATGAAAAATTCGACCCATAGCGGGTTAAGGTGTTCTTCTTTGGCTAATTTTTCATTTGTTAATTTTTCCCCCTGAATGATGAAAAAATTTCAGATAAAACTGATGAAATATAATATTAAAATACTAAAATTTGACATTCAGGCAGACAAATAGTTATGACCAGCTTTTTCGTTATTTTCGCCATTGTACGGCGAGTAGAACCTATGGCAAGTTGGCGAGTAAAACAATTTGAATAACGATTACTAAAATAAACAAATAAAGCGCGATCGATGCGAGTAATTCGGTCTGGCCGTTACACTCGTAAGTCGCATTTGTTCGTACTAAAAACTCGAGTTACAATAAAAATGACTCGAGTTGGCTCAAATTTAACGAGTTAAAATACTCGACTCGTCGCATCACCACTAAAGAGAGGATATTTTATTTCTTAAATAATGTTTTAACTTCTTTAGCAAGCTCAGCTGCACTCCATCGCATTTAATTGCTTTTTATGCAGGTCATTGAAATAGATTCATTCGTGCATCTTTGAAACTAGAAGCGACTACAATAAAGAATCTTGCAAGCGTAGAATGCTTATATTTAATGCAATGTCTGCCGCTTCAGTTTTAAAGTCGACCTCCATCATTAATTAAATGCATTAGAGATCAAATTTTATTTTTCTGGAACCTAAATTGATTTCAAGCATCTAATAAGAGATTATTTCTAGGGATATTGAAGAGAATTTCGACGTAAGCCACGTGAGCAACAATTTAAGTGAAAAGGATCAAAAAGTAATTGAAGATATCGTACACAATCACTTAGCGCAGAAGAAGCCAAAATTAAAGACCAGAGCCCATAATGGAGAATGTCCTTCGATTGTGGAGACCTTTAACACACAAAACAGTCCTCGTGTAACAAAACTTCTAGTTTCTGAAAGAGAGACCTTAAGCGTGGCAAAAGGTCTCCATTAAAAAAAAAAAACAATTGTATATCTTGCGCAACTAAAAAGGACGCCCAAGTTAGAGGAATGCATCCTTACGTGTCTAAAGAGTGATTTAAAATAATTTCAAGATTACTGCGTCCAATGAAAAAAACAGAAAAATCTTCTCATATGCGAAGATCCGTTTTGCGTTTTATGTCAAAGAAGTACTTCGTGAAGAACGTTGAAAATTATTTGTAGGTATCCGCGAATACATGTAAAGAATTATATGGTAACATGGAAGTTATAAATGTACGAATCAAGCCGTCTGTCATTTCCTATCTGCACAACATAATGAGAACTTTACTTTTTGCGTATACAATTAAATCAGGACTCCACAAAAATCTACTTTCGCCCTGCAAAAAGAGCGGTACTTATTATATCAAATAAATGCTTAATTTTTGGTCTCAAAACTGCATTTCATTGTTTCAAGAAATTACATAATTGCTATAGAAATGTCCCACTTTCCTTAAAGACACTTTTAGTAACAATTGAATATAATTTCAAGATACGACAAAATGCTCTATCCACTGAAACACTGAGTCCACGGGAGTAATTTATGTTTTAGCGTTAGAAAAAAATAAGTTTTCGAACTCTCTTGGCGGCGTCGAAGGAATAACGAAATATCGTACAGGTTTTCCAAAAAATAATGGCAGATATGCTCGTGCGAATATAGCTTGCTAATCCTTCGCAGTGTTTACTTCATCATAAACGTGGTACACGTTCCTTCACTTATACAAAAAGACCTCACGGTGCGCGGCTATACACGGTAACGCATCATTTATCTTACACGAGATTCAACAATGATCGAGTAAAAAAGCCATCGCTATTCGCGCGGTAACAAGGATCGGTAAAATATATATGATATAGCGATATCCATAATAATATAATCTAATAATCTCTACATCATAACGTATAATCTTTCATATAAATAATAAATAGGATAGAGGAAACTGACGGAGAAGACAGATAAGAGTGAACATCAGCTGGGAAGAGTTGCAGCTTAAGGTTACGGTCCGTGCAAAAAAACGGATACTATATCCAAGTGTGACAACGAACGAACGAAACATTAAAAGACGGTCTAGAGTAGTAATGGTAATTATAGTGAATATACAGCTGGTTGATTTGGCATAGTAGTCTAGAGCGTTCTAGCGTCGACGCGATGGTCAGTGAAGATCGTCGACCCAAGAGGTCTCTAACGATTCGATTAAAGTGCGAACGAAGGCCATTTCCTTTCTAGCATTCTCCAAAATTACTCGGGGATCTTGGGAAGTACATCGCAAGATATTCGGTGCCATCACCATGGCTAAGTTGTTCGCATCCATCTTCGTTCTGGCAACCACTTCGGGTCTGGCGAAGATCTGTACAAAGTAGATGTTTTATATCAACAATAATAAGGATATTTCTGCATTATTATAGAGCCATGCGTAGTGTGCGGTCACTTGATGTTTAAACATTTATTTTTGACAAAATGTAGGATCACAAACCTGCAAGAAGTTGATGAGATGACAGAGTACACGCCGATTTAAGTCAGGAAGTCGATCGACTAATGCAGCTACATTTGCGGCCGATGCCTCAGGATCGTCGTGTCTCATGGAAACGCACTCGGTGTAAAACGAATCCGGAATAAGAGGCTCGTAAAGCTCACGCACCCACAATTTTAAAAGAGAAGCTGGTGCGTGAGCATCCTGGGACGCTGCTAGAATGGCAGCATCTTCGAACCTATCCAAACAGGCCTTAAGAGCGCTGACTTCATCCGCGTCAGCTGACACTCGGAAAATACCCTCCGTCAGGGTTCCACCTCGAACGAGTACTTGTCTTGTCAAGGTAGTTTGCACCCAGGGTAACTCGCGTTGAGGAAAACGGTCACGCTGCAAAGCCATCACTTCGGACAGCGTTGCTCCGAACATGGACGCACGGAATATTTGGGACTGTAAAAAGTATTCGACATTATTAGACATTCAATGGAGAAACATAAAAACAAGTATTCTTTTCATCTTGTATCCTATTTAATTGTACATCAAGTTTGACATACCCTCGCTTGGTCGATGTCCTCGAGAGTAGCTTTACGTGGTTGTCTTTTGCCATGAGCCCCGATCCTCTGTAAACGACGGCAGGCAACGGTAGCGTAATGACTGACTTGAACATGAATTGGCCATTTTGCAACCTCAGGGAACTGGAAGTTAGGATCTCTGTGTTTATTCATATACCCTTCGAGGTAGGGCTCAAAGGTAGCACTAGGAGGAACAAAAGCCAAACACACGGCCATGAGCTCCCAGCCTCTCCGAAGACTCTCCTTCCTTGGATTCTCAGTCGTTTGTCGACAAATCTGCACGTACAATTCGTCCCTCAATGGTGCTTTAGCATAGACGGTGTTAACAATTTCCATAGCGACTCCATCCAGAGTCATGCCAACGGTGGCTTTACGATCACCCATATAGACCTGGACGAGGCGGAAAAGATTGCAGGCTTCTCGTTTCAAGAGTTTTTCTCCGTCGACGACAACGAGCATAGGTTGCGGTATCGGATCTTTGGACCAGCTAAGAATATCGCGAACGCTGAATTTCTTCCTGAACAAGAGTCTCAATCCTTTGGGCCTTCCACAGTTGAGATTGAGATTATCCTGGGCATATTTTTCGATGTCACCTCCCGTAGTACTGTCGTCTCTTCTAGCTTCGTCTAGATCTACCGTGTCAGTACTGGTAACACATCGTAAGGCTGGACCTACAGTAGGTGCAGGGAGTGAAACTGGTCTTGTGGTAACTATATTTTCCCTTGGCTCCGTTTGAGTAACTATCGTTGGCGGTGGCGGCGGTGTCACTTGTGGCCTCGTTAGAGTGTCTGCCGTATCGTAATATGTTGCCAATGCCGCAGTGTCGTAGTTGCCCAGATCTGAAATAAAAAAGTAAATCATGAGAATGATCATCCGTGGATTATTGCTCATCTACATTATACATGTACAATATGGTTCAATTTATCATTTATGTTTAAATGAAACGTTTTCTAACACTATAGATTGCTTGCTAAACACAATGAAATAGCTCAATTTGCAAAGCTTTACGGAACCCTCTCTGGATGATTTCAGTAACTATTACACCATACATTTACGTACAAATTAAAGAATGTAATTAAAAAGGTCATCAAGGACCCGCTTCACATCAATGAGCGTATAAAATACTAACAATGAATAATTGTTCGCACCTGCATAAGGATCTTCTAAATACTCTTGACTGGACGAATCGCCTTGATTACTGGCAGCTTCATCATCGGCGAATTGATCGTCAGAATCATCATCGGCCCTTCCTCCTATCCCACCACCTCGACCACCTTCCTCATCCAAAGAATCGTCACCTTCTTCAGTTAACAATGGATCTCCGAATTTGTAGCAGCCTATATAAATATCAAAGCAAGTTTTACCGATATGCAAACAGATCATTAGAGAAGATATCGCCCTTCTCGAGGGGCCTTTGTCATGCAAATTACCAGAAAGCTTTGCCTGCTGCAAAATATAATGCTGCAGCGGCAGAAGGTGGTCCGCATCGACCAGGAGGTTTCCGTAGAAGGGCGACGGAGGTGGACTAGGGTTTCCATTGCTACGTTTTTTCTTCCCATTGTCGGCTTCAGCGTGGACCTCGATTTCCTCGCCGATAGCACTGTTGCTGCTACTGTTGCTGCTGCCGCTACTGCTGGTGTTGCTACTCAACCGCTGCCTAGATTGGTCGTGACTCTGGCTCACCAAGTAACGTTCGTGCATCGAATCATCATCCCTATCGCGTCTCCTATTCTGCTGCAGATGCTGCTGCTGCAACTGCTGCATCTTTTGCTGCTGCACGAAGCTGTAGCTACGGGCCAAGGGCTGCGAAGCACCTGAAAAAATGATGCAACCTTTAACTACAATTACATGGAACTATGTATCCCTTGATGGAAAAATTAGGCTGAATCACCCTAATATCACACCCAATTTGACGGTAATACAGTTGGGAACTTAAAAAAACTACGCTAGAAAGTGTGTTCCTACTAAATGTAAACTGAAAACTCAGTCAAAACTGTCCATTAAGGTTTGAATGCTTATCTAAGAAATATTCTTACAGTCCAAGGAATTATTGCACGCTGTGGGTCTCCGAAACTCCTTCTCTCTATCCCTCTCCCTTTCTCGCTCTCGCTCCGAGACATCGACGCTCCTTTGTTTGGGTGTATTTCCAAGTATAGCTGCACCTCTTATAAGACTTTTAGACGGTTCATTTCTTTCAGCCAACATAGCGCCATACATATCCCTGACGTTTGCCTCTGAAAGCGACGCCGAACATCCGTGGTGCCGTCTACCGATGCTACTTATGCCGTCTTGCTTATTCGCGTTTCTAGAATGCACCGAGCCCGGATAGAAGGACGGTGAATTTGCCTTGTCCAAGCTGTTCACTCTTTCTCTATGTAGCTCTCTCTCACGGTGATAACGATTGGCAGATTCCACAAGAGAACCGTACTTATCACCCTGAACCTTATAGCTGTGGCTCAGCTGAACGTCCGGTGGACGATAGGGTGGCATCTCTTGCCTGAAGACTTTAGATTCCATTACAGATTCCCGATATGGCGATGTGCTTGGCTCCGGCCCGTAGGATCCTCTGCTACTGGTTGACCCATGGTCCCGACCTATAATAAAAATTCTATAATTATTAAAATACTCAACTAATCTACTCGATGAAAATGTCGCTTAGAGTACAAGGTTTCGTATAAAATACAAAGTGCCTAGTCAAACTTATCTTGACAATAAACTCGATCGGTTATTATTTTGTTTTTTAATTCCAATGCCACGATCAACCCTAACCATGCTTGTCAAAGCTATAGCTTAACTTTTTCTTACGCAACTTAAACGACTAGTTTAAAAATATATGACATATTTACTGCGCTAGTTTTTAATATAACGTGCAACTTTCAAGTTTCTACTTTTTTACCATTTTTACTTCGATCCAAGTCTAGGTTGCCAGCCCTGCCATCTCTCTGGGGTTCAACAAAAGTCTTCTTCTTGAAGAGAGGAGTACTAGTGGAGAGAGATAAGCCCAAAGGAGGTGGATCACCAATTGGCAAAGACTTTTGATTTTTCACACTCTCTAAGGTTCCGCTTTTATGACCCCTCCCTTCCAGGGTGCCACTGTGTTGTCTGTGCGAAGATTGCGGTGGAAGTGTTGGTGGTTGTACAACGGACCGATGATGATGTCGATGTGGCGAATCCAGTAATCGATAACCCGTTGACTCCAAGGATGTACGACTGTGAGAGACCGAACTATCGCTGGATCTTCCTGAATCTTGAGAGTGATTATGGTGCCGTCTAGGCGCTGGCTGCTCATGATGTCTGTGATGATGCCTATTGTTATGATGGTGATGGTGGTGGTGATGATGACGTCTCGATGATGGTGATGGAGAGGGTGGCGATGTCTGCAGGTCTGCACCCAATCCGGAACTGCGAGGTTTGCATGCACCGTCACTTTGCTGCAAACAAAATTAATTCTTCTTCTAAACCATCTCGGTTAAGTTAAATTAGTCAAACATTTTAATTATAAGACATTGTTAAAGTATTAATCCGTTGCATATTCACCAGAGGAGAAGCTAAGCTAGGATTTTCTTGATGATTAAAACGTGTAGATCGTCCAACGGTTGGTGCTTGAGTCTGTGTTGAAACAGACTCTTTCTTCTTAGGCTCAGGCGCTATCTGAGCCTCTCCACCAAAGCCACCAGCTGCCGGTTCTGTATTTTGTTTCAACGTCTACACGTCGAAATAATAAACTCATTAATACATTATTTTAACTCAACCTCTTATAGTACTGGAACCTCAATTATTATAAGAGAGAAATATTGCACTAAGCAAAATTGTGCAATCTATAACAAAAATTGTAAAGACTCGGTTAAATTGTGAAACATTAAATTAAGTATTGACTGCATTTTTATCTAGAAGTTCATTTATAATTCCGAAAGTCGCATTACTCATAAAAAATTTGCAACAAGTTTACACATTTGATGATAACAGCAAAGAGCTTAACAAAAGACTACAGAAATTCTACATATAAATCTGTAGACATTATAAAAACTATATGTATCATACTTAATATATGCGACACTTGATATTTTACTTCACTTTCCTTCCGAGTTTGAGTATAGGTCATGCTCCTGAATATTTTTACAGCGGGAGCTATACAGTATAATATAAACCAGAGTTTTTTCTCCCAGCTACAAATACCTATTTATAGCTGAGAGGAGAAAAGCTTCTCACCAATATAATACCATCTCACAAAAGAGTTGGTATGTATGGTTTAGTGCGCCCACAAATCACAAAATGTGGGTAAATCTCGCTTGCTCTTACATCACAACATTGAAACTTTTAAGTGACGAATCAAAGGCGCACATGCGCACGAAAGTGAAAAGCCTTTGATAAGATATCTAAAGGTTATTGATGATATTTGACTCACTTTTAGCAGTGAGGCGTAATCGGAAGAAAAAAGGAATCTGACTCAGTTTCCAATAATCAGAATTGTATGATTTTTTTTGGCAGTGGAATGTCTATCTTTACTCACATTTATTCTTTAAAATAATTGAGAAATAAGCGTTATCACGAAGTGGGCTACTGAATATTTGAAAACTGCTCTTTTTATTTCTGAATAACTTACAAAACCAACTTCTGCACTTACTTGCAATTTAGCCAAGGGAATAATATCGCAATCCGTAGGACGATGCCACACTGTTGTCTGAGATGTTGCATTATAATAATAGAACCTTGATGTTTTCTGGTCAAATAATTCCCACCATTGATTGTCGTCCGTTTTTTTTCTAAAATATTAAAAAAATATATATACAGAACTTATTATCACACACAATTAATCTTCAATTTTCGATTCATTCAATTTTTTTATTCAGAATATAAATTAACAAAATTAACTCAGACTTAATAAAAAGAGGACAAACTGGCTGATCAAGGTAAAGCTTAAGATGGAACAGCTTTCTCTGAAGTAATTACACAGTAATCGATTACAGGCTTTGGCATAGTCCCGGACTCTCTCTACCAAGAGAAGAAAGTTACTCTCTGCTTTGAGCGAAAAAATTTGTACAAGATCAAATGAACATTACACTTCATACCTCCATAGAATGAAATGTAAGTAAATTTAGACAGAAGACAAGATTGGAACTTACACAGGTACACCGGGTGGTGGATCCCATACACATTCTCCCGTCGTAAGATTAGCATACATATGTTCCTTCGTCCTTGGTTCGATGATCTCCACCCATTCCATTTTGCTGCAATTGATATTAAACTAGATATATTATTAAAATAGGTATACCCCTTAGCATTATATTCTTTTACATATGCTCTACACTTGTTAAACCCCAACACCAATGCAATTTCTTACACATTTTAAAGTACATCGGTCAACATATGCAATAGATTACATGTTATCAAAGTATCCAGTATCGTCAAGACTCTACTGTATCTTACTAAGAATCGCAGAGCTACACATACTCCAGACTCCATAATTGCATTTTAGCAGCGGCCATTACTAAACTGTATGTAAATGACATTTCTAAATTAACATTTTTATTTCTAATGTAATTTTCATTAAAAACTTCATTGACAAGTTCAACAGCTAATGAGACAAAGGAGTGTATCACATCTTTGTAAAAATATGTATAATACAGGAACATGGGTTTTTGTCCAGTAATAACTTTAGTAATTTAACATCTAAACATACACATAGTAATTTTATCGTTAGCATTGGGACTTTGTACCCTTTTCATTCTAAAATTTCAATATTTATTACAAACTTTCATTCTGAAGATAATCTGTGAAAGTACAAGCCAATAAGATAATAAAAAATGTACTGTTCCTTCTATTGCATCATACCTGATCAAGAACTACAAACTGAAACTAAAATTAATACCAAGTTATAAATAAATTAAATTTCCAAACATTCTTAAAAGTTATTTAAATTTGCAAATTATAAAACAATCGTTTTGATAAGGTGTAAAATTCTTCTCAAAAAGAATTTTCCTGAAAATTCTTAACGCTATCACTTTATTACATGCTGTAATTTAGTAAAAAGGTTAAAGTGAATGCCAATCTAGAAGGTTATGCCTGAAACAATGGTTCCTTCGTTCCAATTTTATTATAGTTATAAATAAAACATATTCATTCCGTAATATATATATTAATAGAATCCCTTCAATCTAATGTCTGTACATTTTACTTCCCTAAAATTTACATGCTCATTCATATTTTTGTTAACAATTGCTCATACCAACATCAAAGAAAATGAACAGGAAGAGCCGTAATATATATAGTTAACAAGTAAAAAACCGTCAACCGTAAATAATTACTGAAAAAAGGATATACAGATGATATCAAAATTGTTGGTCCTTTGAAGCGAATTAATTTTTTAAAAAAATGTTGGAAACCTCAAGATTTTTCTATGAGAAAATTGAATCGGTGCTGATTAGTGAAAGGGTTCGCATTGACAGAAAATTGGTAACTAAGAAAACTAAAAGACAAGGCCCAAAGCGAGGGTGTCCACCCCCACCCTGGTGTCGGTAATTGATAGGAATGCTGGCTGCAGGATGGGAACGAGGTGACGTCACAGGCGAATTAATTGAGTGAAACAGGGCACGCAAGTCAGCCTGATGCCCGATTCTAATCGCGTCGGCCTAACGCTCATAAGCCGAGGACACCGCGAGGAAACTCGATTAAACACGGAGAGAAACTCGCGGCAGAGAAATCGCAAAGTAGGGGGTAAGCGTGCGCCGTCCCACCCAAGCCCGAAAGAGTTGTCAGCGTCGTAGAAAGGTCGGTTCGGTGAAATAGATGTTCCTAGGAAATCCATGCAGCGGGCAGGACGAGGTCAAGGAGAGAAATCCAGTATCGATCCGACTTCGGCAACGGCACCGTGCCCCAGAGTGAACCCGTCAGGCCGTGTCCCTTCGTGCCGCCCTTCTCGGGAACTCGCGAATCCGCCGTACCTGTCGGATGCCATCTCGATGCTCTCCCTCGTTGGCTCGAGACTTGGCCTCGCTGTCACTGAACGACACTTTGCGGAACTTTTGCCGGCACCTCACGCTACTGATATCGCCGATGCGACGTCGCGAGCATCCATTTCCGCGAGCGCCGCGAACGATGGATCGCTCATGGCAGCCCCGAGTGGGAACTGCCGGCGGCCATCTTGCCTCGGACCGATCCGAGAGGTTAAGACCGACTCGATATTGCGAGAGATTTCGATTGACTTCGATATCTCACCGATGTCCGATCGACTTACGACGAGTCGTTCTTCGATTTGCCCGACACAAGCTACCGACGGTTGCGCCGCTCGGCGACGGCGACGCGGATTCGCTTCTAATTACCGTCTCCTGTCAACCGATCGGTGACCCAGTTTTGCCCGATAAAGCGCATTCTCCGACTCACGGATATAGCTTATCAAGGCGCGCTGTTTAACCGCGACAGTCGACGCGTCGGGGAGCGTACACCCGTTTTACCTCGCAACCGTTGGCGAACTTTAGCGGAATGTCACAGAATGTTACAACTCCTTTAGTAACTGGATAATAAAAATAGTGTCATTTGACATTGGACGCCTCGACGGGGGCTTTTGTTAGGTTATGAGTGTAGCGCCATCTGCACCTTTGCATTTCCTCGTGTGCTCTCCAGAATGACGTCACTCTGCATCCAATCGCAATTGAGGATCCGAGGGTAATCTACTAGATTCTGGACCAATGAGAGTTGTAGGCGAACGTGCGCCAGATTGACAACTCCCTACTACGAGGAGCCGGTAGGTTGGAGTCGGATGTCTGTGCACATTATTGCTATTAACTGTCTTTGTTGCACGCACTTTGCGAACGATAGGACGGTCTCCCAGGTAAAAGAGAGAGAGAGCAGATTAGGCAGCCTGTAAGTCATAAGCTCATCGGCGATTAACTCACGCTTTAAAGAGCTTCCGTAATCCGATGTGTCATGCGTTAGACTTTTTGACGCGATTACATTGTTGATATTCACGTTGTTCATTGACTACCAGACCGTATCAGCACATCATCTATGACGACGCAAGAAGACCTTTGTTGTACCGTCTTTGGATAAAAACCTAAAACTCTCTCAGTGAAGTCTCGTGCGATTTTTGAAGACCAGAAGTGAAAATTACCATTGGACATTAAAGTGCGATTTTCCAGTCATGGATGACGAAGTTTTAACTACTCTGAAGATTCTCATGATAGGAGAATCTAATGCGGGAAAGTCTAGGTACACCTCTCTATTTTTTTTAGCACGCCATGAACTCTGAGTAGTATTTTTAGACGTACTACAAATGCTATAAGAGTATGGATAAAACGGTATGGCATGTATCTGTTTTCAGTATCTTGCTGAGATTCACCGAAGATGAATTCTGGGAGAACATGCAAAGTACCGTTGGCATCGACTATAAGACTAAACAAATAACGATTGATGGTAATACCGTGAAATTAGCTATTTGGGTTTGTAGATATTTATGAATATAATTGTGCATTGCTTTTAACCCTTTGCGAACGGCAAATTTCTCTAATGGGAATACCAGATAGTCGGAGTAAATTTAGCTTTTCGGAGTTATTTTCCCCTAAGTGATTGAATAAGATCATGCCGCCAGGCTAGCGATGCCGACTTCTACGACACTCTGAAAATGCCGCCACTGTGGTGGTACCGATCGCAAAGGGGTAATATAATAAAGCCATTTATTTATGGAGGTTCCTTTACTTTTATAGGATACAGCTGGTCAAGAGCGTTTTCGTACTCTAACACCTAGTTACTATAGAGATGGGCAGGGAGCTGTTTTGGTATATGATGTTACAGACAAGAACACATTCGTTAAACTGGAAATGTGGTTAAATGAATTAAATACCTACTGTAATAAAGCAGACATAATTAAGATGATTGTCGGGAACAAAATAGATTTGCCTAATAGGGAGGTTACCACAGCAGAAGGCCTACAATTTGCTAGGAAACATCAGACCTTGTATATTGAAAGCAGTGCTAAAACGGCAGATGGTATACAATGTTGTTTTGAAGAATTGGTTCAAAAGGTTGGTACCAAAGTTCAATTAAAATTTATACTTACGCTGATATTGAGTTATCATCATTCATTGTTCCGTAATTAACAATTCACAGATAATACAGACTCCTGGTCTTTGGGAACCTCATTCCTTGCAGGCATATGGTAATGGAAATGTGAGTGGAGCACGACATCGAATGGGTAAAAGGGGAGTACAGTTAACGGATGATTACCAGACACAAGATGCATATTCAACCTGCTATTGTAGCTTAGTTTAGTGTATTATAAGTTCTACTGTAACACTGAGACCAAATGGTCACTATAAAGATATATCTAACAGCAACATGAATGGAGTCATGGAAGAAACTTGAAAAATTCAACGTTGTGATAACTCAATGGTATATTTCTGACAAATACGTGTATCTTTGAACCTTTTGTCACAACTGCTTAAAAGTGTAACAATCCAAAATTCTATTTCACAATTATTGCGCGCAAGTCATCTGTGATGCAGTTTGAAGTCTTATCAAACAAGTCGATTTAAGTCGTGTAAATACTTTGTATATGTATATAAAAATAGCACTTTAATAATTCTTAATATAAAATATAATATAGCAAAAAAATAGTAATAGAAAAATCATTTGCTTTCTTTCAAAACTATACATTTTCAGAAATATACATATGTATGTGTACTTGTTATAAGTCTATCTCTTCATCTTCTTTTCTTTCGTTATATAAAAACAAAAAATTGTAGTAGTCTCAAAATCTACTGGACCAATTTTTATCGGATAGTTACAATTATGTTCCTTGTAATCTTGCGAAGGACATAGGCTTTATTTTCAGTTGTCTTAGCACGAAGGAACACGCTTAATGGAAATGGGGATGGAATAAACAAAATATTATTGTAATGTATTGTTTAGTACCTGACCAATCAAAATTATTTTTAAAATGCGAAACAAGCCTAGGCAATGTTGAGCTAACAGCTACTATTTTTGGTTAGATTAATCGAACCTAACACTTTAACAAAAGAATAATTTTTCATTTATTTCTAGGAGAAGTGTCATGAGTAAACACCATTGGAACAAATCTTTATTCATTATCTTAATATTGTGATACCGGCAATGCCATTTAATACTAACGTACAGTCAGATTCCAGATTCAAGAAATATGCAAATCTATTGTCGATCAATTCAACAACTATAACTTAGATATATCAAGCAACTGCAAATCTTGTGCTTCATGTTTCTCGAGCTAAAAGTTTAAAGAATTAGGTGTGAAGGTAAGATTACAAAATCATACAGTTAATATTATAACAATTCTAAATACGCGCATAAAACTAAGATAAAATACTAAAAGAATTAAAGGAAAGAAATGACTGAATCATTGAAATGTGTATTAGTTGCCAGCCAAAAACACGGAACTGAAATATTAAAGTATAAACGTGTTGTCATAACTAATAAAAGAATGAAGGTTTATGGTAAATGGTCTAACGAAAAGTTACTCACCTTATTAACTGACCACCTTCTCAAAAGATCTAGAGCCAAACCTTCTCTCATTTATGAAAAATTCCCTGCTATGCAACCAAAACTTAAAGTAGTGATTCTTTTAAATCCAATTATTCACCGTGAGCATTATGGTGAAAAGGTTTTAACAAAGTTACATTATACGGGTACTATATCCAGGTTCTTAAAATAAATTTTAATAAGTTGTAAATTATAATCAACGGGAAAAGTGATTTTCATTTATATCGTGATTACAGGAATGTCTGAAAATGATATTACGAGGGGTGTCTCAAAAGTAAGTTCCACTACTTTTTTTTTTAAATGAAAAAACGTTCAAAATTTTGTATACTGGTATATTTTGAAAGGTACATATGTAACTTATCTTTCTACATAATCGCCTTGAACTTCGATACATTTTTGGTACCTTGAAAACAGTTTTTTTAGACCCGTGTCAAACCACTCTTCCGGCAAACTGTTCAACCATCTTTCCACTTCTTCATTCAGTTCATCCTCATTTGCAAAGCGTCTTCCGGCAAGATGTTGCTTCAGCTGCGGAAACAGGTGAAAGTCACTTGGTGCAAGGTCAGGGGAGTAAGGTGGATGTCCGAAAACATCCCATCGAAACTTCTCAAGCAGCTTTTGAGTCTGGTGAGCGGAATGTGGATGAACGTTGTCGTGGAACAAAAACACTGTTTTTTTCAATTTTCCCCTCCTTTTGTTCTGAATCGCCCTTCTGAGTCGGTTTAACACCTCGCAATAGTGTGCAGATGTTATCGTGGTATTATGGGGCAGGTAGTCGATCAACAAAACCCCCTTGGAATCCCAAAAGACTGTTGCCATAACTTTTCCAACGGATGCTACAACTTTCGCCTTTTTTGGAGGTGGTTCATTTTTGTCTTTCCACGCTTTACTCTGAATTTTGGATTCGGGTGTATAGTGATGGATCCATGTCTCGTCCCCAGTCACTATTCGGTCGAATAAACCATCTCCCTCGTCGTCGAAAAATTGCTGAAACTGCAACGCAGCGTCAATTCTCTGCTCTTTGTGTTGTTCTGAAAGCAGACGAGGAACCCATCTTGTACACACTTTCGATAGACCCAGGTCATCAGAAATGATTCTGTGAAGTGTTGCACGGCTTATCTCAATATTCGGAGGCAGTTGATAAAGAATTTCATCAAGCGTAAGGCGCCAATCGGAATCCAAGATCCTTCGAACATGCTCGGTAACACTCGGAGTGCGTGAAGTCGAGGGCCGGCCGCTTCGTTGTTCATCGTGCAATGTTTTTCTCCCATCAATGAATAATTGGCGCCAACGAGCAACCATTGACCTTGACATAACATCTTCACCGTACACGCTACACAATTCGCGATGAATTTCAGTCGCATTTTTATTTTTTCCGGTTAAAAAACGAATAACACCGCGCACTTCACAATCGGCGGTAGGAGCGAGTGGAGTCTCCATGGCGACAAGGATAGGCGGCTTATTACTTCGCGGCATCTTAGTTTGCTTTTGAGGTTACCGGTGCAAACGAAGGAAACTGCCGACGGTTTGGTCAAACTCGTGGACGAGACGCAACAGCATCTCTTATCGCTCTCGTTGCTCGGGATCAATGTGACAGAGGAAATCGTCGTGCAAAATCTAGAGGAAAAACTCATATGTTCCGTACACTGCAGTGCGACGGATCTCGCGCTAACTTAACCGTTTGAGTGCAACAAGTGCCAAGGAGCGATTTTGCTCTTCTTCTGTGTCGCTCGAATAGCGCCAGCGCTCAAGTAAGGTAAATGTAAAAGAATGAGACAGCTGGTAAAAGAACGAATTTTAATTTCAGTCAAACATTACCGCTTACCGTATACAGCAGAAAACAGCGCAATAGCGCTCCTTGGCATTTTTAATCGGAGAATAAGACAAGCGCTATCGCACCGCTTGGCACTTTTGGAGAGGGAAAAAGACAAGCGAAAATCGCTCCTTAGCACTTTTGGACGGGAAAACAGCAAAGACACGTAGCACTCAAACGGTTAAATAGAAACTCAAGCGAGTATTTTCGTGTAATAGTTAACGCGAGATCCGTCGCACTGTAGTGCACGGAACATATGGTTATTCGAGCCAGATATTTGCAGGAATATCGATGGATTCTCGCGGAATGGTTTCATTTGGTACGGAATCTGAAATCCGTGATGGCGACATGGACATGACCAGACATGACTGACCTACCGATGAATGCACGCGCGTAGGGATTTCACAGGGCTTGCACTACGTATAGACAAATATTCTCTCCAAATTTCAAACGTTTCCCGCCAACCAAACGGGTTTAAAAAAATAGTAGAATTTACTTTTGAGACACCCCTCGCATCAGAGCTATGAAATTTGGTCTCTGTAGATTAATACCTACAGAACTTGCCCACTTCCAAATTTTCGGGGCAACTGAAAATTTCCACATGCATCGAAAATTAAATACTCAGTTCTTAGATGATGAAATACTTGTAAATCTTGAAAGTATTGGTCTAAGTTCCATTGAAGCTCAAAATATAGTGTCTCAAAATGATTACTCTATGGTTTGGCTGGTGTTAGGAGACACCGATATTGCAGGAATTTCAAACTGGACAGGGGATATTATTTCAGTTCCTATTAGGATGATTCAATTTCTAAGAAAACTTGGAATAAATGAGGATATACTACAACTGGTTGTGCAAAATGGAATAGGTGACAAAACCCAAGAGATGTTAAAAGATCTAGAGTATAAAGAAACTGAAGAAGTTGAACATCCAGGAATGAAAGAAGTATTGACATGAAACTATTGTTATAATTCACTTAATAAATAACGATTTTCAAATAACTGGAAATATGATTAATTTAGGCCATGATGTGTCAACGTAGTTTAACCATTTTGGAGCCGAATGCATTAAAAGACTTCAGTTGTACATCAACCTGTGATTCTACTTTGCAAAGTGTTTGTGTACAGTCATTAAGTAAACTGAAATTAACAAATACAAAATATTCACAAGTAAATGTGGGATCTATATCGGAACAATTAACTTGTAGCTGTTATCCACATCTACCTCAGGACATGACATTGCCATCCCAACCGGTTGTCCAAAGAAATGATTATTTAAGGTTTAACGGAGTAAGATGAAGTTGAAGATATCAACCCCGACTAGTTTACATGAACTCTTTTTTAGGCAAACAGTAATGATTCCCTTGGCTTGGGCAATGGGTAGAGCACTGCGATATAAACCTTCTGATCCAAAACACTACATTGCTTGCCAGTTACTTCGATGGAAATATGGTAACATCCCTGAATGTGAGATGAATGAAATACGTAAGATCATTGTTGGTTCTACGTTCAAAAAGGATCAAAAATATAGGGTGATTATAACATACACGGTTATCGATTTGTTTGATCATTAAGCTAAACTAAAGCAGTTTGTGTGTACATTCGTTTCAGGAAAAAATATGCGAACAAGAAAAAGATCTCTTAGATAAATTGAATGAGGAAGCAATGAAAGATATTCCTTGCAAAATATGCATAGAAAATCAACAATTGGTTCGGAATAAAAAGCATTGCTGGAAATGTATCAAGAAATGGGGTACAAAATATGAACCTTATGAACTCTCTGAGAGCAGTGGTTTCCATGGACTTAGTTTGTTAGATATTTACGAATCGGATACATCGACTTTCGATGATCGTGAAATAAATCAAAAGCACGTTTCATTAAAGAAGAAGTCCAAGGTTCAGGAAAACAAGAGCGTGAATGATTCAATGTACAGTTATGAGAACAATGAAGTCATGGAAGAATTGAGGTAATTCAAAAACTGAATTGCATTCACATTCAGTTCTAATCAAGATAATACATTTTACAGAAAACCTAGATATGCAGAAAAAAATCAAGTTGATAAAGAAAAACATAGGGCTACGGACAACCCATGTTGCCCTTTACCATGTAATATACCTAACATAAAGAAGTCACTGCTAAAATTCACTTCTACAATGATACCAGTTCAACTTGAAGACTTGAATTCTTCCAAACATTCCTTTAATGAAAACTCTGACCATGACAATAATCAATAAGAAGTCAATAATTATTAAAAATCGATATTTCGTACAAAATTCGTTTATTTGGTAATCAGATTCATACATTTGTCAGATGTTCCTTAATTTATTTTCACATAACGGGTGAACCGTTATAAGTTCTTTTGAAAGAATCTGAATGTACAAATACAAGTTTGCATAAAAGTATTAATCTGGCAGTGTATGAATAATTGTGACCTCATAAATGGCCACAATAACCCTAGAGAAATTGTAAACAAAATGAAATACCTAAAAGGCAGTAGTGAAAAATGTTTCACGTTTTCAATCAAGATTTCTCACATAACTAATGTGTTCAAGATGTCATTAATGTAACTACGAATTTAAAAATTATTGGTGAACTAAATTTACAATAAAATGGAAAGGTATTTCATTAAATACTGTACGTATTAGTCATTTCTGATAATTCAGAAAATTTGAAACAATATCAACCTGGTACCTGGACTTTACTATCCAAGTTTAAAAACCTGATTTGCTCCTGTTTAATAATTTAACAATATAAACTTCATTGAAACATTCATTAGTTATACAATTAAACGTTCTGCGGCAACAGTTCCATTGTACGAGTATGATAAAACAATGCTGGCTCCTAGAAATTTCTACTTATGTACAGTGTGTCATATAAAATAAAAAATACAAATGTAGGCATATAAAAAAAAAATATACAGGTTACTATATTTATAAAATTAGAATAAGAAACTAAATTTATATATTAACTGATGGAGAAATTTCATGTCCAGCGTTAAATCAGTGTACACGTACTATTTATATTAATATTATGCTAAGTATTTCACTGAACAATGGCTGTTCCAGCATGAACTTTGAAATATTCCTGCACTCGAGATATGTGAAAATCATTTTTGCAAATGTATTACTTTCAGGTACTCATATAACAAAGCAATAATATTGGTAATCAAATCTATTTATACTTTGAGAACCATATAAAATCATACGAGTAAACATTCTAGTTTCCAGCACCCTTCTCCATACCGATTAATATTTTCAATGATCGCGAGAATCGATCCAGTCTTGGGCCAAGTACTAATTACAGCGAACGTGAATAAAATAGCAACGTATCAAAATATATTCTTTTGCATCTATCTGTTTGGTCTATATCCTGAGCTACTAACAGAACGGGCTTTCTATTATGGATCTCACGTTCATTAGCGCGTTAAGTAAAAAATCGGAAGTACATTAATTAGCTAAGTCTATGACTTTTATGGACGTTTTGTAGAATCTATCAAGACTTCCACGGATCCCTGTTCTCTTATTTTTAAGAACAATTCTTTAACTGAAGAATTCATTGCTTATAGTTATTTAATTTTACGCCGTAGATCATTCTTGCATGTAGCTTGAGGTTACCGAAGTTGTTGAACAAGGTGATCACCCTTTCTCAAGAACTTCTCTCCATATTAACATGGATTTATTATTATACGAGCTAAGGGATCCTTATTACTTTAAACTGCATACACTTGGAGCTTGTTAATCTTAGCTTTTTCCTCTTCAGATTCATCCCGGCATATCATAAGCGTATGAGAAAGACCGCATGTTACAGCCGTAATGTACAAGCCTTCTAAAGCTTTTACTTCCATGGGTGTTGTCGAAGACTTGCGCATCTCTCCAAAACCCTAAAAGTGAAATAAAAACATGTTTTAACTTAAATTCACAATATAATTCTATATAAAATGTGCTGTTTAAACATAGTGCCTACTGGTACATAGTTATGAAATTTCAATACATTTCTGATATTTAAATTCAACAACAAAATTTCACTACTACAAGTATTTCCAGTACCAGTAGACATTTTGTTAAATCTTGATCATTACGTTGATCCTTAGTTCTGCAAACTGCATCATTGCTGCATAAATCAAACAAATTGTTCTGGAGGTATAGACCATAAAACGATATTGTTTGACACTTATCGGCATTAACACGTATCTTATTGATTTGTTAAACTTACCAGTTCTCCAAAAGTAGGACTGGCACCCCATGCGATAACAGAGTCATCAGCTGCAACCACTACACTGGTTTGGGAACAAGCAACACATCTTATATCCCATCCTGACAAGTCTTGTATTGGCTTTGGATACATATTTGCCTCTCCTGTACGTTTTGTTTGTCCAAACATTAATGCTGTTCCATGGACGTTTATGACAATGCTGTATGTACTTCCACAATACGCAGCTCTAACACCACGATTTGGGGGTTCTAAGAATTTTATTAAGCGTGGCACTAATTCATCTCGTTGTTCATTATGTCCTAAGCGTCCAACTCCACCAAAACCCCAGGAAAACGCACGACTTTTACTATCAATAGCAACAATATGATGATGACCACAACTGAAATCAGTTATCTCAACACGGTCTAGAGGGATAACGTGTCCATCCTTCTCTCTTTCAACGTATAAGACGATTCGTTTAGGTACTTTCTCAAAATGAAAGGCCATTCTTGTATTAGTTACAAAGTATTTTCCATCGGTGTTATGGCCTAATGCTCCATACTCAGGACTTCCAAAAGAATGTAATCCACCCTTAATATCCAAGATCATTGAAAATTCGGCACCGCATCCAACTTTGACAATAGGAGGGCCAGAGTACTTCACTTTTGTGGCTGTAACGACGCAAGCAATGGATTTTCCCACGCCGCATTGGCCGAGTTTATTATCTCCAGCTCCAAAAACAATTCCACGACTTGTTAGAAACAAAGTATGATTACGACCACAAGCTGCTCCTATCACTGTGTGTCCTTTTAAAGCCTCCACTTCAGTAGGTTCGTCTCGTCGCTTAGTATCACCAATGCCTAATTGTCCTACAATTATGAGATAAAACATTCTATGTAATGATAAAAATATACTCTGAAATCACATTACATTTATGTTAAACACAATTAAAAAACTATGTGTATATTATTTAAACTACAAATAACTATTATTCAATTACTTTCCACCAGGAACCTAGGTTTCCTTTTCTTTATGGTTAATAATCAACGACTTTTTGTAATACTTTTACATCATATCCAAGCAAATGTTTGCATTTGTTTGGACATGATGTAAGAAGAAATTTGTTTTCATGAATAAAAATAGAAAGTCTGTGAGAAAAATATTCCGTACATTACTCTCCAAGTTACAATACCTACTTATAGTACTCTTTTCATGAAAATGTCTTAATAGAAAATATAAAACTCGTAAGTTACACAAAAATAATAAAAAAAATCGTTGGTATATACATATGTAATACATAAATTATTTCTGCACTAACGTTCCATATGATTTGTACCAAAAATATTTATACAAATTAATGGAAATAATTAAAACGCCATTTAATAAATACCTGTATCCATTCAAATTAATTTAAAAAACAGAAGTATACCGTAGAATATCATAATCTCGTTTACCTTTTTTTTATTTACCTTTATCATTTCTACCGAAAACCAGGCATCTATTATCCTCAGTGACTACGACACTATGCGAGGCTGCAGGGCCTGAGGCAACCAAACGAACTCGACTTCCATTAATATTTTTAAAAGTATGTGGTGTCCATAAACTACGGCCCACATTGGCCTTTACTCCTTTCGGAGGAGCCTTACGTCCTGCCATTTCCCAGTTTGTTAAACCACATAACAATAGGGTCCCCGGTTTACCCCAACCTCCCTGAAACAACAATTTATCATTAATAAAATTGTTTAAAATTACAAATCATTGGGTCACAAGCTAACCCTGTCTATACCACAAAATTAAAAAGAACAAAACCACGGTGGAATAAAATTCATGACATAAATCTTTAAGTTAATAGATCACAATGAAGAGTACTTTGAAGACTATGATGACAATAAGCTGTCCTATAATTTGATATCCTTTTGTCAAATCGAATACTTTTGGTAACTGCTCAATCTTCCGAGACGGCTATCTCGGAATTAACATACTGTGGAGCAGGTGAATTAGCATTGGAGCCCTTAAAATGTGTGAAAAATATAATGTTTAATTACAGCACCTCAGTTGAGAACGGTAAATAAATAAGGGAACCGTGCCAAGACGGGAAAGCGTCACCTCTGGAGCCGGCAACTCGGGGATACTGGATAGGTCGGTTAAGTCTTCGTCGGCAGCGTCCTCGCCGTCGGCATTGGAGCCGGCGTCGGCTTCGGCGTCTTCGACATCCGACTCGTGCTCGCTGGAGATATCTTCATCGTCGTACTCTACTTTCCGCGACTTTCCGCGGCTTTTCTTCATGGGCACACCTTTTCGCTTAGTGGACATATCCTTTTTTTTAATGGCTTAATCCGGACAAAATCGAAAAACGAGCAACGACAAACAATTCCTAATCGAGGGACGCAACTCCAGTGACATTTAACGGTGTAATGACCAGTAATGGCGGTTCAACTCATCGTACGCCGCGAAGGGACAACAAAAACCTGGCCACCTGGCGCTCAAAAATCATAATAAAACCACGCTCCCAGGATAAACGATAACCATAAACCAGAGTATCATTGAATATTCCTTGCGACGTCCGACGCGCAGTGGTGCGCAGTGGCGCGCTCCTAAAGGCATGGACTATGTATAACATAGGCACGACTTTATACATTTTACCGTGGACCTTAAAGTATAGGGGATGAGCATTAGCCTGCGCGATTGAAGCCGAGGGGGGAGTAGTCGGCCATATTGGAATGTTCCATGAGGTTTGTTCGTTTTGCCTACACTTTCTACACTTGTACGAAAAGTGTATACTTTGTCGTTCGTTTTGACGGAAGTGGCACACGTCGCTGTTCATTTTGCGAGTGCATCTACACCGAGGGTACATATGCACATACGTATATGCATACATTTCAAATTTCCGAGGCTGATTTCGAATGTGCGCGGGTTTGTGGAGGCGTAAAGCGCAATCCCCTTAATAGCCAATGAGAATCTCTCTTAGAGGTAAATGGGTGGACTCTCATTGGGTGCATTCAGAGGGAAAAGCGGTTACTGATGAGTTGGGAACATGTAGCGATTTTCTGCTGAAAATGGCGATCAGAATGGTTTGATCAGGAAACATGTTGAGTAAACGTACCCATTCAGCAGATGAGCGTTAACCAATCACTCAACAGTTGTCTCCAATCAGTTGTCTGAATGCACCCATTGGGTGTTGACAATATTGCCCATGTGCTTTGCACGTTTAGTTTGGAGTAATATACTTCGTGCCTGCGTAGAAAACTAGGGACGTATTATACGTTGTAATATACGTGTAGAAAACACGTATATTACCAGAGATCCAACTCTTACAAGGGCGAAGAGGGCGCCAGTGAGCCGTGCCTCAGTTTCTAACAAAGGCTTGGAACATCTCCCTGCTCATCTCTGATATTACTTGACGTATTATACTTACCCAATCCTGGGAGAGATGTTTCACGCCATTGTCGAAAGTGAGACGCGGCTCACTAGCGCCGTGGAACTACTTTCGAAGGGGAGAATGTTCTCTATCGGTAAAGAAAAAAGCGTCTGTATATTTCAAATACAGCACAGTACTGATAAGATGAAGCTATCGCCTTTTCGTTTTAAGTATCAAGGTCAATATAAGTTGGGAAAAAAGACTACGAATACCAAATAAAGTTGTATGCGTGAGTATAGAGATTACAGCGCGGCTTACACGCGTACACTGTTTTACCGATCACGAAGATTTCGCCCCTTTGAAAGCAGTTCCACTTTTTACAAGGGGATAAAGGGCATAGAGGGCGCCAATGGGTCGTGCCTCACTTGCAAACAATGGCGTGAAGCATCTCCCCGCTCTTCTCTGCTATATATTTCAGTGGTTACAGCCCAATACGTGGAAATGTCACCCCTCTGGCCCCTGGTCCGGTCCGAAAGCCTGATGTCCGGTCCGGATGCAAAGGCAGCGCTTCAGGCAACCGGGCCGGCAAAAAAACCTGATCAGGCGTCTTGAACACGCGCTTTACGTTGTTTCGCTATAAAGTATCATACACACCTGAGTATTTTCGTTCAATTCGACGCGTGGCTGGACTTGTATTATTTTCATCGCTCATATCGGTAAACAAAAATGTGCGATTTCGACACGGAATTTTTAATATTAGCTGTAGAAAAATACCCATGCTTGTGGGATCTTCAAGAGGAAAGTTACCATATCCGGGAATTGAAGGACCTCGCATGGGAAGACGTTTGTAAGGAAATATTCAGCGACTGGGAAACTATGAATGATGCAGAGAAACGAAAGAAATGTAAGCTACTGTGTTACATTGTTTTTATATACTCACAAAATGATAACGAAATGCATGTGTATGTAACGTTCAAATGAAGTAATTGAACACTATTGTATTAGGTTGAGGCATAAGTTTGTGCGGATTTTCTTAATCTTAATTTTGTTAATGCTCTCTATCGCTGCCGCTTTCGCTTCTGCTTCTGCAGTAAATCTCTGTTTCGATCGTCTATGGAAAAGTCACCCCTATTACAACCGTACTTCCCATGTGTCGCATCTTGCGGGGCGCATTGCGGGAAATTAGTTTCTTTGTTGACTTTTTTTTGTAATCCCCATCCATCTCTCTTTTGAAGGTAGTTTCATTTCTAATAATTAAAGAACTTCCCATATTATTTTACACATTTCTCGAACTGTAGCAGACTCTGTTCTACCACCTACCAAATAATCAAAAGTATTTGAAAATTTTTCCCGGCGTCTACCCGAATAGCACATCGTTATCCGATAGATGTCGCATTGGTACCGGAAAAAAGATATGGTTAACATTCAGGCCGGCAAAAAAGTCGGCTATTTGGTCGACTTTTTTTTTGTTATCGGTGTCGTGGCGATGCACACGAGAGTATGCAGAACCACAACTGTTTTAATTTGAACGAACGAGAACCATGGAGAGATCGCGCACCTTGGCACAAGTTTGTGAAAATGTCCTCACGGTTCGCGGGAGTTTTTACGGTGATTGAGATAGGATGATTAAGGTGAAGTGAAACACGTCGAGGAACTTGATAGACGTCGATAAACAAGATTTTTATAAATGCCTACGTTGCCGGCGTTCGTTTTTATATTGACAGCTGTGTCGAATTATATTGGATATTGTACCAAATGGCATACTTCACCTGTCGTTTTCGTACAATAAATATCAAGAAATCGAAGTCAAACTCCAGAAATCCTCTGGATTCGTGCTTTCTGGGGCCCTAATTGACTGCAGAGGGACCCCCTGCGCCATCTGTGATTTCCAGGTCAATTAAATTTTCACTCCGAGATCTCGTATTCCCATCGTTTTAGCATAGAAACGCATACAACACTTTTTTTGCCTTTATCCCGTTCAAATAAAGTTTATGGATTACCAGAGTGTTCTAAATTGTCGTAAAATTGTCCTGACCCTTTCGTTTCTCATATTCAGAGCCTTCGATAATTGTATATTTATCGAAGTATGAGAGCTCGACGCCATTTTGTTTCTGATGTAAGCTAAGTTAAAAAATATTGTCCAAAAATCCAAATTTTGAATGTGTCAGGACAATTCGTAGATGTTCAGGAGTGATGTGTCAAAGTTTCGGACAGTTTGGTCTAATACCCTTAAAAAAAAGTGTTGTATTCGAATTGACTGGTTTGAAGGGGGTTTCACTTCACCTTAACGAATTCGACCTTGCACGTTAGGTTCGATCTTCGTTCGGTTTCGATGTTAACCGTTCGATTGATTTTTTGGTTCTGAGTTGTCTCTTTTGAACAAGAGACTTTAGCGCTGTTGCGGAGGAGCGTCGCTTATTTTCTAAAGAAATTTGATTAGTTCGTGGTCCTCTGCATGCGGACGCCTAGATTCCAAAATTGGAACGCTCATTGATTGTCGAAATACGCGCTGGAGTCAAGGGACGGCCCGAAAAGCCACGGATCACTTCGATTATTTTTTCCCCGGAAAGACCCAAAAAGGTGGAGTGCAGATGGCCTCACCGTAGGTGGTCACTGTCGCCAGAGATCCGACAGTGGCCCGCGACGACGCGACGCTAAAGAACTCCGCTTAAGGTGAAGTGAAACCCCCTTCAAATCACTCAATTCGAATACCACACTTTTTTTTTAAGGGTATTAGACCAAACTGTCCGAAACTTTGACACATCACTCCTGAACATCTACGAATTGTCCTGACACATTCAAAATTTGGATTTTTGGACAATATTTTTTAACTTAGCTTACATCAGAAACAAAATGGCGTCGAGCTCTCATACTTCGATAAATATACAATTATCGAAGGCTCTGAATATGAGAAACGAAAGGGTCAGGACAATTTTACGACAATTTAGAACACTCTGGTAATCGATAAACTCGCATTTGAACGAGATAAAGGTAAAAAAATGTCATATGCGCTTCTATGCTAAAACGATGGGAATATGTGGTTTTGGCGTGAAAATTTAATTGACCTGGAAATCACAGATGGCGCAGGGTGTCCTTCTGTAGTCAATTAGGGCCCCACAAAGCATGAATTCAGAGGATTTCTGGAGTTTTACTTTGATTTCTTGATATTCATTGTACGAAAACGACAGGTGTATGCCATTTGGTACAATATCCAATATAATTCGACACAGTCAATATAAAAACTGTCGATATAAAAACGAACGTCGGCAACGTAGGTATTTAGAAAAATCTTCTTTATCGACGTCGATCAAGTTCCTCGACGTGTTTCACTTCACCTTAAGGTTGTACAGATCGTAATTAGTTATGTAGACTATTCTCCGCGGTAGGGGCTATAGCGAAATATATTCTGAACAAACTCGCAAAAATTGTAGGTGAATCGGTTCGGTAGTTCCTGAGATATCGTGGGTACAAGTTTGAAAAATGTGGTTATGATAAAAACGCGTTTAAAGTTTCGGGATGAATCGCTGCGCTCGGGTTATAACATCATTAGAACTGTCAAGACCAGTTAAAATGACTGGTTTCAAATGGCCCAATCTATACAAAAAAAAAAAAATCCGCCGGTAGTTCTAGTGACATTATACCTACCGCCCACCCGTCCATTCAAACCTCTATAACTCCACCAATTTTGCGATTTTCTTAATAATATTTAGAGGGAATATTTTCAAGACTATATAGGCTATATGGACGTGCAAAAAACCGAAAATCGATTTTTTCATCGGATGAAATGTATCTCCCCTCTTAAGATACCACAAATGTGCCAACTATTAGATATCAGTCTTTACAGCATAAAATGATTGCTAAATACAGGTATCTTATTGAAAATCGTAAATTGATCTTTTTATATTAAAAAAAAGACAGCTCGTTAATTTTCTGAATAGATGATTTAGTTATTTCAAAAGGGTTGTCTTTTTGATAACGTTTTATGCATGCCGTTATTTTAGGTACACTTCTGATATCTTTATGCCAGCCTTAAAAGTAGTCTAGAAGTTATCTTTCAAACAACGTCATTAAGCCGCCTTTTTGACATCTTTCCTACTTGAATAAATATTTGAAAAGAAAAGTATTTGCCATTATAAAATTGTATATTTAATTTTGAAGGTAGTGACTTGAAAAAGAAATGGAATAATGTACGAGACAGCTACCGGAAAGACATTAATAGAGTGAAAAATACTCGTACGGGATCTAGCGCCAAAAAACAAAAAAGATATATTTATGCAGATGTTTTATCTTTTCTGGCGCCCATCTTTAAAAATAAAAGGTAAGCAAAACTAATCACAATGAATTTAATGTATGCTACTAACTTTTAATATACAAGTAGCAACATGGAGAGTACATTTACACGTTCTGCATTACACCGGTTTTATAATTATTCATGTTATAACTGCCGGACGTGTAAATGTACTCAGCAGTAATCAATTTAAATAAGGAGAATTATTGCTTAGTAATCTACTTACAAGTGTACTTTTATCAGCCATGAAGGAAATTATGAAGAAGAGGAAGAAAAAAGCACCGAAGAAACACAAGAAGAAGAAGAAACGTGTGTCACTGCAAATGCCATATTTAACTGTAATAAAGCAACAGAGGATAATGATAGTGGTAGAGATAGGAAAAAAGATGTTCCTAACCAAATACTTAATTTAATACAGCATAGAAGGGAGCAACTTATAGAAAATGATGACGATGACTCAATGTTTTTGTTGAGTTTTCGCTCGGATATGAGAGCTATGACCAAATCTCAAAAATTAGATTTCAAGATTGGTATGTTAGAACTTGTAAAAAAAATTGACCAGTAATCCCATTTATCCATCTTTGGGTACGGTAGTACTTCAAGCTCTCAATTTGTGTATTCACCGAGCTCTATGTACATACATACATATGTACATGGATAGGATGTACATACATATTTCAAACTCGGATACATTAAGTATAAGTGTTACTTTTCACTTCCTACATTACTGCAGTTGCCCAGTTAATTGAAAATTGGCAGTTAGCCATCATGGTTGATACAGAAAGAATTTCGAACGAAATGGGGTGTTTTGTCGCATTCAATTTTGCAGCAATGCAACAAAGTATGTACTTGATGGCTGTCTGCTTATTTTCAACCAATTCAAAAATCTTGCTGCATGCAATTTAACGGCGATGCCGCAAGTCAAAAGATACTTTAATGATAAATATGATTAGTTTTATACCAGCATATCTATCACTACCATAAAATAATATCCAGGAACCTAAGGATGACAATAGAACAGTCTTCAATTTTTAAAACTGTTAAGGAAGAACTTTGGCAACTGGTTTATGTTGGTTTTGGAGTTTACGCTTTTCTTATAGATCACAAATACTAGTTACCAACATATTATTTTATAAGTTTTCGAAAAAACAGTTACTATAGATATACTATAAAAAATCCAAATCTTTATACTAATAGTGTAACGAATATAATGTATAACTTTTACATGGAGAGTCACAAATATAAATCCCAAAAATAATGTAATCATTTTCAAAGAGTGAACCGCAAATACTGACATCATTGTAAGTTAGACATCGATGATTGCTCGAAAATGATCAATAAATATTATAAGTAGCGTAAATGTTGCAGATTGTATTTTATATGTAATAATGACAAAAGAAAAATATACTTACCTGAGCAAATTCTGATCTAGAAATGAATGGTCCCTAAAAAAATTATAATTTCGGTAATTAGGCATAAAAGGGTGATCCACCCGGTTTTTCGTATTACTTTGATGTATTGAAATGGACGTCGTTTTGAATATTTTCATATATATATTTAAGGGTCGGACTTGAATATTTGCGGAGTTATTAAACAATTGACCCACTGAACACCAAACCTAACAGTTACGTAACTTAAAACTAACAAATAACATAACGTTTGTTACAATGTAAAAACCAAACATTTACGTAACTTAAAACTAACAAATAACATAACGTTTGTTACAATGTAATAACCTAACAGTTACGTAACATAGAGATAACTAGTTACGTGACATTTGTTACAATGCAGTAACTTAACAGTTATGTAACATGGAGCTAACAGGTTATATAACATTTGTTACTATGATATCTATATAAATGTAGCGTAACTTTGTTACTCTTATCTCACATTATATTACTGTCCTGATATTACTGTGTATATGCAGCATATATTTGTAACAAAAAAGAACTACATTGGTGCTAACTGTCATCCATTTTACTGCATCATCGTCATCGTCATTGCCCTAATTCATCGTCAAATGTCATAAGATTATTATATGTCATATTTTGTTTACTACTCGTGTGAAAAAAATGTGATTTTAATTCGTACTCGCATACACATTGTCAGTAATTATTTGCTAGTCGAATGAAATCAGTCTTTAAATAAAATCAGATAGTTTATCGTTCACATAATTTCATCAAAAGTCTGATTTGTCATTTAATATCTAACCATTGTCATGTACCAAAAAATATAAAATAGCGCTATTTTTTTTTTATTAAATGTATGAAAAATTAATATTATTTTAAGGTAACTGAACTTATAACATTAATATAATATGTTACATAACATGTTACTTTACCGAGTGGGAAATAATAACTAACATTCAACTTCCATGTTATTTTTATGCTACATAACATGTTAGTTTCGAAAACGTAACATTTACCCAACAGCTATATAACAGTGTTCACTGGGTTTATGAAGAAGTAGATGCTAGGAATTGCTTTACGCGACACACTGGTCAATAAAAAAGGGCCGAAATGCAACGTAGAAGAAGAAAAAGAATGGTGCTGCACAAACTTTTGTATGTACAGTGACAAACACAAATGTCTTCTCATCATATACTGGTGGTTCTATACCTACAGGGAAAGCATTCATGTCCGTTAGTGTACAAATCGCACAGAGGATAGTCTGTGTGTATAAACCGGCTGTAAAAGAACAATTGCTAATAGGTCCTCGTTGTCCATTTTATTCTGTGCATTTATTACATATAATGCACTCTGCAATGAGTTTGAACCGAAGACACCGCAGAATTGTCAATCATGCAAGAACGAAATGCTTTCACGCGAAACTGTGCGATCAATCTTCAGGCAGCCTGATCCGGTAACCTGATCAGGTTACCGGATCCGGAACTCTGACGTACGCGACCGGCCTTATTTAACCGCAAAGATCAAGAGATTATTTGCTACATTTGTTACAATTGTTAGGCATGTAATGTTAATAGGTTATATAAAAAATGTTAATTTTTCGCCTGAATCAAGTTAGCGTAGAGAGCAGTATAAAACATGTACTTGTATCTAATGTCATGATTTCTCTGCTAAGAAAATAAACGCTACATGCATTCTTTTTTAAGGTTAGGATTTGAATGAAATGTGTCAGACACGCACGAGGAAGAAGCTTGCATACGTGTATTGAAATTTTGTGCGGTGAATACACGTGACTAGTGTAAATGATCTAACATACTTCGCAAAATGATAACCTTTTTCTGCATGACGTAAGATACATGTTATATTATTTATTAAATTACAGTCAATTAATTAATCTGTCTGATCCTATTCTGGAAAATATACACATTAAACGATCAAATTTGTACTTATTCTTTACAAAGAACCGGTCATTTATATTGTTACAAGAAAAATAAAATTTTAAGTTTTTCCATTTAAGGTTAATGCTCTTGTATTTTTAGGGCAACAATCATCTCGTTCCTGAATATATTGTTGTATCTAGTTGCTTCGGTAGTTTTGTTCCTTTCAATTTTTCTACCATTCTCAATTATATACTGGAGGAAACTTTATGAGAAAAAACGTGCAGAGAGATGTCAAAAAGAAACCGTAATTGCTTTCTTTCATCCATATTGTAACGCAAGTGGTGGCGGTGAAAGAGTTCTTTGGGCAGCTATTAAAACTATTCAAACAAAGTATGATAATATATAATAACAAACGATTTTAATAGTGGTTCATTAAAAATACATGTAGTGTATATGTATCATTGAGTAAATTTAATCTTTTTTTTAAGCTATCCCAATGTCCATATTGCCGTATATACTGGAGATTTGGATGCAGATCCTGAACAAATTCTTAAAAAAGCAGAAAATGCATTTAATATACAGCTGAAACCAAATATTAAATTTATTTATTTACAACGTCGAAAATGGGTTGAAGCTTCAATGTATTCATACTTTACATTATTGGGGCAAAGCTGTGGATCCGTATTTTTAGGTTTTGAAGCATTAACTTATCTACAGCCAGGTGCGAATGGAAAAATCCATTATTTATAAGAAATTTCCAGAATTAAAATATATTTTATTTCTTGTATCGCAATGCTATATATAAGTTAATTTGATTTTCAAGAAATGAGACAAAATAACTAATAGTTACAATTAACTGTAGGAAATAAAATTGTTCTTGTGTATTAAATAATTATCACATGCTTCTAGATATTTACATTGACACGATGGGTTATGCATTCACATATCCTTTATTTAAATATATTGGTGGATGTCGTGTTGGATCATACACCCATTATCCAACAATTTCAACAGATATGTTAAAACATGTATACCGACGTCAGGTATCGCATAATAATCGTCGCATCATTGCTAGAAATCCATTCCTTTCTGCTGGAAAGATTGTGTACTACAAACTATTTGCCCTTGTAAGTACTTATAATATTTTTTAAAGTCATCATTTAATATCATGTAGCATGCATTGAATGTTTCAGTTATACGGATGGACAGGGAGATGTGCGGAAAGTGTTATGGTTAATTCATCATGGACCGAAGAACATATTAATTCAATATGGAAATGTCCATTGAGAACACATCGAATTTATCCTCCTTGTGACGTAGAACATCTGTTAAAACTACCACTCTTAAGTGATCAAGATAAAAAGGGTTTTATACAAATAGTTTCAGTGGCTCAATTTAGACCTGAAAAGGGGCATCCACTAATGTTACGAGCTATGTATGAATTAAGGTCAATAGTGAGCGAGTCCACTTGGGATAAGGTATATTTACTTCACTTTCTAACATTAAAAAATTCATATATATTGCAAATGCAATTCTTATAAATAAAAGCATGTTACTCTAAAATTACTGAATTATTTTTTAGATTCGCTTGATTTTTGTTGGTTCATGCCGCAATACTGAAGATGAAGTTCGTGTGAAAGATATGCAAGACCTAGCAAAACACTTGGCATTGGATGAAAATGTTGAATTTAAATTAAATATACCTTACTCAGAATTAGTGACAGAATTACAACAAGGAACTATAGGTCTTCATGCAATGTGGAATGAACATTTTGGAATAAGCATTGTTGAATGCATGGCTGCTGGTCTCATCATGGTTGCTCATGCTTCAGGAGGCCCCAGGTAAAATGTTAATTATAATTAATGTTCTACATTAGTTCTAGATTGTTATTATATGGGGAAGATGTGAACTTATTTGTAAACAATGTTTTCAATTTCCCTTAATTCCAGAGCTGATATTATTGAAACTCAACCTAGTAGTCAAAATGGATTTTTAGCAGAAGATGCTGAAGAATATGCCAAAATAATGGCACATATTATAAATATGCAGCCTCACGAAAAAGATGCTATTAGAAATGCAGCCAGGTAACGACTTTCATTTTCTTAAAACGCATATTCCTTCACACCTTCGAGTGTAGAAATCTGTAAAGAAACATTTTCACTTGGTACGTTACTTTCAGAGCATCGGTTACACGTTTCTCTTGTGGACAATTTGAAAAAGAATTCCTACGAGCAATTGAGCCTTTTTTCAGAACAAAACAAGAATAAAACTAAGTGGTTTGCATCAGGAAACTCGGTAGCGTTTCGCGCCAAATACATTTAAAAGCCTACGCGAACGGCACCGAATACTTAACGCGAAAATTCGGCACATCAATTTGATATTATAATACGGAAGAAAAACTATAAAATCACTTGAATTATAAATTATTGGCGCATTAAGGAATTGTTGCGAAAACTATTTACTCACATGTTACAGTGTGTGAGATTACTATAGAATAGATCGAACAGTACCGGTATATTTTAATGTATTTTACAGCATATGAAAAAGCATTGTATTCTTGAAAGAGAAAATTGTTAAAAATCTAATGTACATAATGAACTGTAAGCACAATATATAAGATAAAAGCTAATATAAAATACTGTTTTATAAATAAAAAATCTGAGTAACATTTTCGGTTTTATATTTAAGTAATATAAATAGTACATAACATTTCAAACTTGGTATGAAACAATATCTATTGATATACATAATGTAAAAGGATGTACAAATTTGAAAAAGGGTACATTTTGATGTAAAGTCCACAGCAATGTATGTAGTCTTTACAGTAAAGAATTATTGACTAATCCACATCCATGACACTCTAAAATATAAGGAGCAAATTCTCCTTCATTTCCTCCTTTAGTTACAGAAAATTTAAGTCCCCTGCTACCTAACATTAGTTCTGCGACTTGAATTGCTGTTTCTGTATGACAAGTGAGGTTCTTTTCTCCAATTTGTACTCGTGAGATTCCTTGCGCCAGTGCCATGAAAATGATGATCTGTAAAATGTTTTCAATTGTTTTTAGTGTTATAGGTTTTATGACAGTTAAATTATTGTACACGTCGAATATACATAAATGAATTTTACATGAAAACTGATCATTTTGTCACGTTAATCTTACTTGATCTTGAGAATGTTCATCAACGCAAGAACCTTTCAGAATAGGATTTAACACTTGCGTAGCTGCGATAATTCCTGGTGCTATGTCTTCTCGACGACCCGAACCCAAACCAGATCCACCAAATACATGGTCATTACTTGTGTTGCAAACGATACTAAAAATACTTCATTGTTAGAAATTATTATTCTAAGAGCATGTTGTAATTACTTGTTGCAATATACACAATATCTATTTAAGATATTTATTCTGTAATAAAAAGAGCTTACTTAATACCAGATCCATTGCCAATAGCCATATTTCTGTCTTCTCTATACGACTCAATATTAATTGATGGCACTGGAATATTATTTTTAACAAACCCATCAATTAGAGTTCGTTTAGCATCAGAGGCCATTTTATTTGCTTCCTGAAAAGCAACGCATTGTTTCTCTAAATTAGGTATTACTGTCATATTTAAATAGTTTTTTAAGAGTAAATATATATGATACATACAGCAATGTTGACTGATCCAGCAACATAAGACCAACCAGACACATTAACTGGCTCACCAGGGTCTAGTAAATTTACTGAGTTTAAGCTTCTTACAGGTTTAATATACAAGTGCACTTCTCCTCCTCCTTTTGGATAGTATCCCCTCCATTGATTAATAATTTTAGTATTGACATATATGTATCACATTTGGATCAAAGTAAACAAGCAACATAAAATTCAAAGGAAACTGGTAATGTCGTTATGTAACAGGACATGTTTCTATAAAACATCAAGAATTCTACATAACATCCACAAATCCAATATTTATGATAAACATATTAACAAAATTCTGTAAAATAAACCATGATTTGCAATAACGACATGCAGAAAATAAGCGGATGCATAGAATTACCTTTAAATGAAATTGCAGGGTATTTATTTCATAGGCCCACGAAACACAGATATACGCATTCAGCTCTACAAGTCTTTTACTAAAAATATATCTTAATCAGTGGAAGGAAATAGTTACCTTCTGACCACCGTGAAATTAAAATCAGCACCAAATTTGTTAAGTATTGGTTTCAATACTTCCGTCAGATATTCTATCGGTGGTCCCATTGGTACGTTTGTGCCTCCCTTCAGAATAAGGGTAACTGGATCAGTGCTAGGAGAAAACAAGGCACATGGTATAGCTACTTGTGCCAATAAACAAATACAACCAGCAGTTTGGATATCCGCAATTAACTCTCGCCGAAAATTTTGCAAAGGTCCTGGTCGAAATTCCAGCTTAGTGGAGCCTATGTATGCACCTGACACTTGGGCGCTACACATCTGTTTAACGAGTTCTACCCCTAGAAATTAAAATAGTACATATAATAACGATCGTATCTTAAATTGATAAGTAAATTTATGCCTTTTACTTTCGATTAAATGCACAGTTTGTTGGTTTAGTTGGAAAAAAGACAGTGAAAAATTAATCTAAAACCGAACAAATGTTTAAAGAATTCTGGTAAACGAACCCAGGTTTTGATGATTTAAGATCAATCGATCTTTTAACCATTTCGAACTTCAACTTTGTTAATTTCTATAAATCATGCATTACGGATACCAGAGGACTTTAAGCACATTTAAATCAGTAATCGTACTTGATCAAATTGAGCATTTTTGTCATATAACAAACAGTCTATCAATTAAAAGAAATAAAATTAACCAACCTTTGAGATGCTGAGCAGCCAAGCCAGGTTTAGGTCGGTCAGCTCGAATATTGTTTATCTCGACAGGTATTCCGTACAGAACGCTCAAGCTCAATGCCACTCTCAAAATTTGACCACCCTATCTATGAAACAAAGCCTTATTACCACTTTAAATATTTTCAAAGATAAATTGGTTCGCTTTTAAAACAGTTTAGTTTAACGCCATGCACATAGATTTAAAAAAATGTATATTTAATACCCTTTCATAATAAAATGAAATCAGTAATATTTTTGTCAAAAGTAATAGAACCTCCAAGTGACATACAATTTTATACTAATTTCGTATTATTTCTAATTTTTCTCTTAAGATGACTTACACCCTCTCCCATGCTTCCATCAATAGTCACTAAAGTTGACATGATCGATCGAAATTTAATTCCTGTGATTTTAATAAATGTAATTGTCAAGCCGTAATGAATTGCAACTGATCGCAATAACTTCAATTACAAGCCGGTGCACTAAACTCTCTTAACTTGGTTTTAACGACATTGGAGCGTTTCCAAGTCAGCAACCTCTTTTACCCAACGTTTAATTCTGCAAGAAGAGGTCAGCATGATTGGTGCATGCCTTTGCCTCAATGCAGGATTCGTGGAATCTGCTTGAACCTGTATACATATGCATGTACATATGTACACATACATAACCTCCCCATGAGAGCCTACTAAGAAATACTGAGAAATACGAGAATCTGAAAGCGGCGTTATTCCTCATGAGACTGACTTTTGCTAGTGTTTCAAAGATGAAAATAAAATAAACGATTAAAAGGGTATTGGAGACTGCTCAAGGTCCATTTACACACGATCTTTCTCCGGTTTGTACAGAGTCGGACATAGATACATTCGCCTTTTAAATTGGCGGTACCATATCCCCATGGGAGGCATTCATGTTCGTCCCTGTAGAAATTGGAGCCGAATAGGACACGTGTAAATTGATCTTTATTTCTTGATACGTATGAATACATCGTTTGTTAAAACGATAAATTTGCATGCCATTAACCCTAGTAAATTAAATCAAGAGTTGTATTAACTTTATACCCGGGATTTGAACAACTCATTTATTTCTGGCTATACTAATTAAGGACTCGATGAACGTAATGTCAATGTTTCACATTCTTGTAAACATAAGGAAACACTTGAATTGCATTTTACATTACATCTTGTAAACATAAGGAAACACTTGAATTACAAAAACATTTGTTTATTTCGTTGTACGCGAGTTCGAGGCAAACCAATATTAAAAACCAAAACCATTTAAGATTAGTTATAATTCATTGCTCATTTTATGTACAATTTCCTGCATATCTTGCCACAATCATTACTTTAGAACAGAAATTTTACGTACAATATATGCCTATATGTAAAAGAGAAGTACATGTTTTATTCTATTGCACATGGAATTTCTTCCGTTTGAAATAATGAAATTGGAAGTAATAACATGGTTACGGTACAAGATATTTGTGCACTATCTTACTAAAATATACAAAAACTTTATACCGCCTGCAAATCTACGCAAATCATGATTTTGTTTACGTGTAGAATATTGAAACATAATTCAATCGCTTTTAGTAAGTAAACTATTAAATTTCTGTTGGTAACTGTCGATAACGAGAAATATTTCAATTATGAATACCTGTTACGACAGCAAATGAAATTTGTTTATTTCCATAAATTACCTTATTAAAATATCAGCACGAGTGTAGGAAGATTAATCAGAGAATAACTGGTTCAATGCATCTTAGATACTCTTCCATAGTTTTACGCTTCTGGAATATTTAATGCTGGTCATGTAAAAATATTTTTACATTTCTGAGTGCCCTATACAGATTCATTAAGTTAATTTATGGAAACATTATTGACTCGTCATTTTGTATAATTATACTAATTANTCAAAGCATACACTTTTTAGTTATGTAAATCCATAAATGTAAATTTCAAATTCACAGACAACAAAGTGGTGGTGGTGACTAGCACATCAAGTATTTTGTTTTGTTAAAAAAGTATTAAAGTTACATGATCTACTCTAGGATAATAGCTAATGCGTCGTACTTAAATACTATCCGAAGTCTATCCAGAGGTCTTGAGATACAACTTTGCAATGGATTTGTCAATCGGCCAGATATATCTTTATATCATCTAAAGTCTTGATTTTTGGATAACACATGCAGTATAAATGCATCTGTTACCCTTTTTAATGATGGTAGAAAAATCTCAAGTCATTTTCGGAATACTGAAAAAGAATAATGACGCAAGAGCATATCAATTTCTTAAGGGAAGGCATTTTTGTTTGCTTGCTTTCTTAACTCGTTAACCATCACATTCTATCATATCGGTATGGCGAAAAAAGAGTTAAGAGTAAAAACATTAATGCAATAACATTTTAAATTGGTTCCTACACTTCAATGGGAAGATCGTGAGCCAGAAGGTACTGAAAATCTGAACTCTACCATCAGAGCTGTGCAAAACACTATTTGAAATAAGAATAGGACACTTTTCATGGATCATATTTATATTTGGACAATATAAGGTAGATTTTAAAAATGTTCTGTCATGGAAAAATGAAATATTTAACTACAGTCAGTTCCTACCTTATATGGTGCTCTGAATCGACATTACTTACTTTTTGTTGGGGAAACAATAAATCACACGTCATATACTTTTTGACTGATTGATTTCCATATTTCATGTTCCTTTAGTTATTATTCTACTGTACCGTATTTTTGAGCAAAATTTTCCAAGGATTATTTAAATTTAGCTTTTTCAAATAATTATTGTGAATATATGAATTGTATATTTATAGATTCTGTTGTTATCTCCAAACATAAGAATCTTAAATATTAGCAAATTTTTATCTGATTATTGTATGTTAATTGATATTTGACACAGTTTTATTTCAAATACTGCCCAGCTCTGTTACTCTCAAATATCTTTAAAATGATATGGGGGGGGGGGCATTCAATCCATTCATTCGGCAGTACCTTCATTATTGTCAGAAAGAAAAACATAATTGCATAATATCAATACTTATGCGTCTTTTCCGTATTTATCAATTTCCATAACGTCTTGCAACTTTCATTAAAACCTCTGTCTTCGATTTCACATTTTCAATTCAAAAACCTATCTAATATAATCTACGATAAATAACACAAATACTTTTGTTCCCTCTCACGAAAGCTATTCATTGTAAATAAAAAAATGCTACGTTCGATTCCTCTTTGTTAACAGTAAAATTGCATTATCAAACAAATAAACCCCATTCAGGATTTAACTGCTAATTTTCTAATATATCAAAACAGCTTATAGGTCATTCGGTAGTGTATAATTGCGAATGGACTTATGTTTATCGCGACCTTACATGATCTTAGTAAAAAAGTGCAATTTCAAGTCCAAGAAAGAGCATTTCCATTTGCCGTTCCTTAAAACAGAATTTCCCCATTTAAACTTACTACTCGGAATGCAGTCTTAATACTTTGGCCTCCAACATGTATATATTGATTAATTCACATCATAATAAATTATTTTCTTGTACGTCCAGCAACTAATATAAAAACAACGATTTTTGTACGATTCAGTTCTTAATCGATATTCCCGTTTTAAAACGGAGTAACGCGTAAGGGTATGTACATCGCTAAATTATTATAATGTGAATTAAAGAACAGATTGTATTTTGTCAGAGCTTGAGCAGTAACTATGATTTGAGTAACGTAGGAAAAAACAAGATTTAAATCCCAATCGGAAACATAGTTATACTCTTACTTTGGAGAAATACTTTTAAAGAACTGCATTCAGTTTTATACTTTCCCGTAGATATCACACGAAAGTCCATTCTCCGTCCCAACGTTTATGGTCGTTGGATGAACGCCGCGTTAAGGCATCAAGTCCTAAATAATGAACAGCATCTCCGATTGATCTATTACAAATTTTGTTTCCAAATACATTTCAGAATTCAACCTATATCGTCGGCTGTTAGAAACCTGCTTTCAACCGTGAATCGATCTACAAAGTAATCTATTGCTACAATAAATACTTCATATAATAGTGTACATTATTTATAAAATCAACTGGAAAAATGCTCGTTGGATCCTGAAAATGTAGGCAGAGTAGGAAAAGAGCATATTCATATTATCAGATTTGGAGCCTTAACGCGTTAGAAATTAGTACCTAGGTTTAAACTAAGTTTTTTATAGAGCGTCGGTAGCTTCACCATTGGCAGCTATTTTATATTTTCTTTGAGGCTGATTGTACATCGTCTGCAATGGAACATGCAGTAACTCCACAATTTGAATAAAATTTGGCTCTGAAACAAAGTACAAGAACACGTGTTATATTTTTTAAAAATATGTAAAAGTAATTATTGGTACAACATTAACTGATGCTAACTTACCATTTTCTGCCGTTATGTAACCATGTCTAATAAAAAAGTCTAAAGCTACTGGAACAGATGTGGTCTTAAAATGTGAAGACAGCACTCTTTCTAGACATTCCTTCACAGGAAGTAATTCGAACGTTTCTACTTCACCATCACTATTGCTGGGCACAAACTCTGGCGGTAATTCAAGGTCATAAACGAATTCTGTGTTGGGGAACAAACCCTTTTCACTCTCAAAAAATAAAGATACACAGCCTGCACTTTTTAATTTTGCAAGAAGATTTTGGGGGATACTGGCTTCTTCTCCAGCTTCTTTAATTCCTGTTTCATGGATACCAAAACCCACACTCAATCCACCGCTCACCATATTATCCCAATATCCTGGCCATGTCTCTTTACTTGAGCTTCGTTTTTGTAACCAGATCGATAGACCTTTTACAGGATCCATTACATATCCATTTATATCCACTCCATATTTTCTTATTCCAAATAAACCTGATTAAAAAATAATTACCTTAGCAAATTTATAAATATTATACATTATAATTAGAATACAATGATGCAATTTTTCAACTTATTAAATAAGAAATATTACATGTACATTATTCTGAAACCGGTGTCTAATATTTCTTCTAACATTTTTATCACATGTTACAACTGAAACAGTTATTAGAAACGGCTGAAGAAAACTTCGTAAGTAAACTGTAAATATTGTAACAAATTAAACACTATTGTTGTGCGTAATACGAAATACATCACTAAAACTTATTTCATTCAGAATCAATATTACATGTTAATATAAATTTTACGTATTTAATAATTCTTTAATTAGTAACAGACAAACCATATAATAAATACTCATAAGGATAAATACTTCAATGGCCTATCAAGATATTGGAGAAGCGATGACATGTGTCATGGATAATTTTATCATTCGATTTAAAAAAGATTTATTACTTTTCATGAAACTAAGATTATTGCTTCAAAGCATACACTTTTTAGTTATGTAAATCCATAAATGTAAATTTCAAATTCACAGACAACAAAGTGGTGGTGGTGACTAGCACATCAAGTATTTTGTTTTNAATTCTTTTACATAAATTATTATTACTGACAATACAAACACAGAATTCAATCAAATTAGAAAGTCTAAATATGTAATAATCATGATAACTTACATGTTGCAGACCGATCCATTTTAAATAGAGGTGGTGTGTTAAATTGTGATCGAACATCGTAATATTCATCTCGCCAACCTAGTAGAGTGATAAATTTCCCTCCAGCTCGCCACTCCCTAAGTACTTCGTCAACCCTAGCACTTCTTTCAGCATAATGCCTAAAAGCTGGGTTCAGTTGAACATATTCTGGTTGGACTTGAAAAACCTATAAGTAAAATAATTTCTGAACTACCAAAACATGGCCAAAAATTCATAATATAGGTAGAATACCAGATTTAACATATAAGAATCATCTACCATACGGTAACACTGAAATAAACATATGTATTATGTACAGTCATTAAGATAATGGATAAGATGGCTTACCTGTGGATAATTTAACAGTTCTTTCAGAACATCTGGTCTTATAAGACCAATTTGTTGTCCATCGACTACGAATGCTCTGTAATCTCCAGAATGAAAACCTGAAAATGAAAGTTTATTGTAGTTAACGATTTAAACTACTGTATATGTATAAATGAACTAAATTGAACATCCAGAATATGAATAAAAAAAATTATACCTGCTGTGAACAAATCGATGTATATTGCGGCATAAACGCGAATTACTAGCTGTGTATTAGAATAGCGAGAAGACTATTAAATGAGTAATGTCTAATGACCTCACTTAATAAGTTATCAATTATTAATGACATTTTTGTTGATTGCCTGTTTATTGAGTGATTTGTACTTTAAAAGATTTTAAGACTTGCTTTTTAACTTCAAATGAAATCGAAACAAAATCATGCAAAAGTCACGAGACTTCTATACAATTAGGTTTGGGTTTCCTTTTGTCTCTTTGGTCATCAGTCGTGTCATGTATCTGAACGTTATTCTAGGAATATAACATTTAATAAGCTCAATCTCAACAACGCCGTCATTTTGTAATCTTTTAGAAGGCATTCTATATTTATACTCGTTATTACTTATTTGCTTTTGATAACCAGTATTATTGCAATAGAATGTTCAATAACAGATAACAGAAGGGACTTGAAACTCGTTTTAGTTGTTCATGGATGGTAATAGAACAGTATATATAATAATAAAGGTGGCTCAATTGAATACAACCATATTGATTATTAAATAAATCTACATGATAATAATTTATTCTAAACACTGAACACGATATACAAACGAAAATTAAAACATCTAAGCCTAGTTATAATAATATATACATATGTAGCATTAAAGAAAACTTCATTATTTGTCAATAAAATCAACTTCCTTGATCGCAAGAAAACAGGTACAAATTATAAAAGGAACATCGAATGTTATTTTAGGATTTTGGCCAATCGCCTGGTATGCTTCAACATTACGAACACACCGGACATAATGAATACTACTTCTACTGCCAGAGGAAGAAGCCTTGATAAGCCTGGTTATTCCACTAAATGATAAAAGATAATACAATTGTTTATCATTGTGTACAAGTACACATGTCAACGTCAGGATAACCTCGCAAAAGAAGCGCTAAACTTGAATGGTGTCTGTTTTGAGCGTAACAGAATAGGCGGTGAAATAAGCTCCAAAAACATGGAATATAAATTGCTCCGAATTTGCAAACGAAACCGTTTATGCGCATAAGTGGAAAAATGCGTAATCGACGGCACTCTAAGATTCATGTATCACTTATTAGGCATTCTTTCAAGAAGAAATCTTTTTTATTTCTGTTTGGAAAAGCGAAGCGACACGAACAACAGTCGAAATCAATATTCCGGTAGACAGAAGGGAACACGCAGATTTTTATCGATGACGGTACATGGAATGGCTCGAAGCCATCGGAAAAAGGAATTATTAGCTTACCCTAACGAGTTTCATTACCTGACAGATAAAAGCAATTGCATTTTCGAGCGAGTTTCAGTAACCGTGACATCGGTTCCGTATCTTTGGACGCCATGATGTTTCGTAGCCGTCAGACAATTACAAGAAAAATTGTTGACCTAATCACGGCATTGATGCGCAAGGTTCGTCCGTTTAGAGTTGCAGCGCAACAGTACTGCGCATTATCTTCTGCATTCAACGTTTTGCAAATAGGGCGTTTATTACGTATTTCTGACGAGAGCGCTCACTTATTGCACTTTCATCTCACGTGGGTTTATTCGCCGAATTACGAATTCGCTATATAGCTATATAAAAGAAAGAGATCACTAGCTCATCTCTGCTAGCACCAGCTAGCACTTTCGGTCTAGTAATATTGCAAATAAAGGTACATACCTTGTAAATCAAAAATTGTTGAGAGGTATTGGGTTATAGATAGGAAAGGCGGGAAGATGGAAAGCCGTTAAAAGTAAAGAAGAGGACTCGAGTCTATCTATATTTCTTAAATATGTGTTACATTCATATTTACATGTACTATAATTAGAAGTTCAACAATATAATTTTCTTATCATGTCATGTAAGCACGAATTATTTAACAGTTTTCAATGTTTAATAATGTAATATAACCTCGCAATAACAAAAACTAACCTGTACATCCTAGTAAATTCTCTTTCTTCTAACGAAAATGGGTCTGAGGCATTATATAATTCCCTTTTTATTTTAATAAGGTTATTATTACGTCTCCGAATACGATTATTGCCAAAAATCAAAACACCCAAGAGGTTTTCCGTTTTGAATTTCGGTGTCACAATCCGTGGAAGATGGCGTTCACGGCGTTTATTTTTCTATCTTTTCTTGTATGCTTCACCATTTCGTTTAAAAATTTATGTCGAGCCAATTCATATGAATGGTCTCGCATTTTCACCACTAAAAACGTTCCGCAATACCGCGAGCTACTCATTTTTCACATTTTCGCTCAATTTGCTTTGCGTAATAGACGCCCAGGTTTGTTCGTCTGCTTAGGATCACTCGTACGAAATTATTATAACCAGTTATAACCCTGCCACGATGCGCAGAAAAGGAGATACTAACACAAGACGTATAAATATACACTGGTAATCTATATTTGTTTAAAAACATGTTAGAATAACCACCACCCTTATTGAGCGAAATGGTGGAATTGGATCTTGGGTTCATTTCCAAAATGATTTCATAAATTCTGATATGTTGATCGCACGCATTAAGGCTATTGTGGAACATAAAGGAATATGAAATAATAAATAAGAATTGGATAATAAAATATAAAATTCAACTAATGGGAGTATGCACGATGTTATTTCATGCCTAGTTCAGAGGAAATTTCGAACGATCGATCTGCAAATGGCTTGAAATATATTAATTTTATTTAATTCTGGTGTTACATTTCACCTTATGTGTTAAATTAAAACAGTTTTTATGCATCTACGTTAAAATGTATGTTCGATTCACTGATGTTAGATGATAATGCAGAAAGTGAATTTAGTTACTAAATATCCGTATGGGTGCAGCACAAAACTGTGATCTCGCAGATTTGTCCGAGACAAATCTCTATGGTTCTCTAGTTTAATGTTACAGTTCCACAAGTTAAAAGCCAAGATGGCAAGTACCGGAACTCAGTTTATGATATTTCTTGGGAAAAATGTATTGTCTCGTAATTCACATACGGTTTTACGTTACCCGCGATATAATTTGACCACCAAATATCGAGAATATAATATTAGTACTTCTGAGTCACGTAAGTATTATAATGTTTTATATTTATAGGTTATATATCAGTATAATTAATGTTTTTACTCTGAAGAGTTTGAATTTGATTTAGAATAAATATTTGTTATAGATACTGAAGCTGATCCTGCCCCTTTATTTTTTAATGAAAAGGTGCAAATACTTCTTAAAGAGTTGACAGGAATAAACCATGAGAAGGTTTATCGAAATCGAAAACTAGGTGATAGACTGACAACTCCTAATGTTAAATTTATGACAAATGATGAGCTAGCAGAAGCACGTGCTTATGCTGAAAGTAGAGGAGCCCGTTCGTTACAGATGCCTCCTGTCGTAAAACAAAGAAAAGAAATTAATAAGATTCTTTGTAAAGATGTGGCATTGCAAGGACATGATACAGCAAAGTATGTTTTTACAGATATTACATTTGGAATAAAAAATTCTGATAGACTAATTGTGATCAGAGAAACTGACGGTACCTTAAGATATGCAAAATGGGATGAACGAAGTCGGGTTAATCAAGTGTACTTTCCTATAAAAGGAAAAGAATTTAGAATGCCAAAAATGTTTCAACAGGAACACTTGGAGGTATTATATGCTAATTACCCTAAGCTAAAGGAAAATTGATTATGACTTATTTATCTTACTTTATTTTAGCCTGTTTTACTTCGTAAGGATTATGAGTTTATCCTTGATCGAGCTTGCATGCAGCTTGACCCAGATGACCCTGAATACCATAAGATCACTACTATAGTTTACGATCGTATAAGCAATGAAAAGGACTATGACCTTTTAAGGTCCACAAGACATTATGGACCCTTGATCTTTTATCTAGTCTGGAACAAAAAAATCTCTGAATTACTTCTTGAAAATATAACTACAGAGAGAATACAGGATGCAGTTAAGTTAATTCAGTTATATCATGTAATTCATCCCAATGAGGAAACTGCTAAATTAAAATATGCTGGTAATGATTTAAAATATTTGGAAGAATACACAAAGTTGGTGTCATCGAATCAAGGAAAACTTGTTGCAGCTATTAATACATTTAAAGAAGTTCAAAACCAAAGACAAAAAATTCTTCAGGAAGTAAGAAAAAATCAGGTTGAAAATAAAGTGTAGATGTATTTACGAAAATAAATGGTTCCTATAAAAAGAAACACTGTTCAAGTCATTCAAGTTAAAAGGAATGATACCTCTGGTTGTCAGTCGTGTATTAACATATATAATTTGTTTCTATTCATTGTGGTTTTACTTTATCATTTTTTAATTTGTTTAATTCTTTGTTTTTAACTATTTTATATATTTATAAGTGGACGAGGGTTTTTAAGTTTTTATTCGTTATTGTAAAGTATGTGTTACATAATTAACATTTTTTAACGTATATAAATTTAGTGAGAATATGCAATATTCTTTTTCAGATGTTTCATTTTTAAGATATATTTTACTACCAATTAATATATTTACTTTCAGATCCATTTAAAGTCATCTGTAATTTTGTACATTTATGTATAATGATAGATATGAATGCTTTCTTATCATACATTGTCACAACTCAATGATTCTATACCACAGAGGACTGCTCGATTCGCGTATTTTCTCCACAAGGAGTGGTGGTCCCTTGACGTCACCGCGGACCCGTCTCAATCTTAGACCACATACAGGGTGTAACAGAACTGGTAGTCATGGTTTATACAGCGCTATCCTTGTTAAAAAAAAGTAGTCTAAAAGTCCTGTACTATTTTTCCCTACAGTGCACAAATTTTCTGTAATAACTAAGTCAAGCAGAGCTAATCAATTGCATTCCCGAACGGAAGGCACAGCGGAGAGGACGCCGGTAACTGAATTCTTTGCCGGTAGGACTGCGTTCGGCTGCCTGCGGCGTAGCAGCCTTACCGCCGTGATTGATTGGCTGTGCTTGACTTATTGTTAGGTATTACAGGAAATTTGAGCACTGTAGGAAAAATAATACAGGACTTTTCGACTCCTTTGTCAAGAAGGATAGCGCTGTATAAACCGTGACTACGAGTTCTGTTACACCCTGTATACGTAGCAGCGGCGAAACGGCAACGGCGAAATGTCTTGCTTCGTGTGCTGTACCTGCATAGAGGTCTTGATGTACGAAATTTAAGCTATAGGATGAATGTTAAAAAAACATATGCAGAAACTTGTTTTTCACTGAGAAATTTATTCATTTTGAATGAATATTAATTTGGTGCATTTTTTTCTGAACTCTTTTTGTAGTTTTTTCGTATTCACGAAACAGGGCAGCCACAACATATGCTACAGTGTTATATACTTGCGCAGTAAGAACTTTCTGTAACGTTTAGAAAGAGAAAGAGACTTAATACTAATTAGACTAATTATTGCTGAATTATAATAGGAAAGGATTCCATTTCGAATTTTTTACGAGAGAATAATTATATTGAAATAACTGAGTAATGGTGAAAAATGTAATAAACAATGAATTGAATAGTTTATTACCATTCTACTACAATTAAGTAGTCTATTGACTACCTTTCGCACTTTTTAGCTCATTGTTATATACTGTCTAAATCTGGTGCACTTGTATATGTGTGCTTTTTCTTATGTTGAATTCTATATCTGTATCTATTTGCATAATAAATTCATTCACTAAGCTGTAAATGGTTTTAAAAAATGCGAAAAACGTTTAATTTAATACTTTATTGTCTTCCGCATTTGAAATAATTAATTAAGTATTCTATTGTAGCAAATTGTAAATGGAATACTTTTCTAGATAGACAACGGTTGACAGTAATCGCACCGTGATTGCGTTATATTTTCTTATAACTGACTTCCGTTTATCTTATATCGTTGCAATTTTATAACCTTTATGAAAGGTGTTAACAATTGAAAATGAAAAAAAAAAACTTTAATAAAAAACCGACTTAAAAAATTCACTAGAAAGTAAAATAATGATCTACAGACTACTTGTCTACTAATTACTGTAGATTTCTAAGTATTTTTTGCTTGGAAAATTTGAAGTCGGCTCAAAAAGAAAAAAGAAATAAAAGGTAACGGAATATAAAATTGAAGACACCGATACACTTTGTTTCTTTCTTGTGCCGGCTACAACTTTCCAAGCGAAAAAATACTTAGAGGTCTACAGTAGTTTGTACATTTTTTACTTTATAGTGTCTTTTTGAAGTCGGTTTTTTCATTAAAAAGTTTTTATTGCCGGTTATTCACATCCTATTTTCAACACCAATGCCACATGTTTCGGATGACGATGTTCTACAATGTGCTAATTTACATTATTTTTATATTGAGCGCGCTCAATTTACATAATAATCGCTAAGCATTTCTCTACTCTTTTGAAAGCAATATCAAAGATATCTTCATTCTGGTAAATCAAAGAAGCGAAATTACTATTTAGGAATATCACGGGTCTTCACGTGGTATTTTTAAAAGAAAGTGTCGTATTGTAAATTACGAGTTTCGATTTTTTTGGGGAATAAAGACGACTTTGATTTTTCTAGTAATTTTTATAATATAGAATAAGTCTCTAGGAAGGAAAGGTAGGGGAACCAGAGGCGGCAAGCCGAGTCCACGTTGGACGAAACGAGCGACAGCTGGAGGTGAAATTTGCGGAGATTTAAGCGCATGTGTTCGAACCGCGGTCGTGGTCTCAACTAATCGCGGCTAATCGACTCAGGCGCCATTAACCGAGATCGCGTGATTGCACGCATTGTTTGGTAGTGCGGAAAAGCAAACGCGTCCGACGCGAGTGATACGTCGTATTTCCACTCGTACGATTATGGCAGATAGACGGGTTAATCGAGAAGTGCTAACGATACTGTTCCTGTGTATATTATGGTATTTGACATCGAGCAGCAGCAACGTGGTCGGGAAGATGTTGCTGTCCGACTTCCCGTACCCGATGACAGTTACGATGGTTCAACTAACCTCTATCACCGTTTATTCGGGACCATTTTTCGACCTCTGGGGCGTTCGCAAGGCTACGTCCGAAATAACCTGGGGCTATTACTATCGGTTGATAGTGCCGTTGGCCATTGGCAAATTTATGTCCAACGTATTTAGCCACGTCAGCATATGGAAGGTCCCTGTCTCGTATGCACATACCGGTATGCGATTCATAATCGGCAGTATTTTAACGATAACACGTTGAGTCTTCGATTTAGGTTTCTCGAGTTCTTCTTTGAGTTTCTCCCGAAACTCGTATCAGCTTTATTTAAGGCTTAGTTATACGGATTCTACTTGTTAGGTCCTTGAGAAGTCTGCGCGTTAACTAAGGTTTGGCTCTGTCCCAGTGAAGGCTACGATGCCTCTTTTCACGGTCATCCTTTCGAGAGTGATCTTGAAGGAGAAGCAGACCTACAGAGTCTACATGAGCTTGGTACCCATCATCGGTGGAGTCGCCATTGCTACCCTGACTGAACTTAGCTTTAATATGACGGGACTCCTCAGCGCTCTGGTGTCGACTATGGGATTTTCCTTGCAACATATTTATTCTAAGAAGGTATCGAATATCGTATCCATAATTATAATGTGTAAACCTTTGTACTCACTTCTTGTATCGTTGCAGGTACTTCACGAAACTGGTGTTCATCACTTAAGGCTTCTGTTCATCCTTGGACGTTTGGCCCTAATTATGTTTTTGCCTATTTGGTTGATTTATGACGCGCGAAGTTTATTACATGATCCGGTTCTTAATGGTCCAACGGGATTAAATCACAAAGTCGTGGCATTGCTGGTTCTAGATGGCGTACTCAATTGGATTCAGAACATAGTAGCCTTTTCCGTTTTATCTATTGTAACGCCACTTACTTATGCCGTAGCAAATGCAAGTAAGCGAATATTTGTTATTGCGGTAACTTTGTTCATATTAGGTAATCCAGTGACTGGATTGAATGTTTTTGGAATGACAATGGCCATTATGGGTGTATTGTTTTATAATAAGGCTAAATATGATCAACGACAAGTCAAGCTGCAAGAACCTCTTCTTCCATCGAATGCGTTGCATATCCAAAATGGTGGTAGTTCCTATAAAGTGAATGGTTGGACTAACAGTAAAAAGGCACAATGGTATGCTGTCTAGTCTCAAATTTGTTGTAAATTACTTTCAAGGAAGAACCAGTACGAGTTTCATTCACGAAACTTGTTATTAGGATCAAGAAACGCTATGTGCCTTTGGAAAAGGTAAAGGCGTTCAATTTCTTTTGATTGATAAGACTCATATTGGGAACGAAATGTTTTTTTGATAATCGGTTTGGCACAAAGATACGGTGGCGAGTATCATACATTGTGGTGAACAAACTGCGATGACGAGTGATTTCTGTTTAAGTATCAATGTTATTACAATGGCTTAAGTAAGACCTATCGAAGACTGGACACCTCTAACACGCAATAGGATCCTGTACGGTGCTACTTTAACATCAGAGTGTAATTATAGGTCGTCTAGTATCCAGTGACAATTATTTAAAAAATGTGAAATCTCATTTAAGGTATTGACTTAATGTTTACCGATCTGGAAACTGAAATGTTACCGACATTCGCAGTCGGATAAGTTTCAATCCTGAAACGTGTTAGCATTATCCTATATACAATTTGTGGTTATGACAAAACCTGCTGGTAAGGTGTCATTTATGATTACGAAATTATTCTTGAAGTATTCGACAATTGCTGATTGCTGGATCGATCGGAGCTAGTCGAACGTGTTCGTAAGATGAGCACTATCTTGCGTTTATGTTCTTCAGAAAATACGTTGACAGAAAGCAGTATTCTGCCCCTATTTCATAGCTATTCTCCATCCTGCAACACGTTCTGTAAACATCTATTGCAAAATTTTCTGTATCGCAATAATTGTCGCATAAAAGTCATTGTTTCTCTTATGCAGAGGGGGAATGCGTAAGTAATTATTACGGGAAATGAAGTAATTAAATTTACATGTTACGATTAAGGCACATTTTACTAGAAAGTAAAGAATACTCCACTTTGTACAGACGTGTGTGTGTGCGTGTGTGAGGGAGTGCTTAAGTATTGTATGTGTGCCGCGCGTGGAGTGTGGCGTTCCATAACTGAAGCAATCTATAATACATTTATTTTTATAAATAAACGCATGCGTACAAAAATATAATAGCAGCATAGGGATTGTTCGAATGTACCGGCCGGCATAAATAAATAACGTATGTATGCGACTTTAGAGAGTTTTCGTTATGTTCTGAGGCGAGAGTGGTCTTACTATGGTCAGGTCCAATCGGGGACCTGCTGCCGCTATAAGTGGTACCGCCAAGCAGCAGTCGCAGTCCTCTGTACTGGCCTCGTTTACTCTGAGAATTCTGTCATAAGGCCGTAATACTCCGTCACAGGGTCCACCAGGCCTCAGACGATTGATGTACACTCCTCGTTCGTACAAACCATCGGACACGGAAAAACCGAAGTCTTCGTAAACTGGATCCTTGTGCAAGGAGACGTGCACAATTTGTTGGGATCTATCGGATCCGCTACGCCCGGGGGAACTAAAAAGTAGAAATTATACCTCCGTAAATATCGACTTTAGAAACCGCTAATCAAATCTTGTATGTACTCATAAAACAAAAAGATATTTTCACAAAGCTTCCACCTCTGGAAAATACGTTGGATAGCAATATCTGTTAAGGTGAAGTGAAACACGTCGAGGAACTTGATCGACGTCGATAGAGAAGATTTTTCTAAATGCCTACGTTGCCGACGTTTGTTTTTATTTTGGCAGTTGTGTCGAATTATATTGGATATTGTACCAAATGGCATATTCCACCTGTCGTTTTTGTACAATAAATATCAAGAAATCGAAGTAAAACTCCAGAAATCCTCTGAATTCATGCTTTCTGGGGCCCTAATTGACTGCAGAGGGACACCCTGGGCCATCTCTGATTTCCAGGTCAATTAAATCTTCACGCCAAGACCTCGTATTCCCATCGTTTTAGCATAGAAGCCCATACAACACTTTTTTTTATCTTTATCTCGTTCAAATGCGAGTTTATCGATTACCAGAATGTTCTAACTTGTTGTAAAATTGTCCTGACCCTTTCGTTTCTCATATCAGAGCCTTCGATAATTGTATATCGATGGAAATATGAGAGCTCGACGCCATTTTGGTTCTGGTGTGGGCTAAGTTAAAAAATGTTGTCAAAAAATCCACATTTTTAATGTGTCAGGACAATTCTTAGATGATCAGGAGTGATGTGTCAAAGTTTCGGACAGTTTGGTCTAATACCCTTAAAAAAAAGTGTTGTATTCGAATCGACTGATTTGAAGGGGGTTTCACTTCACCTTAAGAACAGGTTTTTCTGAGGATATTGCTGTTGGGTTCCAGCTTGTAACAATTAGAAATGTAACGATACATACCATGGATACGTAGGTATAGGTAATTCGGGCTGGCCGCTGTCAACAGAGGCCGTATCCCAGAGCCTTAGGATTTCGGGACCGGTTCCATTGCCTTCGCCCATGTCTCCCCAGGAGTCTACGGCGCTGTCGACACTCGGAAGACTCTCCCTAGCTGAACGCAGAATGCCGGCAGGGTACTGTGGCTGTATGGTGTCGCTTCCTATGCTGGGTTCTCTACAAGAATATTCGTCTTTTAGACGGAAAGTATCTTCTATTGTAACGGTAAACGTAACTTTATTTTTAACGTTACAGCCATAGATTAAAACGATTTAATTTAGTATCTAGATTCACCTTGTATCCGAAGAGGTGTCCGGTTTCCTTACTGTCAATGCAACCACCGAACTTCCAGGTCTGTGCAACAATTGTGCAGCCTGCCTGAGATCGCCCGGATCCAGTTTCTGTCCATCGATGGCCAAAAGTCTGTCTCCAGGAGCCAAACTCCCCGTCCGGTACGACAAGGAACCGCGTCGCACTTCGGAGATCACCAACTCTTCGTTCACCGTTAATCCCAAATCTGGCTGACCTCCAAGAGGCCGCGCAACTCGCACCGTGAATACCCCCGAACTGGGCACAACTGGACCGCCCACTTTGTATTCCGTCACTAATTCTACCTGCTGTGGAAAAGCAATGCTTATTATTCTATTCCTAGGAGTAACTCAAGTAGTACGAACTACTTAGTCATTGAAAAGTAAAGCAGTAACTAAAGTAATAACATCCGTTGTGCACGAAAAGATAATATCGAGAAATCTCATTCATGTCCATTCTTCGTCAAAGCTGACGCAGGACATAAAAAGTGGGGCCGTTTCCGAATTAGTTCAGGTGCAAAAACAAAATTGCCGCCCTTATTAATTTAATATTATTTAATTAAGAATTTCATATGCAGCATTTACCTTTATATCCATACCCACTGAATAGCAAACCTAACAGTTACGTAACATAGAGCTTACTAGTTACATGACATTTGTTACAATTCAGTAACTTAACAGTTATGTAACATGGAGCTAACAGGTTACATAATATTTGTTACTATCATATCCATATAAATGTAGCATAACTTTGTTACTCTCATCTTACATTATGTTACTGTCCTGATATTACTGTGTATATGCAGCACATATTTGTAACAAAACAGAACTACATTGGTGCTGTCATTTCTTTTATTACATCATCGTCGTCGTCATTATCATAATTCATCGTCAAATGTCATAAGATTAATATATGTCATATTTTGTTTACTACTCGTATGAAAAAATGTGACTTTAATTCACACGCGCATATACATTATCAGTCATTGTTTGCTAGTCGAATGAAATCCTAATTGTCTTTAAGTAAAATTAGATATTTTATCGTTACATAATTTCGTTGAAAGTCTGATTTGTCATTTCATATCTAACTATTGTCAAGTACCAAAAAATAATTAAAAATAAAAAATTATATAATTTTGGATAAAATTGCATGATCTTTTTTATTAAATGTATGAAAAATTAATATTATTTTAAATTAATTGAAATTCTAACATTAATATAACATGTTGCATAACATTTTACCTTACTGAGTGGGAAATAATAACTAACATCTAACTTCCATGTTACTTTTATGCTACATAACATGTTAGTTTCGAAAACGTAACATTTACCCAACAGTTATATAACAGTGTTCACTGGGAACTAAAGTAATAACATCCGTTGTGCACGAAAAGATAATATCGAGAAATCTCATTGATGTCCATTCTTCATCAAAGCTGACGCAGGACATAAAAAGTTAGGCCGTTTCCGAATTAGTTCAGGTGCAAAAACAAAATTTCCGCCCTTATTAATTTAATATTATTTAATTAAGAATTTCATATGCAGCGTTTACCTTTATATCAATACATATAAAGATAGCTTATTCTTCTACATGAGTAGGGTTAGAACGATCACTTATAAGATGAATCTGATTGAATTTTGTTCATCCGTAAGGTTATTTATCGCCAAAAGGTTTCGATTATTATTCTTATTAACCAAAATTTGACATATAATTAACGGTTTGCGGCCGCCCTTCGGTTTGACCGTCTATATGCGGGGGCACTTTTTGCACCCTTACCAGAAACAGTCCTGGTTAGATGGACGATGAATTTTTAATAGACATCTCAAAGGTATTCGATATTGAATAATAATCTTAGGCATTTCAATACCTGGGAGGAGTCCAAAATCGCGGCAACCTCCGCAGGCTGCAGGTCGCGAAGTATTCTCCGGTTGACGGCAATCACCTTGTCGCCGGGAAGCAGAACGCCGCTTCTCTCGGCGGGACCGCCGGCCTCCAGCAAATCCACGACGTAGTTCATCCGGTCCTCCGACGGTCTCAAAGCTAGGCCTAACCCTCTGTGATCGGGCCTCAGGATGACGGTGAGGCTCTCCTTCGTGTACAACGTTTGGTTGGAATTCTGTTGAGCCTGCGGTTGAGCCCTTCTTTTGACCGTTCTCGTGGATGCGCTCGGGGGTCTCGGCAAGATCTGCAGCTTTGCTATCCGGCAGTTCTCCGAAGTGTTCCTGAGCAATTTTGCGGCTCCTATGGCGTCCTGGACCGCCGTGTCGTCCACTGCCAGGAGTCGGTCACCTGGTTGCAAGGCCCCGCAACGATCCGCGGTACTTGCGGGACGAAGACTTTCGATGTAAACTCCGCTCGGGGTTTCTCGCACCGTCAATCCGAGTTCTCCTGTAGATGTTAACGCGTTAATAAGTATATACATCGATTCATGCATCCGGATAGACTAAGCGATGCAAAATTTCCGTTAAGTTTGCCTCATAAAAAATCATGAAATGAGTCTTGAAGGTGTTGCTTGTACTCACTGAACACCAAACCTAATAGTTATGTAAATTAAAACTAACAAATAACATTACGTTTGTTACAATGTACTAACCTAACAGTTACGTAACATAGAGATAACTAGTTACATGACATTTGTTAGAATTCAGTGGCTTAACAGTTATGTAACATGGAATTAACAGGTTACATAACATTTGTTACTATCATATCCATACAAATGTAGCATAACTTTGTTACTCTTATCTTACATTGTGTTACTGTCCTGATATTACTGTGTATATACAGCACATATTTGTAACAAAAGAGAACTACATTGGTGCTAACTGTCATCCATTTTACTGCATCATCGTTATCGCCATTGTCATAATTTATCGTCAAATGTCATAAGATTATTATATGTCATATGTTGTTTACTACTCGTATGAAGAAATGTGATTTTAATTCGTGCTCGCATACGCATTATCAGTAATTGTTTGCTAGACGAATTAAATCATAGTGTTTACATAAAATCAGATAGTTTATCATTCACATAATTTCATTTAAAGTCTGATTTAATATATAATACCTAACTATTGCGAAGTGCCACAAAATAATACAAAATAAAAAATTGCATATTTTTTTATAATATTGCATTATTTTTTATTAAATGTTTGAAAAATTAATATTATTTTAAGGTAACTGAACTTATAACATTAATACATGTTACATAACATGTTACTTTATTGAGTGGGAAATAATCACAAACATCTAACTTACTTGTTATTGTTATGCTACATAACATGTTAGCTTCGAAAACGTAACATTTACCTAACAGTTACATAACAGTGTTCAGTGGGTAATCGAGGTGACATTACAAGAGAATGAAAAGGTACAGGAAATATTTCTTTATATGGTATTTTATTAGACGTTTTACAGAGAATTTAACCATTTACGGACGATCAATGTTTACATACATTCGGTTTAAGGTTCCACTGATGCCACGTTCGCCATATTGAATTTTGACGTCAGTGGTGAGGAAATCGTATAAAATTCCCAATCGATATTCTATGAAGCATGTCAAATTTGCTAACAAGAACAACGATACAAAGAAAATAGGTATTCACGAAATGAGTCAGCCGGTGAATTTATGACCGATGCACTATGAAACAGGATATCACTCTCCGGAAATTGACCCGTCGACGAGGTTAGGATTCTGAGGTGACCGTTTTACGATGAACACGATTTCAATGCAAATACGTACCTACAGAACACTGTTATATAACTGTTAGGTAAATGTTACATTTTCGAGGCTAACGTATTATGTAGCATAAAAGTAACATGGAAGTTAGATGTTTGTTATTATTTCCCACTCGGTAAGGTAACATGTTATGTACCATGTTATATTAATGTTATAATTTCAGTTACCTTAAAATAATGTTAATTTTTCATACATTTAATAAAAAAAAATCACGCAATTTTATNTCGACTAGCAAACAATGACTGATAATGTATATGCGCGTATGAATTAAAGTCACATTTTTTCATACGAGTAGTAAACAAAATATAACATATAATAATCTTATGACATTTGACGATGAATTATGACATCCCTTTCTTTACGGATGTTGTGCTGCCAATATACGATCGAATAGCATTTATGTCCCTCGGTGTACTCCGTGAAAAAGAATCAGAGATTTCCAGCCCTCATGAATCCGCCATTTTGAAACATGTTCAAACTTTCTTTATGTTAATGTTTCCGTAAAGCATTAAATAAGACAGCCCTGTAGGGAAATATCTCCTCTATTTTTCATTCTGTAAACTTACTTTGATTGAAATGTATTTCATAATCTACTCATCCCTTAATTGACTAATCTTTGAACTGGGCGTAAAAAGTAGTTTCTAGAAAAATTGAAACTCACGTGTCGGATAGATCTTTCCTGGCTATTCCCAACAATGTATGATCAAATGTAATTAAGACTAATTACAAACAATACTCCATTTTCTTAAGCTCAGCTGCACTAAGTTTGTTTGACTGATTATCGTTACATTTTCTATTGATAAACGTGTTGGAACGAAAAGTTAATTTACTTCAAAGAGCGAATGACTTTGAAAGAATGAATAATATTCTCGTAATAACCTAAAACTTAATAAAATTACCGGTGTATCTGACGCTTTTTCTCAAACCTCTGTTAGTTACCATTGAGTACTGTTTTGCAACGACTTCAAATAATATTTATTCGCCGTTAATTATTTTTTGTATCAAATATTAAATTGTTTGAATTCAATAAAATATTCTATCCAAAATGTAACAGAATTTCCATTAATATTTTCAATACTTGAGAGCAATTTTATACATGAAATTCTTTTCGAAAAATCGTTTCTACTTAATAGCTTGCCATTGTTTAGACTGCAACACCGATGATTTTTAGAAAATCAGTTTTACTGGAGTCATGAAATTTCTTGAGCAAAAAGCAATTGAGATTACCACACGTAACTAATTTCGCCTACACGCAAAAAATATTTGGGTGAATTAATGAAATTTTTCTGAATTAAACCATGCAATATGGTTATTATACGGACAACCGAATTAAATGTGGTAGGTTACCCCAAACATTAAAGTAATTTGGTACATTTAACTAAAATATTAAGTTCATTGACTTAAAAATGGGCTAAAATAGACAAAACGATTTAATCAAAACACTTTCGTTAACCGAAGCAAACTAATTTGCTCGTGTGAATTAAAATTCGGTTACCTCAATATATCAAAACGTCAAAATATTTATAAAACTTTTCTCCAAACTGGGTGCATCGAATAATTTGAAACTTTAGCACTTGTCATGAAAGCTTTAAGGAAGAAGGCGATGCCCATGAAATTTAATTTAAAAAAAAAAAAAGAATTTTCATTCGTCCTAGACTAGAACCAAGGACACATACTTTTTGGGAAAATGAAATTTCACGCACATCGCATATCGTTCTTCCTTAGGGCCTCAAAAATCACGTGCTGAACTTTCAAATGATTCGGTGACCCGTTTGCAGAAAAGTTCTATCAATATTTATATTTTTTTATATATATTGAATGACCCTTTCATATCACCTTAAGGTGACGTGAAAGTGGCGTCGAAGAGGTTTTGTTTATAAAACATTTCTCCTAATTCGGTTTACCAAATAGTTTGAAACTTTACAACGTGAATAGGTAGACTATAATGAAGGTCCTGAAACTCATGAAATTTCAATTCTTTTCAAATTTGATTATAGATATTTTAAAAATAGTTTATAAAAAATGAAACTTCACGAGTTTCAGGACCTACCTTAGGGTCTTCACATTCACGTTTTAAAGTATGAAACGATTTGAGACACCCAGTTCGTAGAAAAGTTTTATGAACAATTGAGCTCTCGGATGTCGTTTTCACATCCCCTTAAGGGGCTGTGAAAGTAGCATTTGAGGGATCGTTCATGGAACTTTTCGCTGAACTGGGTGTACCGAAACGTTTCAAATTTTACAACGCGAATATGGAGTCCATAAAAAAGAACCTGACGCCCATGAAATTTCATTTCTACTACAAAATCTAAAAAATACCTATAAACAAATCTAAAAAAAAAATTCAAATTTCATGAATATCAAGACCTTCTTTATAGTCTTCATATTCACGTTGCAAAGTTTAACACAATTCGACCAATCCAATTCGGCGAAGAATTTGATAAACAAAACCTCTTGGATGCCATTTTCACGTCACCTTAAATGAATGAATTTTTTTTTTTCTTCTTCGATCTTGTAGAAAGGAAATTTTTCCTTCGGCTTAAGATGAAGTGAAACACGTCGAGGAACTTGATCAACGTCGATAAAGAAGATTTTTCTAAATGCCTACGTTGCCAACGTTCGTTTTTATATTGACAGCTGTATCGAATTATATTGGATATTGTACCAAATGGCATACCCCACCTGTCGTTTTTGTACAATAAACATCACGAAATCGAAGTAAAACTCCAGAAATCCTCTGAATTCATGCTTTCTGGGGCCCTAATTGGCTGCAGAGGGACACCCTGCGCCATCTGTGATTTCCAGGTCAATTCAATTTTCACGCCAAGACCTCGTATTCCCATCGTTTTAGCATAGAAGCCCATACAACACTTTTTTTACCTTTATCTCGTTTAAATGCGAGTTTATCGATTACCAGAGTGTTCTAAATTGTCGTAAAATTGTCCTGACCCTTTCGTTTTTCATATCAGAGCCTTCGATAATTGTACATGGATCGAAATATGCTCGATGCCATTTTGGTTCTGGTGTGGGCTAAGTTAAAAAATGTTGTCCAAAAATTCAAATTATTACCTTTATCTCGTTCAAATGCGAGTTTATCGATTACCAGAGTGTTCTAAATTGTCGTAAAGTTGTCCTGACCCTTTCGTTTTTCATATCAGAGCCTTCGATAATTGTACATGGATCGAAATATGCTCGATGCCATTTTGGTTCTGGTGTGGGCTAAGTTAAAAAGATGTTGTCCAAAAATCCAAATTTTCAATGTGTCAGGACAATTCTTAGACGATCAGGAGTGATGTATCAAAGTTTCGGACAGTTTGGTCTAACACCCTTAAAAAAAAGTGTTGTATTCGAATCGACTGATTTGAAGGGGGTTTCACTTCACCGTAAGGTAACGAATGATGGCATGAACGGGTACCCGACAAGCCGCGCTCCAGCTGAACCAACAGCGGACCCGAGGTGGCGGCGCGCGTCTCCTCCATGTTCGCCACGTCGTATTCAATGGTCAAGGACGTGATCGGGGCGTCGGAGGTCCTCCTAAGAGCCCTCTGGGCTTCGGCCAGGGTAAGACCCCTGAGTTCCGTGTCGTCGACCGCCAAAAGTCTATCGCCGGGTCTGACCCGACCCTCCCTGGCGGCCGGACCGTCCGCCTTGACTCCGATGACCACCAGCGCCTTCGCGACTCCCCCGCGCAGAGTCACCCCGAGGCTGCCACCTTCCCTTTCGACCCTGACCTGGGCCACCTTCGAGGATACACTTTGCGGACACGCCGCGCTGCCGTCCACCTCATCCAGGATGATGAAGTTGTGTTGGTGAAGCTGCTGCTGCTGTCCGGACGCGTCGTCCGACCTGACCGTGGAGTCCGAGCTCGCCGAAGTGGCCACGCTCCCGGGGCGGGCGCGACTCTTGTGCGAGCGCATAGTCGCCAGTCGCAGGGAACTGAACATCTTCGCCGACTGGTCTCGAAGGTTCTGGACCTGGACCTAGGCCACGCTCCGATCCCATTCCTTGGCTAGAACAGAGGAAAAACGGTCTCCTATGGTTTCCGAGTTTTCTCGGGGATATAGTGGCGCGTACCTTCTCCGACGGGAGATTTACGAGACCCGGCTTCGGATTTCACGAGGAAAATAACAGAGACCGTTACCGTTTCTTTCTTTCCAGTAATACGTTAATATAAATATTGCGCAACTGTGTAATGTCGCCTACCTAGATTTATAAGTTAATGGTATACCATTAAGTTGTTTCTACATGGAATAAATTTATTTTAGGAATAAAATTCCCGAAACGAGGGTCCGGGGAGACGGGTGTACAAGAAATTCTTGCTTCTCCGGCAGGGTATGGAGCAAAATACGTCTCGCGAAAGGGTAAACGTTTACGGTTGGGGGACAAAGATTAACCCCTTGCCCTGGAGAGGTGACTCTCGATCACCTCTGGCAACGCGAATGGCAAAGGGTTAACTTCACCGTGTCGAGGACCCGTCGATCGTTGTTGCATTTTCGACAGGTCCCGGCGAACGTCTCCACTAAACTTCATCATCCAACGAGGGAAATGTCACGTTTCTCCGCGTATAAAGATTTTCTCATTATTTACTCCCGAAGTGCCGATTAATTTTCTATACGCGCGAAGGTCCGCTGTTTGCGTCCGAGGTCTAGGAGCTTCGAAGAACGAATCCAAAGCCGATTATTACAGGTGCCCCCCGCCGTCTAGTGGCGCCTGCTTCGTTGCCAACATTCCAAAGAAATCCACCCTCGCCAACGGAGGTACCCACTCTTCATGGCTTCGTCCACCCGCGAGGGTCACCGGCCTCTTCCCACTCCGCGTCCTCCACTCCTGGGATCGAGCACCTTTGAAGTCTATATCTTCGCCCCGACCCCCCCGCTACATCCCCGCAGTCACGTACTCCTACAAAGGTCACATCCATGCATGCGCTTAAGGTCGAAGAGGGGACAAGACCCGAAGAAACCGAAAGGGTCCGTCGGCTTCCGATTCCGTCGCCGGCGCCCGGGCCGGGTCGTTTCCGCGAGCGGTCCGCCGCACTCCACCTTTGTTTAATCGCGCTTCGTTTTCCGGGCATGGAACGCGCTCCGGCCGAGGGGCAAAACTCCTCGGGACTGAGCGAGAAGCGGCAGAGCGTGCGCCGCGCGAGGAAGGCGAGGCGCGCCTCGAAAATAACTCCGCCCGTAGGGCCGCAGTTCGCGGCAAACTTGGGCCTCTATTTATACGCCAGCGGGACACCCGGGACACCAGGGACACCCGGGACACCCTCGACTCGCAGGCGCGGCCCTGCGGTCAAAGCGGCGTGTCAAATAAGTCTGCACTTCTCGTTAAGAGTGCGCGGTCCAGTTTCTAATTGAGCACGATCGAGAGAAAACCAACGAGTCGGGAATCGCGAGCTTCGGTCGTGGTCGATGGTAGCGGCCAGCGGATGCGGACCAAGACCAAAACTATGATGGTCTTGGTCTTGGTCGAGGGACTGTTCACTTCGAAATCGATGAAAATGATGCGCCACAATTCGGGAATAAGCAACGATCGGTCTTGAAATTGTGCCAATGTTTTGGTGATTTCCAAACATTTCCCCCGGATTTCCAGAATGAAAATCTTGAGTGAATACTTCGATGTTGGTCTTAAGGTGATGCGAAAGTGGCGGCGAAGAGGTTTTGTTTGTAAAACTTTTCTCACAACTCGGCTTACCGTATAGTTTGAAACGTTACAACGTGAATTGGGAGGCTATAAAGAAGGTCCTGAACTCGTGAAATTTCAATTCTTTTCAAATTTGTTTATAGGTATTTTAAAGATAGTTTATAAGAAATGAAATTTCGCGAGTTTCAGGACCTACCTTAGTCTTCAAATTTACGTTTTAAAGTATGAAACGATTTGAGACACCCAGTTCGTAGAAAAGTTTTATGAACGATTGAGCTTTTGGATGCCACTTTTACATCCCCTTAAGGTGATATGAAAGAGTCAGCCTATATATATCTGAGAGGTCAAATCGTTGGGGAAAGTATTCTCCGAATTGCGGGTATCGATTCGTTTCAAATTTTACCACAGGAAGATGGAGAGCCTAAAGTAGGTCCTGAAACTCATGAAATTTAATTTTTCATCAAAATTGTATTTATTTATCATGAACTAGAATCAACATGGCGTGGTCCGGGCACGTTTTCGATGTTTTACGCTTGTTAGAGGCTTAAGAATCGAAAATGAAGAGTTTTAGGACCTAGATCGAACAATTTAGAACACTGTAGAAATTAAATATTACAGAGTCAGGTGGGAAAATATGGAAAATACTGTCACCAACGATTGCAAGAGAATGCTGGCTTGTCTCGAGGCTAACGCGGGTTTTTAGAGCAAAAATTTAGTTGCAGCTAAACGTCACAGATGGCGACGTTGGTCCTAAACAGTCGTTAGAATAATGAATTCACAGGATTTCGACAGTTTTACATAGATCTCTTCATCGTTACTTTCCTGAAATTACATATGGAACGCTTCGGTTCGTATAATTATCAAGGTAGACTGTAAAAAACTTCAACATAAATATAAATGTCGGTAACGTGTCGCGTCAGCTTATGTTACGACTTGAGTATTCAAAATGATGTTCCCACCAAAATAGATGTATTTTAATTTATCGACCTCGATTAAATTTCTTAGTGCCTTTCGTATTATCTCAAATACTCGTCTTGGTCTCTCTCGGTCGATTTTTGGGATTGATGTCGGACTAGCACTGATTGCATGACCAAGACCAAGACCGATTTGCTAGTCGCTATCTCTTAAGGTGAAGTGAAACACGTCAAGGAACTTGATCGACGTCGATAGAGAAGATTTTTCTAAATGCCTACGTTGCCGACGTTCGTTTTTGTATTGACAGATGTGTCGAATTATATTGGATATTGTACCAAATGGCATACTCCACCTGTCGTTTTCGTACAATAATTATAAAGAAATCGAAATAAAACTCCAGAAATCCTCTGGATTCATGCTTTCTGGGGCCCTAATTGACTGCGGAGGGACCCCCTGCGCCACCTGTGATTTCCAGGTGAATTCAATTTTCACTCCGAGACCTCGTACTCCCATCGTTTTAGTATAGAAGCGTGTACAACACTTTTTTGCCCTTATCCCGTTCAAATGTGAGTTTATCGACTATCAAAGTGTTCTAAATTGTCGTAAAATTGTCCTGACCCTTTCGTTTCTCATATCAGAGCCTTCGATAATTGTATACTGATCGAAATATGAGGGCTCGACGCCATTTTGGTTCTGGTCTGGACTGAGTTAAAAAATTTGTTTGAAAAATCCAAATTTTGAATGTGTCAGGACAATTCTTAGATGATCAGGAGTGATGTGTCAAAGTTTCGGACAGTTTGGTCTAATACCCTTAAAAAAAAGTGTTGTATTCGAATTGACTGATTTGAAGGGGGTTTCTCTTCACCTTAATCATGAGAAAATCCTCGATCAAAATCAAAACTATGATAGTCCTGGTGTTGGTCTTGCTCGGTTTTGCTCGGCCGAACCTTGGTGTTGGCTTGGTCTCACATTTTTTGCAAGACCAAGACCGATTTTACTCATCGCTAGTCGACGAAAGGAACTCGCAGACGGACGGGCACATTTAAGAGTACTCTTTTCGAGGGGGCTTATTTGTCTTTTTTCGGGGTTTCTTCTTCCTCGCCCTCGGTACGTTCCGCGGAGACCGGAGTCGTGGACCCAGCAGAGGACCTCGGGCGGGGTTCCTGTCAGGGAACGTGGTAGTCATTTGTTCACGTTTTTTTACGAACACTTGCCACTTGAGGGGCTAGCACTTCCGTTGGGTTGATTTAAATACGGACACGAATTATATTTGGAGAATAAACGGCGATGGAGAGAATCAAGGGCAATCGTGTGGTTGTATCGGGAGCAATAAGAGTGAATGAATTGTACATTGTAAGCGAGGAGCATACACATTCGCATTCATGCGGTGAAAATGTAATTGTCGTTGTAGAGTTAGGTTAACACTTCCGTTGGGTTGCTTTAATGTGAAGTGAAACCTTCTTCAAATCAGTCAATTCGAATATAACGCTTTTTTTAAGGGTATTACAGCAAACTGTCCGAAACTTTGACACATCACTCCTGATCATCTAAGAATTGTACTGACACATTCAAAATTTGGATTTTTGGAAAATATTTTTTAACTTAGCCCAGACCAGAACCGAAATGACGTCGAGCTCTCATATTTCGATCAATATACAATTATCGAAGGCTGATATGAAATCTGATATGAAAAACGAAAGGGTCAGGACAATTTTACGACAATTTAGAAGACTCTGGTAATCGAGAAACTCCCATTTGAACGGGAGGCATTTAGAAAAATCTTCTTTATCGACGTGGATCAAGTTCCTCGACCTGTTTCACTTCACCTTAAATACGGACACGAATTATACTTGGAGAATAAACGGCGAGGGAGAGAATCAAGGGCAATCGTGTGGTTGTATCGGGAGCAACAAAAGTCAATGAATTGTACATTGTAAGCGAGGAGCATACACATTCGCATTCATGCGGTGAAAATGTAATTGTCGTTGTGGAGTTACGGATGACCGAGAGGATTTCGATGATCGTTTCGTTTTTGCGTTACCTTTTTTCCACCTTTTGCATTCGAATTCTGATCATTTATTTCGGTCCCTAGTAACATAGAACAATTCCTAAATATTTGTTTGTAATCTTTGCTAAATATCTCAAGCGACAGATTTTTAAAGATTTCTTGCAGATTTCATTCGAAGATATTTGAAATATTTGTTGAAAATCTCAATGACATATTTAGTTTCAATAATTTATAAACATATAGAGAAATATTTTTTAACTTATTAACATAATAAAAATACATTTTTTACTTCACGACTATTATCGGACACTTCATTTGGTATCAAAAAACACGAGAAATTTTTCTAATATTTTCGTTCCGCTGTTTCATTATGGGTGCAAAACGTGCGAATTTGATTTTAAATATTTTTAAAACTTTTATAATGTATTCGGCAGATATTTAAAAAATACTTGTATTAAAATGAAACGAAATGTTTTGTATACCTGGTAGGAAAATATTATGAAAACACATGGAGCTAATATTATATAAATATTATAGGGATAATATTCCTAAGTAAACGTTTTGTAAATATTTCAAATGTCTGGTAAATATTTACAAAATGTACGATATTCGTTAAATATATAGAAAATATAGGACAAATATTTTGTTCTACAAGGGGTGCTTCAACGTTGTTTTCGAGGCTTTTCGCTGCTTCTCTCTAGGAAGTGTAGAAAATGTATCTTAGTAAAACGACCGCAGACTCGGCCGTTATGGAAGTTCGAAGAACGTTAAAACGACGGCCATTAACTCGGTCATTAGAAGATCCGAGAGGCGTGCTACGGGATCGAGACAAATGTCAGAGACGGAAAGAGCGGAGATCCGAACGGTCCGAACCGACTGCCGACTGCGCCGTCTCCCTCGCTCTCGCGTTTGCCCTTAATTCGCTCTCGGTCCCTGGGTTTTTCTTTAGAACCATCTTCGCTTCTCTTCTCCCCTTTACCGTCTCGAGATTTCTCCGAGACAGCGAGAGAGGAAGCGTTAAAGCGCGGGAATCTCCGTCGGCGGTGAAGAAGGTGCGAGGGAGAGCGCCGCCGGAAATAGACTCGCCATTTCGAAATTGCCCCTTCGCTCTTCGCGCCACGAGGGAACCTATGAGAACACATCCTGCTCGTCATTTTTTATCCACGAGAACGCCTTCGTTTCTACGACGTTTATTCACTTAAAGTATATGAAATGGGCCCCTCCCTCCCTCCCTATAATAGGTATAAGGTAGGTATAAGGACCCTAGTAGCACAAAATATTTGTCCTATATTTTCTATATATTTAACGAATATCGTACATTTTGTAAATATTTAGCAGACATTTGAAATATATGTAAAACGTTTACTTTAGAATATTATCTCTATAATATTTATATAATATTAGCTCCATGTGTTTTCATAATATTTTTCTACCAGATATACAAAACATTTCGNATAAAAAAGATTATTTTTTAATAATGAAATTTCACGAGCATCACGTTCTTTCTTAAGGCCTCCATAATCAC